ACAAGATTGCACAGCTTCATCTTGTCTTTGCCATTGCGGCCCTTTCTGGCGAGAATCCAGACCTAGATCAGATCGCCTCTTGTGAGCAGCAATGGCAAGGTGCGGTCGACACAGTTCTCATGGAGAACTCCATGGCCACTCTGCAATGTCTCGTACTGGCACTCATCTACTGCACCGTACGGGCGGACTATAAACGTCTACAGCACTACAAAGGCATTGCCGTGGGCCTGTCACACCGCCTGGGCCTGCATCAGAGCCAGAAGCGATTCTCTTTTGGTGCCCTGACTATTGAGACCCGCAAGAAGGTGTTCTGGACCTTGTACACTCTAGACTGGTAAGACCCGACACTTCCCGCTGCCTCGTTGCTTTTCGACTGACACGCGCAGTTTCTCTGGCGCCATTCTCGGTTTGCCAAAGCTTTTGAAAGAGGAAGACATTCACGTCGAGTACCCGTCTGACACGGACGACGAGTACGTTACTGAAAAGGGCTTCCAACCCACGCTCCCTGGAGAGTATACCAAGATTTCGAGCGCTTTGGCTCTCTTCCGGTGCTCCCGAATTCTGGGCAAGGTTCTGGAGAAGAATTACCCGGCAGCTACCACACATGAACTGTCTCTACAACAAATGTCTGCCATGGAGGCTGAGCTCGACGAGTGGTGCTCTTCTCTGCCAACACATCTTAAGTTGACGTTTGCGCAAGACAAGCCCTCGACAGAGATCACCGGCAGCAGGTCGCCCCTTTTGTCGCTCGCCTTCCACTATACTCGAATCTTGATCTACCGCCCTGCCATCGGCTCTTCACTGGGTCAGAAGGCAGCGCCTGCACTCATCTCCACCGCCAAATCAAGCAAGCATATCATTCAGATCTTGCAGCTTTTGGAAGAACGAGGAATGTCTTTCTCCTTCTGCCTCAACAAAACGGACACGCTCATCCTCAGCGGCATGCATCTGTTGTATCAGAGCGTAGGTCTCAAGAAGGAGAGCAAGCTTATGAAGGACGTCGAGAAATTGGTGAACGCCGTCATCAAGATTGTTGCGCAGGCCAAGGCACCTGGCTGGTATGACTTCAAGCGTGTCGCTGGCATGCTCGTCCAGGTCGATGAGACGGCTATGCCCAGCCCTCCGCAGCCGAATCCAGATGCTACGCGCGCTTCGACAACGCAACATGGATCGCCACCGGTTACTGCCTCGAAGAAGAAGCCTTCTTGCTCCCAAGCCAAGCCAACAAGTGTCAGCATTTCGTCGGCGGTTGAAGCAGACCGTCAACGTCATCACGAGAGGATGCGCCGCCTTACGGCACCCAACCTGCAACGCCCTGACCTCTACCGCTCACAGTCTCGCTCATCATTCGAAAGCTTGCAAAATGAGAATGGAATCCGACGCGATCAACGCCATTCCATGTCTCAAGAAATTGGAGTTCACACAAAACGCCAGAATCTTGATTTCCTTGCACTAGGCGCGAATTCGGACGGTTCTTCGCCATCGTCGCCTACACGTGCTCGGCAGCAACAGCAGCAGCAGCAACAGCAGCAGCAACAACAGCAGCAGCAAGTAGCTTTGCCTCGTGACCAGCAACAATGGCCTCAACAGGTACCACACAAAGCCTCAAGTGTTTCTGCATCTGAGTGGGAGGCACTCTTGGGCTCCATGGATGGCGGCCTCAACAACGTCTACGATGCCATCTACGGTGGACCCGGCCTGACTATCAATGAATCTACGCCCACTTCGACAAATATCAGTGGCTGGTCACCAGATTCGTGGGACCTAACGAATTTCAATCTGGGAGACTTTGGAACGTCCGGTGCGCCTGCTCCTAGCACGCTCAGCGTGAGCGAGGAGAGCCTAAGTTCCGGAGAGGACCTCTCGGCGCCGAGTGAGCTGAACTTCAATCTTGACAATATTGAGTACCGGAGTGCTCTGCTTGCTGGGTACACGAACAGCGATGGCTTCATCGTTGATCCTCTGGAAAGCAGTTATGCTGTTTAATCACGGGTGGTTTCAAGTTGTGGCACTCCTTTATACTCGGTTCTTTTTGTCATGACTTTGATCAAACTGTCGGTTATGATTCCCCCCCCGGTTGGATTCTCCTTTAGGCACGGCGACGGCTAGGAAACATGTCGGTAGGTACCGCGCGTCGCAACGGACGTATTATGTATGAATTTGATCTTCCAATGTCAATTTTCTTTTGCACCATGAACCTTGACAGCTGCTTGTGATGATGTATGATGAGATTGAAAACCCAAGTTTGAGATGCCTCGTCATGTTCGTTGCGGAAGGTGACTTTCTGCACGTACATCATCATCAGACTTGCCCAAGATCGTGCTCACCGCAATCGGCATGACAGCGTGGACAGCAGACTTGGGTATCATTTCAACGTCTACGCTGACCAATTACAATGACGTTTTGTCTCGTCCATCATGACCATTCCTCCGTGAAATCGCGCCCTCCTCCCCCTCTCTCTCTCTCTCTCTTTCTTCAACGACACACACCTTAAACGACGTCTTGGACGGCACCTGGCTGACGCCACATCATACAGTGGTAGGAGGCACCCTGAAGCGCCTTTGTCCGAGTTTGGCGCAGATGTCTGATGGGCCCGGGTCTTGCGCTGGATTTGGTGATTCTCACGAGCGGCACATGCGTCTCTGAGGATACGTCTCCCGTCGGCCGCGTCCTTGAGCCCTGCGTGCTTACACGCACTCCACAGCCATGGGCACGGGGGACCTGGCTACGTGAACTTGGTGTGGATGATGTCGGGGTTCTCATGCCAGTCGTCGATGCTCACCCACATCTAGGCCAGTCAGTATTTCGAAAGGGCAGAGAAGAGGAAGACCATGAAGACAATGTGCGAAAGGGGGGAAATTGAGAAGGGGAAGGGGGAAAAGGAAAAAAAAAACCTTACCTTGCGGAAGGTGCTCAGCCCAGCCAGGATGCTCCCTCCGATCCACGTCGAGTACTTGCGCTCGGGCGGCGCAAAGATCTTTATCCTCATGTCCTTGACGGCCAGCCGTTGCAGCTCGGTCAGCAGACGATCGCCGAAGCCCTTGGTCAGCGTGCTGCCGCCGGACAGGACAATGTTGCTGTAGAGGGATTTCCTCAGGTCGAGGTCTGTGCGGTTGATGGCGTCGACGACGATCTGGTGGACGCCGGGGTATTCGAGGCCGATGATCTCGGGGTCGAACAGGATCTCCGGCGCGCGGAAGCGCTCGGCGCCAATCTGTGTCGATGGTCAGTCCGTGGGAGGCACGAGAACGAGAAACGACAAGGGGCAAAGGGCAAAGGGCAAAGGGCAAAGGGCAAAGGGCAAAGGCGAGGGCACGTCGGGCGTGCTTGTTTGTTGCGCCGCCCGAGCAGAGGGAACGCACGCACCTTGAGCTTGTGGCCGTCGGGCAAGACGTACTCGGCCGTCTTGGGCTGGTCGCCGGAGCGCTGGATCCACTCCTTCTCCTCCTTGCGCGGGTCGTGGGCGACGTAGGTGACGGACTCCTTGATGAGGCGGACGACCTCCTTCTCGGCGCTCGTGTGGAAGACGTAGCCGCTCTTGCGCAGCAGGGTCTGCATGTACTCGGTGACGTCGCGGCCGGCGACGTCGATGCGGCGGATGCTGCTGGGCATGGCGAAGCCCTCGTAGACGGGGACGGCGTGGGAGACGCCGTCGCCCGAGTCGAGGACGATGCCGGTGGTGCGGCCCGAGGCGTAGAGCGAGAGGACGGCCTGGATGGAGGTGTGGAGGGCGGGCACGTTGAACGTCTCAAAGAGGATCTGGGCGGCAATGTCGCGGTTGCTGCGCGGGTTGAGGGGCGGCTCGGTCAGGAGGACGGGGTGCTCCTCGCTCAGGGTCTTGAGGCCCTCGCCGTAGACGTACTCCCAGATCTTCTCCATGTCGTCCCAGTCGGTGACGATGCCGTGCTCGAGCGGGTAGCGGATCTTGAGCAGGCCGCGCAGCTCCGTGGCGGCCTTTTGGCCGATGAAGACCTCGCCCTCGAGCGCGCCGGCGAGGACGCGGAGGTGCTTGGGGCGGCCGACGAAGGAAGGAAAGTAGCACTTGGGCAGGTCGTCGCCCGCGAAACCGGCGCGGATCGTGCCCGAACCATTGTCGAGGACGATGGGGGCGTTGTGGAGGGAGTCGGTCATCTCGCGCGAGGCATGGGAGACCGGGGGCGGCCTCGCCTACGTTGGGTTGGGTTGGGTTGGTCGTCTGTTGTCGAGGGGACGACGGGGCTGTGGCAGGCGTCGTCGGTCGGCGTCGATGTGCGAGGTCGTGTTTGTCTGTTGGGTTGGCTCGTGAAGCAAGGTACCAGAGGGTCGGTCGGGCCTCGCCAAGGTAGGTAGGTACGAGAGGGGGGGATGGGTGGGCGACAACGGGTGAGGTGGGTGGTGTGACTTTGTCGAGGAAAGCACAAGTTGGCGTCACGCAGATGACTCGAAAGTGGACAAAAAGGAGAGACGCTTCGCTGATGGTGACGATGAGGGATCAAGCAAGGCAGGGCAACGGCCGTCGTCTGTGGTGGGCTCGAAGTCGGTGGAATGGCATTCAGATTACTTACTGCAAAGAGAGCGAGCTCCAGACAGGCACGACGCGGTGACACTTGGGGAAAGCTGCAGGGGCGCGAATTGGGGGTCTAGCCCCAAGGGGAAACAATGCTGTGCACGGTTCAGCGGCCCCTTTTCTCTCAGGGACGGCGCCTCTATATGTACGTGCCCCGACAACTCAACTGCCGAATCATGTTCAGGTCCATGTGCTTTTCTTCTTTTCAAAATGGATTGATTGATCTGGAATCCCAAACCGAGCGACTGCTCCCATCCCTAAACGCCTTCTTCTATGCAGAATGTTTTGCTGTATGTACAAATGTGGTATCCAGCGGTGGCTTTGCATGTGTCAAAAAGAAACAAAATCAACAGCCATGTTCCTGGCCGTCCCAGGCCATCGTAAAAAGATGCATATCTTTTCCTCTTCTTCCCGGCGTCGTTGACAACGCGAAGCTCATCGCGACAGAGCTAGCTCAGACGCGGCCGTCCACGACCACGGCGGCAGCGTAGGGCCAGCCGAGCATGGCGCACATCATGGGGACATAGCTGTGGGCAGACTGGTTAGTCGGGCTGCTTCCAGGTGGTCAGGAGACGCGAGACGAGGGCAAGGGAACGTACATGGTGGCGTTGAAGACGCGGTTCTTGAACATCTTGGCGTAGTCGGGCTTCGCCGCTTGAGCGGTCGTCATCCTCTGGAAGGGATGAGGCTCAAAGGTGCGGGCCATGTTGCGCATGTTGGTGAGGAGGGAGAACTGCCTGCGCTGGGTGGCGCGGAGGGCAGAGCGGGCGACGAAGGCAGACATGGTGATGGTGGTTGGTGGTAAGGTTTGGTGGTACTATTTGGATGGTGGAGTTGCGTGTTTGTGAGGAGAGATGATCTCAAAGGTGTGTACACTTGGCGTCGTGAAGTTGACTGGGAGTGGAGATGTCGTCAAAACAAGACGCAATGGTTGAGTGGAGAGGCTGGTTTGTTGGTTTCGAGTCGAAGCTGAAGCTGTTGATGTTGTTGGTGATGATGAGAGCAGAGACAGTTCAAACCAACACACCAGTCTACGGCATGTCTTATAGCACGAGCACGGCATGTGGGATCTACCGCCGGTGTGGTCGGGATCTGGGGATCTGTTCCTGAATGCGCCGGCTTCCCCTGGCCGCAAAGTCAAGATGGGCAGATGGTGGACAACTTTGCCCGTGGCATTGCCGTTGTCGCCAGGAAACCGGCGCGCACGAATAGCTCAGATCATGCCACCCACCTGCTGTCGCCGTATCATACGTAGCCGTAACGTACGACAGCGACACCAGCCCAGCGGCACGCATCTGGACGAGCTGGCCGCAATAAGTCAAGGCAAAGGCAGAGGGCAGGGAGGGCCGTCGATTGACCTGACGATGTCAGCTTCCGTGTGGTGTGGTTTGTTCGTTTTTCGTGGTGAGGGTGGCATCATATGGGCTGATCGGAGACGGCCGAGTCGCACCCCATTGGCCGCCCTCGGTGTCTGGATTCTCGGCGAATGGGAGTCTCGCCACTGCACATTCCCAGCCAATGATGGGGCCCCTGATTATCCCGACGAGCCTCCCTAGGTGCCTGCTATGGATTAGGTAAGAAGTAAGAAATAAAGTGCCCAAGTACCGTACCTACTGCTTGGACAAGTGATATTGATTTGTGTGTACACCTGATGAAAGAACTCTTCTTGGACCAGGAACGGCGCCATCCCGAACGGAGACATCTCCCGCACGTCGTGTGGTGCACCGTCACCTGTACGCCGGAGATTTTTCTCGTCGCTGATTCTCGGGACCTGAGCCGCCTGTGCCACAGTCTCGGCGAGGGAGGGAGGGGCTGCCTTATCGCTATCGCTATCACCATGTGACCATCGCGAGGACCCTGATGAAAGCGCGACGAGTTCTGGTCATCGTGTGCCGTGCCCTGCCTCACCAGCAGCCGACCCCAAAACCGCTGTCCATGGAACTCTGCCTTCCGCCACAACCACCACCATGCCATTGGTAGACCCCGTGACCATGGCCTCCGCGCCGACCAAGCCCACGACGGCAACCGCCGCCGCCACCGCCCTGCAGCCCGTTCTGATCCAGCAGACGCCGGCTGGCCAGGCCGGCCGCTACATCCACCCCGTCGTCCTCCTGGCGCTCTTCGGGAGCCAATTCAACGCCCTCGTCAACGAGCCCGTCCGCGTGCTGGCGACCACGCTGCCGATCGTCGCCGCCGTTCAGGTGGCCTACGTCTCGCTCTGCCTCCCGGCCGCCGGCAGCCAGGATGCAAAGCCGGCGCGGAAGGCCAGGCCCGGCGAGAAGAAGAAGCAGGATGGCAACGGGCCGAACCCCGTCATCGTGAGTCTCCCTCTCCCTCTCTCTCTTTCTCTTTTTCTCGGATGCTCTCGCAGCACAAGTATGCGCACAGCGATATGCGTACTAACCATGCTACCCGTCCACCAGGCCCTCTTCCTGTCGCTCCTCATGACGGCCCTCGTCACGCCGGCCCTCCACCTTGCGTTCGTCCTCTTCGGCGCGCCCTTCCTCACGCACATGCCGCACACGCTCCTGCTGTCGACGAACCTCGCCCTCCTCGCCCTCTTCCCCCTGTTCTACGTCCACGGCGTCGAGGCCAGCGCCTGGCTCGCCATCGGCTCGGCCATGGCCCCCTGGGACGAGACCTTTGGCGGCCTCGCCGGCGCGCTCTTCGGCGCCTGGCTCGGCGCCGTCCCCATCCCGCTCGACTGGGACCGCGAGTGGCAGAAGTGGCCCGTCACCATTCTCTACGGCCTGTACGCCGGCTACGTGGCCGGCAAGGTCACGGGTGGGTTCCTGCTGTTCGGCAAGAGAATGGTCAGCCGCGTGGAGCGGGACGACAAGGAAGAGTAGAGCAGAGACAAGGCGCAAAGGGGGGGAACTGCGACCGCCTCCACCGCCGACGCCGCACTCTCACACCCCTAAAAACAAAAACCCCCACGGCAGAGTCGATGATCGTATCGGCCATGGGTCATGTACCATCACACATACGGTGGGGAATGATATAGAGAGAAAAGACAGACGCAAAGAGACGGGAGGGGACGACAGGGCTTGGCAAGCATGTGCTACGAGAGAGGTTTCCTGCGATGCTGGCCACCAGCCAGATGTTGGCATGTTTGATGTGGTGAATATGAGACCGGAGCCTCGGCTCCAGAATGGCAAGCACCCGATGCACCAAGACTCGGGCTTCCCTGTACAGACCAGCAAACAGTAGACGCAAATTACACACAAGGCCTGGACGGCCGTGCACGAAATCGTCGTCGTAGCGGCTTGGATGTGCCTGTTTTTAGGCTTGGCCCTGTGAATTGCAACGAAGCCACTGACGAGTCAGGTACGGACAGGCACGAGGGGCCGAGGGGCTAGATCTTGGGGCATCCGGATCTGGGCGCGCGCACATGATTCGGCGCCGCCCTGCCTCGGGGGTGTGTGTACAAGTCTGTGTTTACGGTGTGTGGCTGGTGTGCGGCGAAACATCAAAGTGGCGTTACGGGGCTATATGATGATGCCATGCTGGCGTCGAAGCGCGGCACACATCATGCTCAGCCCTATGTACGGACCAGCTCTCGCTTGTGCTCATCTTGATGCGATGGAGCGGCCGGCCGGCCTCGATCAGGAAGCGGAGCAGGCCGCGTGTACTGAACCAGGGGGAGGGGGGAGGGGGGGCCAGCGCGCGGCAAGCAGGCGCCGTGTGCCCATGCCAGTGTTGTCCTGTCGTCATATTTGCGGCGAGACCGACATTAACGCAGTGAAAAGCCAAGCAAGGCGATTCGAGTAAGGGGAAACCACAGATTCCGGTTCCTTTGGAGTTACCCACAATTTGCGAGACGGCTGGCTCATCCTTCCTGCGCGCCTTGCCATCGATCACATCTCGTGGACAAGGTTCCTGACTGGCAGATGTGGCTGAGCGTCATCATTGCGCCTTGAAAATGGAGTTTGTGTGGCGCGGCGACGAGCGTCCTGTGGCGCACGGAGGCGGGCTGTTGTCCATGTAATCTACGCCTCTGTCAGTTGACAGGGCTTCGGTTGACGGTGGAAGTGGACCAGTTAGAATGCCGGTAGTCGCCCAGCTGGGATTTCGGCAGATGACGTAGTGCTGGGCAATCAATTTGGGGGACCAGCATGAATGGATCATGGGTCTTGAGATGGGGTGGGGTGCTGCTACTTCGCCTTGGCCGGCCGGAACCCGCTCTGGCCTGTTGGCTGGCCTAGCCTAGCTGGCTGGCTGGCTGGCTGGCTGGCCGGCCGGCGACTGGTGCACTGGCCTCTGCGAGTTTTGTGCTGCTCGTGCTGGCGATCGAAGGGAAGCAGCATGTCGTGGGCGCAGATACAGTAGAACATGACCTGGGTAGGCAGCTTGGCGCGACGCGCAACTGGGGGGCGGACACATACACATGCAAGGCCTGAGGTGGACGGCTCGGGCTTGGCTGAGAACGAGGGGCGCTGGGAGCTTCTTTCCTGCGGCACCTAGATAATGTACCTAGGTCCAGTACAGTACAGGTGGGCTGGTAGGGTGGTGGTGGTGGTGGTGGTGGTCAGTCGTGCAATGGGTGCAAACCTGGAAGGAGTCGATGACGCACATTGGGTGGTGCAGTTCGCTCCTCGTTCCTGCCCTCCTGACAGCGCCGGACGGGGCGGCCTCGCAGGGGTGTGTGGGCGAGACGGATTCGACGGGGAAGGCATGGCATGGGGGAGATGGCTTTGCCTACCGGAGGCTGGGTCTACCCTTAGGCTCCTTTAGCTCTCTGGCTCATGCGCGTCCACATCACATCCGTCACTTGGACGAACTGGTCCTGCCGGACTTTATTCGTGTACGCTGGGCACAGAGAGAGCCCAGAGGTGGGCAGGCGCCAAGGTACCATGTACACGGCTCCCTCTCTCGTCCTCGTCAGACGTTATTTAAGTTGTACCCTCTCCCCTCCCCCTCCCATCTCTCTCGACAGTGCCTTCTCTCCATCAACAAAGCTTCGACCAATTGTGCTCACCACTCTTACACAATACCCATCTATCACACCGACCTCGTGTCCCATCAACAACAGTCAACATGCCTTTCACCGCCTCTGACATTTGCAAGATTCTTCTTGCCATCATCCTGCCCCCCGTCGGTGTCTTCCTCGAGCGTGGCTGCGGAGCTGATCTCCTCATCAACATTCTGTTGACCATTCTCGGTACGTCCACGCTGCCTCTCGTCGGCCTCGTCTTGTAGCAGTAGTGGCAGCACCTCACTAACACATTCACTCAAGGTTACATTCCCGGCATCATCCACGCTCTGTACATCATTCTCAAGTACTAAGCCTGCCGGCCTCGACATCGCTCGAGCTCGTTCGGCCGATGTGATGCGATGCGATGCGATGCGATGCGATGGCCATGACGATGCGCCGCAGTGAACGGAAGTCGCGATAATGACCGACGACGACCGTGCTCCGTAAGCGCGTCCACGACGCCTGCGTAGCAAAGTAGCAAAAACGCAACCCACTCCTCCAATCTCACCCAACTCGCCCGACCCGGCAACGCCGGAAACAACCCAACCTCATCACTCGCCTTGGCGTACGGCCCACTGCAGGCTGAGCCTCCGCAAGGGTGCCCATCATTCGTCAAAAATCAATCGACGCTCATCCACGGCCGCATTTTTCTCTCACCGCAACGGGCTTTCTCTCTCTGCCTCTTTGCGTCTCTCTCTCTCTCTCTCTCTCTCTGTCTCTCTCTCTTCTAGCTTTGCGACGGACGCTTCGGGGGATGCAAGGACAGGGGAAAGCGCCGTGTACCAATGCTCTCTAGCTTAATCAATCGATACCCATCATCGCCCGCTACATTTGTTTTTTCCCGTGAATGATTGATTGCCTGCCGTGCATCATGGAGGTCGCGCTTTGTGAATAAGGAACTGTCGCGGTGCGGCCTTGAATCTCAGCTAAGCAACCATGTCATGGGTCGGCACTCTAGGAAGGGTATATGGAGGTCGAGGCCCTGGTCACTCTGACGCTGCGACGCTAAGGCTGCGCTTGACGTAAATCCCTGCCATGATGTCACTTGACGAAATGAGCTTCCAGCCTTCTGGGGGCCCTGTGTCTGGGCGGCCGCTTGAGCCAGCCCGAGCCCGGCCAAACCGAACGGGTCAGAGACATGGGAGGCAGATTGACGAAGAAATACCAAGAAAAAGACTGGTAGATATCGCAAGTGAGTGGGACACTACGAAAGTTGATGCTTCCGTCAACAGCTTAAAATGCCAGCCAGCCTTGCGACGGGAAGAAACAAAAAGTGGTCAACGGGCTGCTGGTCCCTTCGCTGCTGCACACAATTTATTCTACGGGTCAGGACAGAGAAGAAAGTCCAAAAAAAGGGCCCGACGCCTCCCCATGTCGCCAACGACTGCTGGCCCTCTATCTACCTGATTCTGTTCCCCGCCAGCTCCCGGGGGTCTGTGTGTGTGTGTGCGTATGTGCTCACGAGCTTGGAGGGTCAAGTTCTGGGACCTGATGGGACGACGCGTACGCCAGCTCGGCATAGTGGGGGGGTGTTTTTCGCAAAACGCAGCGATTGGCGCTTTGCCTCCCCGCCCCGTCCATCATCGCCATGACAGTTCTTTTTGTTTGCGCCGACAGGCTGGGAGGGTTCCAAAGCCGGATTCGACTCAGGGCAGGGCGGGTCAGGCGCCGCAGGGAAGAGAGATTTGCAAAGTCGACCGCCAGAGACGCCATGAGACATAGACCGACCATGCGATCGATGCATGTATGCATGCGTGCGTGTTGGCGAGGTGAGACCTGTTCTCACTCCTCACGTCGTGTGGCCTGCTTCCTCTGATGCCTCTGGAATGCTGACGGCGCTATCGATCTGACGGCGGCGGGCGGCGGAGGGATTGCTGTGGCTTGCCATGCTCGTGTGGCGCCTGTGCTTTCCCGGCATGTCGTGACTGACCGCCTCCAACCCGGATGTGAACGAACAGTTGGTCCTCGAGGTCGCTGCAGTGAGCTACAGTCCGCGCCACAGTCAGAGGAGTATCATGATGGCTAGCATGTCACTCTGCTGGTGGTCGCAGAAAGAAGCATGGGAAAGATAAAGAAAAACAATATCACAAACATCACGGGGAGCGGCGCGGATGGTAGAGACGGGAGCCATCGTTGTTCATGCTCTACCCACTTTGAACGACAGGATCTGCAATGACGGTCAGCAGCGCCTCTGGTAACATCCACAATCGCAGGGTCCCTCACATCGTGTTTGCCGACGGACACGAGGTCGTCCTCGGACACGCGCGTGCCGCCGATGCCCTCGACGAAGGCCACGGGCGCGTCGCCCATGACCTTGCGCGCCACGTCGCCGACGGTCGAGTTCTTCTTGACGAGGACGCAGTCGCGGAAGACGGCCTTGGAGTCGCTGGCGCCCGACGAAAACGTCGCCGTGTTGCGGACGGGGAACACGGGCACGAGCCCCAACAGGTCCGCCGCCTTGGACAGCACCTGGTTGACGCCCGTCGAGCCGAAGCGGTACAGCACCATGTCCTTGAGGTTCTCGATCCGGTTCCGGTTCTTCTCGTCGAGCTCCTTGAGCCCGCCGCCCGTCGGGTCGCCCTGCTCGATGAGGTCCTCGCGCGTGTCGACAAACTCGCTGCCCTCGGTGTACTTGATGTACCCCTGCTTGGCCATTTTGCGCAGGAAAATCTCCGAAATGGCCGAGCATACGGCAATCGTGTCGGGGTTCTGCATCTTGGCAATTTTGCTGATGTTCTTGTCGGCGTCCGGGTGGTCGATCTTGTTGAGCGCAATGACGGTAGGAAACTTTTCGTCCGTAAAGGCGTTGACGACGCGGTCGACCATGGCCTCGTCCCACTCCTCGAGCGGCTCGCGCACGCCGAGCCGGTCGAGCGCCCGCGCCACGACCGTCGCCGTCGACCCGTAGCCCGAGAACTGGTTCTGCAGCGTCTCGACCGCCGTCGCCTTGATGGCTACGTGCCGCCGCCGGATGCTCCCCCACTTCTCCCACAGGTTGCCCTTGATCCACGCCACAATCTCGCTGCGCAGCCAGGCAATGTCCACCGAGGGGTCGTACCCGCGTGTCTCCTTGCCCTCGGCGTCCACCGTGCCGCTGGCGTCGACGACGTGGATCAGCGCGTCCGCGTGCCGCAGGTCGTCGAGGAACTTGTTCCCGAGCCCCTTGCCCTGGTGCGCCCCCGGCACCAGGCCCGCCACGTCGAGCAGCTCAATCGGCACCGACCGCGTGCCCTCGACGCACGAGCCGTAGTTGGGCTTGCACCTCTCCGACACGCCGTGCCGCGCGCACGCGCACGGGATCTGGAGGTAGCCTATCGCGCGCTGCGGGTCGATCGTTGTGAAGCTGTCACCATCAATGTCTTGTCAGTCGGACGTGTTTCGGTTGGCGGGGCGGGGGCCGTGAGCCTACGGGAAGTTTCCTGTTGTTCATGCATCCGTCAGCGCGCCTGTCCACATCTTGCCATGCTTCTTCTTCTTCTTCTCTTTCTTTTTTTTTTTTTTTTGCGCCCGTGTGAAAAGGGTAAGAGGAGGGGCTACCAACCGACTTTAGACGTTGCGTCCGTCAGGCTGTTGAGCGTCGTGCTCTTGCCGGCAGACGGCTTGCCGACAAGGCCAATGAGCGGGTCTCGCGGCATCTCGTCTCTGTCTTCTCTTCAAGACTTGGACTGACAGTGTGGTTGTTGGTGCCGAAGGATCGAGGAGAGCGCCCCGTGGTTTCTTGCGCCGACCCTGGGAAAGTCGCCGTCGCAGAAGTTGCAGCGCCCTACAAAGTCTACAAGAGGGACCGATGGTGGGGTGGTTCTCGTCCTAGTGGCGGGGTACTTTTCAAGCCGCGTTTGGAGCGTAAGCGGGATACAGTGTAGGAAGGCCTGCACGTATGCAAGTATAAAAGAAGTGGTGGTGGTCTTCAGGCGGCACTTGTTTTCTTATTGACAGTGTTCAAAGTTGTATTACACTCAAATATCTACTGACATCTTCAGCTCTCGATAGGCGGAGCTCACATTACCTGGGCGCCCCAGGAGGTGCAGACAAGTTCGACGGTCGCGTTGGTTCTGGCGGCCGCTGCAATCCATTGTTCGGCCGTGCCACCTGGAAACCCCTTTCCTCAGCCGCTGGCGGTGCTTCTTGACCTGTTAGTTTCGTCCAGAAGCTGGATGACACGGATCGTATCGTAGGAAGCACTGCTGCCGACTCGGTCAGTTGTTTGGATGCAACCGCCGCCTGTGGCGCTCCTGGTTGCGGAACCATGTAATAGAGATCTGATTCTCGGAACGAGTAGTCGTTCCACCTCGGCCCCAGTGGTCTGCCCTGGCTTTCGCCACTCGATGACGGCGAGCCATCCGCACTAAAGGAGGATGAGCTCGAAGACTCCGAGCTTCGAAGTGTTGAAACTGTGTCATACTCGTTCTTCGGTTCCACAATAGCGCCAAATGTGACAGAGGTATTAACTAGTGGCGAGACGGCCCTTGGTCGCCCGCGGGACGAGCTGGAAGATACGGTCTGCGTCGTACTCCCGACCTTGGAACGAAGGTCTACGGAGTCTTTACTGCGGACTGAAGAAGGACGCGGCGAGCGAAAGTAGTGGCTCGCAGGGATCTGCGGTGTCTCGAGGCGCTGCGTATTGGTGCTTGTTGGTCGGCCCAACGTTCTATTGGAAAGAGGTGTTCGGCGGCCGCTTATGTTGGCATTGGGACCGGCCGGGCTGGGCGAGTCGACATAAGCCCGGTTGAGGTCTGTCCGTGAAACTTGACGTCGCCGCAGTTCGCGGAGGCCGTATACCTGACTGGCTGTTAGTTCATCGGTTCGAGTCGCGATTTCGGCAAAAAAAGGGTTGATGTCTCACCTCTGGCTTCGACGCGTTCAGGTGCCTGGCGCATAGAACGACCAAATGATAGACAGCCGGTCCTAGGAAGCCACAGAACAGCATTGTGCTATGTATGAGCAGAATAGCGTATCCAATTGCGCTCTTGACATGAAGAGTGGCGAGCCCAGGCATGAAGGCGATCATGAGAGCCAACGTGACGAGTCTGGAAAGGGCAGATATTGTGCCGACTGACCAGGCGGGATACGCCTGGAAGCCAAAGATACAAGCGAGAAGCACCAACTCGCAGGCAATAAGCATAGGCAACTGGACCAGAGGGGTGATTTGCAGACCGCCCACGGCAGCGCCGCGGATGAAAGCCAGAAGGAAGAGAACCACAATGAAGGCTTTCCCGTGTTGGTCGCTCGACGTGGACGCAGATATTTGCTGGTACCGCTTGGAGTCGAAAACCAGAAGACCAAGGCTTCGCACGGGAATCTGGCGTACAAGCCAGACAAACGCAGCGATAATGACGACAATCAACAGAACGGCCAGTGATGTGTGATAACCAGGCACTAGGGCGGCGTAGGTGATCTGGTAGCAAGAAAGGGCTATGAGAGGCATGGTGAAGTACGAAAGAACAACGCGAAGAATACGGTTGACTCTGTGTTGCAAACCATGGTTCATGACGATTGCCTGTGCCGCCATGTCAGTCTCGCCAATCCGAGGCGCACCGAGGCGGACGCACTCAAGTAACGCAGCAGCCAAGGCAACAACAACGACCAGGGCGATGACCAAGTTTGTCCAGGTGGTCATGGTGGTAGGGGTGCCTACGATCTGGTGCATGAGATCGAAGCCGTGCGTGCCTCCGTAGGTACCGTTGATCTCGAAGATACCGTCCGCGCTGCCAGGATAAACATGACCGTGGGTGATGGGGCCTGTGAGGAACAGAGAGTACCAGTTCAACTTGCTGACAGCTGGGCGGTAGAATCCGGGATACCAAAGACTGAGGCTGCCGGTCAAGAAGATGAATTGGAGGTACTGCAGGCAGTCGCCTACATGTGGCAGGACGGGACGAGCCGAGGGAACCTCTTCGTCTGTTTCGTCATCTGCTGTGAGGCGGATGGGCCTGTCAAAACAGCTGCGTAGGGTGCCGACGGCGAGGACGAAGAGGAAGAGGCCAAAAGGAGCCCAGCGCAATGTCGAGGATACGGTAGGGCGCAAGGCAGGTGTGATGTTTGCCTGAAGGCAGACCAAGGCGTCGCCAGTCGCAGCAGAGGTCAGGTAGATATCCGAATGGAAAGTCGACAGCGGACTCAGGCGGCCCAGGTCTTGGGTGACCAAGGTGCTAGATGCATTGACCATTGTGTAGCGCCCCTGATGAACCGGTTTGCATGTGGTAAGCACATGGTGTTCGAAGCGGGCTGTGCGTGTGAGAGTTTCGACAGTAAAGTCGACGGTTACGTTTGAAACCTGGCGATCGCAGTGGTGCTCGTCGCCAACTAGTAGGTCAATGACCCAGGCGAGATGCTGGTGGCCGTCATCGGCGGTCTCGATGCTCGCACTCAGGCTGGAGATGCCCGGGAGCTGCTGCTGCGGCGACGGCACCGGCGCGCGAGAAGAAGCCGGGTCACAAAGCTGATACTGAACGTAGGACGTCGAGACGGATGAGACTAGAAGGCTCAAGAGGCCGAAGCGATGTGCGAGCATGGCAGTGGCCCTTTGCCGTTCAGGACTTTGGGCGACCGAGGGCGGAGCTACGCATTGGCGGAACGTTGAGCAAGCAGGCCGGAACTGGTGCTGCAACTATTTGCCAGTACGTGGAGGACGTTCTACAGTCGATCGTGGGTTGATCAAGATGCAGCACGTTGGACCAGGCAGGGACTTTGGCACGCCTGTCAAATACGACCGACTGGACTAACCCCTGAACCAGAAATCGATTTTCATCCCCACTTGGCTTTCAACGGTTGCCTGTAGCGTGTGTCGGGCCTTTGTCGATTGCCGGGAATCCCCATGACGGTGCTGACTCGGGGAACGGGTTGCCGCCACCCCTGCCTCGTTGGATCTGAGGTAGCATGGGCGGGATCGTATCGTGGAGAATCGGGGTTTGCATACGAACATGAGAGAGTGGGAGAGGCCTTGGCAATGGCAAGGGGGGCAAGACGGGTGAGATGCCTTTAATAGGGATGCCGCGCGCCGTGCTCGTGGGTTTGCTGCTTGGGAAGCCGAAGTGTCATGAATGCGTGGATGGTCTTCTTGAGAAATGGGTAGATGTGAAGAAGTGAGTCGATGGACAGAGAAGCTACATGCGTGTAGGTGCGTACCTAGGCATCTTCCCCATTACCAGGCGCCCAGCGGTGCCAGTTGCTCCATGGACCTGGGCAGGTACCTAGGTAGCGACCCATACCCACCCTGAGTACCTACATTGGTACCGCCTGCCGCCCCCCCCCTTCACATGATCTCATCGCACTCGCATTGCGCTGCCTACCTAGGGAAAGTGTCAACTACGGCTGGGCATCGCCTTCCTGTCCGCCTCCTCGCATCACGCATCACGCCTGCCCCAGTCGGGATGCCGCCGCCGCCGCCCGCCGTCGCCATAACGCCGTTATGCCCGAGATGCTTCTTCCACGCTGCTTCCTACTTGACACCATGCTCCCGCCCTTCATCACATGGCGACGACCAGAACATGTCTCCATTCGCGCCTTGAATCTGTCTTCTTTCGTTGCTTGAAGCGTTGTCTACGTCCCTCCGCGCCTTCCGTCCGCCATCATCCCACCCCCTCAGCACTCTCCACCATGGCTCTCACCGAGACAGCACCCCTCCTTGGCTCCAACCAACCTCATATTCCGTCAGGTGAGCTTTAACCTACTCGCTCCGTCACGCCAGGCTCTGCAGCCCGGATGAAGCACACGGGAACGAGTGAAACGGAATGAGTAATCTTGCTGATGCGCCAAACCTGTTCAGCGCCATGGTCCAAAGCGCTGCCATCCGCCAGGGACCCGGCACGCCGCCTGCCGCAAGCCATTGCTCACCGTGGCTACAAGTCTCGCTACCCCGAGAACTCCATGGCCGCCTTCCGCGCTGCCGTCAATGTCGGCACGCACGCCATTGAGACGGACATTCACCTCTCGGCCGACCATGAGGTTGTCCTCTCCCACGACGGCAACCTCAAGCGCTGCTTCGGCGTTGACAAGCCCGTTAGCGCCTGCCCGTGGTCCTACCTGGCCACCCTGCGCAGCCTGCGCGCTCCTCACGAACCCATGCCCCGCCTCGTCGACCTGTTGCGCTACCTCGCCGAGCCTGGCCGCGATAAGATATGGATCCTGCTGGATGTCAAGGTTGACGACGACCCGGATGCCCTGCTGAGCGCCGTGGCTGACGCTGTCGACGCCGTGCCAAGGTCGGATGGCCTGGCCTGGGACCAGCGCATTGTCGTCGGCTGTTGGACGCAGGACTTCCTCCACGCCTCGCTGCGCCATCTCCCCTCCTACTCACCCGCTCACATCTCCCACTCGCCCTACAACTCGAACCGCTTCCTCGATTGCCCCGAGTATGCCGGCCTGTCGTTCAACATGCTGCAGCCGACGCTCGTAGGTCCTTATGGCAAGCGCTTCATACAACGTGTCAGGGCGGCCCCTGATGCCGAGGAGCGCCGCTTGTACGTGTGGACGGTGAATCAGGTCGAGTGGATGGAGTGGTCGATCGAGAAAGGCATGGATGGCGTCGTGACAGACGATCCTGCTGCGTATCTGAACGTCCTGAAGCGGTGGGAAGAGGCTGCTGCCGAGGGGTCCGAGACTGGGAGCAACGCGGCTGAGCAGCAGACCTCGACCGGCACCGAGAGTCACCCGCCGGTAGCGGCTAAGACGACTGCCACTGGCTTGAGGCGCTGGACCTGGTTGTACTTCCAGGTCGCCGCGATCCAAGTTCTCCTGATGCTCCTGACACCGTGGCTTGTACGACGCTCAAGGTGGAAGTTCACCAAACCTAGCAAGAAGAGCGTGCCCAAGGCATAATGGTCTCGTGAGCCCTTCACTGCATTGTGTTTTTGTATCGGAGATAGATTTTGCTCGCCAGCGTATGCTTCCGATCACGATGATCTGGCCATAGCCCTCTTCATGTGCCCAAGGTGACCAGAAGTAGGTCAAATAAATGAAGGTCCCATGTCCGTATTCCAACGTTCAATACTCAACGCCTCGCCCCGTTTGCGCCCTTTATCCTTGCCAAGAAAGTGAACCCCCCCCCCGAGGTTCGAAGGGGAGAAAAACGCCATAGCCCAGTATCCGGCCCAACATGGTCACATTACGCTTTTTGCTCTTTGACGACGCTCTCCCAGCTTCCCAGAGACCAGAGACTCCCCTTCCTCTCTCCTTCGATGCGCGACACGTGGTCCCCGTGGCCCTGCTGCTCCTCCTCCTTCTTCTTCCGACGGAAAATGTTGCCAGCACCTCCGATGCCCATGCGTCCGACCCCCGACTTTTCGCGCGCCCGCGCCCTGGCAATTTCCTCCTCGAAGCTGACGGCCGGCCTCTCCCCCGCCGCGTGCACGTTGCCGGCGCCGCCGATGCCCGAGTAGAACCGGCGCGTCGAGCTCGAGGGGGCCGCCGTCCGGGCCGTCGACGGTCCCGCTGACGAAGCAGCCGTTGGGTTGGAGGCAGCGGCAGCGGCAGAGCCGGAAACGGAAACGGAGGAGGAGGAGGAGGTCACCTTCGAGGGCGTGGCGCGGAAGGTGTTTCCGGCGCCGCCGCGGCCGGTGTGGATGCGCGTGTTGGGCGCGGCGGTCGGGCGCGGGGTTGTCACGAGGAGGTTGGAGGATGTCGTCGCCATGATCGATTGATCTTTTCGCGCCTGGTTCTCTCCTTCTCTGTGCGGCCGACCCTGGCGATGTCAAGGTGCTTTGTTCTTTCGAGGCGGGGGGCTGAAATCGCCGGTCGAGTCCGCGGCTCTTGACTGCGTTGAGGTGAAGAGCGAAGAGAGAAGAACCCTCAGGAAAAACCACAATGCAAATCAATCGTTCTTTCACGTTAAACCTCGCCGTGAGGATATTCGGTATTACCTGGTCCGCAAAGGAGGTACGAGCAACGGCCCTTACGTCGAGCAAGTTGGTGGGAGCCCCTACCAGATATAGACATCCTCTCTCCACCTCGGCCACCGTACCGACATTTGCGTCCAAATGCCATCAACCACACTTCGAGAGCAGCCTGACCCCCGCCGGACGAATCAGATACACGCCATTTAGTGTTTATTCTTACCGCTTCCAGGGCTCATGCCGCAAGTGGTCATCGCAATGATGAGCTGCTTCCTTCCGGGGGGGAAGGGGAGGGGAGAGAGCGACGGCAGAGCAGAGTTGGGGTTAGCGGTGCAGAAAACCAAACGATGGGGTAATTGTAGAGTAAGAGAAACAGGTCCGGCCCCACCGCCAGAGACACCGCGTGATGGTCCGTCATGCCGCTGGCCGCCCACGGTGAGCTACTGGTAAGGCGGCCAGGTAGCTTATAGCTACCTGCTCCCTCATTACTTATCTGATGTCAGATCAAGCGGTGGCGGTGACGGTAACAGCGAAGGGTCTAGCAGTGTTACAACCCGCGAGTGGCTCCCTGCTTGGTCTTCATAGAAGACCCGTCGCTAGGGATCAATAATCAAAAATACTTGCATGAAGAAATCTCGTTGCCTTGGTCGAGGAACAACACTATGCCTCAAGATCAGAAGCACATCACGCGTCATGGACAATGGCGGTTGAAGAGCGAGGCAGATCGCCGCTGGTATTAAATACACCCCTGGAAACGGGCCCATGCCCCTAATAAGCTATTCGTCCATCCACTTGTCGAAATCAGCTCGACCGGTTGCGACGCGCAAACCCTTCTTGGAGATATTGGAAATGTCCAAATCTGTCAAACCCATGTCATGCCCTGCTCTGTTCCTCTACCCTGCAGGCCGTTTGCCCTCTGCAGCAACTCCCTTAGAAGCAGTTGTAATCGCTGCAAAAACGCAAAGTCGTCAATTGCGTAGTCATGCCGTCGTAAACTACAGCAGCCATATGCTGGCTCTCTTTCTCTCCCGGTTCCACTCATTCAACTGCTCTTCTCCATCGGTCTCTGCTGGCTTTCAGTTGATGCCTGGCAGGATCGCAGTCTCGCCTCATAATTATAACGAATAATAGGGTGTGTGCATCGAAGCTATCCAGCAGCATCGACCAGATCGGGAGTAGGGTGTTCGTGCACGTCAAACTCATCGTCGCAGAGGACGGAGTAGGTTGTGTACGTTTGTCTTCTCCCTCTTCTAAAAGGTGTCTGTCTCATCGCTTGCGACTGTGCCAAAGGTGGCTGGAGGCGGTTAGCTTCAATTTCTGGCCGTGGCGGTGAACTGTGACTTACCCCTCTTGCGACGCCGCTCCTCGCGAGCTTCCTCCTCCTCTGCGCTCTTAGGCGTCATGGCTCGAGGCCCACTTGGCCGCCTGGTAGGCACCCCCAGGGCCGCGTTGAGGTTGCGGTTCTCGAGTCTCGGGCTGTAACCACTGGCATGAGTGCCGGCGCCTGTACCGTAGCCGCTTTCAACGCTGTTATATGGCTGAGGACTGTTCTTCGATAGCCTGGAAACCCTATCGGTTCTGGTCGGGGTCCGGCTGCCGTCGTCGTCCATCGGCTCCTTGGGCGGACGAGGGGGGCCGGTTGGGGAAGAACCCCAGTATTCACCACTGGCGGTATTGGCAGCACCGGCAGCCCCGGTAGCCCCCGTGGCGGCGGAACCACCACTATAACGGTTGCTGGTTTGGGGCGGGAAGCGGTTCAGGCTCGTCACGGAGCCGTGCCAATCGGTTGATCTGGGGGACATTGGGGTGTCGTACTGGTGTGCCTGGGACTCCAGGGCTGCCTGGAATCGCTCAGTCTGGCCTTGTCTGGGCTGCGGGTGTTGCAGGTTGAGTGAGTTACGGTGTGCCTTGTATTTGGGGTCCTCCGGCGTCATGTATGTTGCAGGCGGAGGGGCCCTGTTATCGAGCGGCATGCTGACTGACTGGGGCAGATTGGTCTGCGAGAAGCCGCTGTGCAGCTGTTCCTCGTCGTAACGGTCCTCCTCAAACGGACGTCTATCGTCATATTGACCCAGGTCAGAACCTGAACGGGATGGCGGTCGTTGGCTGTATTCGTCGTCGTTCCCACGTTTGCTGGACATGCCACTCCCGCGGAAAGCCTTGCTCACGCTTGTCGCAGTGGACTCGGACCAGCGCGAGATCTTGGGAAACCAACCGGAGGAGCCTCGAGACTTGTGCTTTTTGCCCTTGGTGGTTGTAGGCGTGTTCTCGTTACTCAGCGAGGCCATCATGTTGGAACCCGGGTGGGGGGGCGTCGCCAGGGGTACCGAGCCGCCCCGCTGAACGTCTTGGTGTGGAGGACTAAGCATGGCCTGGTGGTTGCGTCTGTGATCTGCCTCTTGCTCATAATCCTCCTCGGTGTCCTCGGGGACAGTGCTGATACGATGATCCGAGAACTTACGCTCGTATCCAAGTTTGGTTGAAGGACCACGTGATTGAGGAAGAGACAGCTGCCCAGATTGGCTTGCATGACTGGCTGTCGAGGTACCAGCGTGACCTTCGGGTTCATAACCGCGGTCCTGCTCATACGCGACTTCAGGTCGGAGGTTTTCGAAGGATTGCCCCTGACCGCTGGATGCCATGGGGCGGGCCGTCTGAGCCTTCAGGGTGTCCACTTCAGCCAGCAACTGGTTCAGCATGTCTTCAATGCGGCCGAGGTCGTTGGTGTCCTTGGCACCAAAGCTCTTCAGGAATGCTCTGCGGAAGAGATTATTCTTCTTGGTCGTCTCATCCACGGTGCCATCTTGAGATGCGCCGCTGAAACCCTTGACAGAGCGGGGCGCGCTTCCAGGGAAAGGTCGGGGGCCGCCGATGATATTCTTAACCGTGTTCTCGGTGTTTTCCTGGACTTCCTGGATGATGACGTCTTCGGTGTTTGCAAGGACCTTCTTTATCTCTTCGAAGGAGTTTCTCATCTCGGCAGCGGATCTGACCAGTGTAACTAGGATCTCGGTGTCGCGTGCACTGCGTTGCGCATCGCGAACCATGAGATGCTGCATCAGAGCGATAATGTCCTTTGACTCGATGCGCTCGATTCCTGCTCCTGTAGCCGCATCGTAAATTGGTGAGCCCATGCCTTGAGACATACCACTAAGGTGACGAGAGTGTCCCTTGGCTGGGGTGTAGAATGGATCCTCAGCGCCAGCATCGGAGAAGCTCATCATGGCCTTGCCCTTGGGTTGAATGCTGGGTGAGTGGATAGGCCCTTGAGAGATGTAGCCTTCGTCGAAATGTTTCTGTCCCGCGGGGCTCCCGGTATGATAGCCTGCGCCAAAGCCGTCGGGATCAAGGCCGCGAGCATTGAGTAGATCAGGGTTGACCACGGGGCTGGCGCCATCGTAAGGGTTTGTGATAAGTGTATCTCTTTTCCGGTCAGTCGAGGTGCGTTGCCACTCATCGTCTGGTTCTTGGCTGGCTTGTCGATTGTGCGCCATGGCAGCAGCTGTTGCAATCGCAGCAGCGCCGGCGGCTGTTGCCAGACCAAGGCCTGGGCCATCGCCTTTGGTTTCGTCGTCATACTGTTCATAGGCGGCTACGTCACTTTGGCGAGGTGTCGTGACGGGAGCCCACTGCTGTTCAGCGCGAGGCGTATGATTCAGCTCCTCGCGGACGAGAGATGGGTTGGTAATGAGATCATCGTCAACATACTCGGCCTCGGGCATAGGATCATGGAGTCCGGGCATGGCACTAGCACCCATCTTGGGCTCATCGTCATAATCCAGTCTGTCGATGCTGTGAGCGGGGGTGGTGGCGAGCTCGCGCCCATCCATTGTTCTTTCCTTGAAAGACTTGTTCCTGGAAATGCCCTCGGGCACGAAGTCTTCGTGGACCTCTTCTACAGTAGGCTGCTTAGATCGGTCTTTGGCCGCTTTCAGTGCTGCGGCCGCAGCACCAACTGCTCCAAGCGCAATGGCCTTCTCAGAGGCTGTGGGCGAGTGACGCGACGTAGATGGAGAGTTGCGATACCTTGTGGGGGCCACCTTATGGCCATACTCATCTAGGTCGTACTCGCCCGCGAAGTCTTGGGAATGGCCATGTCGGCTCGAAGTCGGCGTCCTGATGCCCTCGCGTTCTTCGATGAGGTCTCGCTGGCTCTTCACCGAAAGCTTGTCTGGGCTGTAACCTCGTGCAGCTCCGAGTGAGGCTGACTGAGCGTCGTAAGAAATGGTCGAGTCGCGCTTTCCGTACTCGTTATTTTCGGAGAGGGCAGAGCCAGCAGTGAGGACGGACTGATCAAGCATCGACCCATCGACGAGTGATGCGACGTTGGACTCAACACCAGCCGGAGCATACTGGGTGGGAGCATGTTGAATGTAGGGCTTCGCACCAACGTCATGAACAGCCTGGCTGGAGTCTGCGCGGTCGTAATCGCCATCGTCAGTGTACATGGTACTCCGATAGTCCTGTCCAGAGCTTCGGATGCTGCGGTCATCAACAAACTGATCGTCGAAGCCTCGACTGAGAACGTTACTGTGGCGGGGAGACTTGTCAGGAGACAGGCTGCCATTAGTGAGCCTTGAATCTCGCTGGCCAGGTGCTTCGCTGCCGCCTTCAGTGTAGCCGGAAACGCTGTAGATCGGGCTGAGGCCGCGCCGCTCCGGCTGGTACGGAACGTACTTCAGCGGGGGCGGAACGTCCTGGGTATTGTAATAGTCGGCTCCATCGTCATGCTGCTCGTAGTCGAGCTGCCGTGGTCCTGCACGGCTTGTTTCAAACTCTTCATCATTGTAGTTGTCGCGGAAATGGTTTGGAGGCATGTTGCTTTCACTCTGGTAGTCCTCGTGGTAGTCGTCGATGCGTTGACGAGGAATAGCGTTCAAGTCACCGCTTGAAACGTTGGCATGTCTTGTACCAAGAGTCTGCTGCAGGGTAGCAACAGATCGCGATGGAGAGGACGTCGCAGATATGTCACCTCGAGTCACCGCTTGGACTGATGAATATTCTTCGAGCTCGGAGCGAGGGTGCTCAGTCTCTGCTGACAAGATAGAGGTGCGGGTCAGCTCTGATGGGTTGATTTCGCTCATCAGGGGCATGGGAGGTGCTGGTGCCTCCTCCTCTTCATACTCTTCAGCGTACTTGTCTCGGCCCAGGCTGCGACTGCGGGCCGAACCATCAGCCCGCCGGCGCCTTCTCTGCCGCCTATCATCAGACACGGGAGATTTCGAGCTCAAAGCGGCGGCGGCAGCAAGTCCGGCAGCAGCGGTGCCGGCGATGGCTCCTGTTTTGAGGACATCGCTGTGAGTGACCCGAGACTGATCATCGACGGACTCGTGTACCGATAGATCGTCGACTGACTCTCCATCCATCCCATAAGGGCTATCGGCATAATCGTGGCGAGCCTCTCGGTCTCTTCGATCTCGAGCTCGAGAGTCGGCTCTGCGTCCGGAAGACCTTCGTCTGTCGACGTTCGAAAGGTCTTCTCGCGAGACGGATGTGGCTGTTGAAGTCAGCGAGCCACGACGGCTCTCACGCTTGCTCTGCTCCCGCTTCAAAGCACTCAGCTCGGGAAGGATCAGTCTGCGGATTGCGTCCTCTACCGTCTCTAGGAGCTTCGGGTTGTTGATCGAGGACTTGGAAGCACCTGAACGGACGGATTGCTGGTCTGTTGAACGATGGCTCGGCGTCAGGGCCGAAGACACGACGCTTGACTCTGTCGCAGAGATGAGAGAATCACCGTGGCTTCGACTAGATCGCCGCCGAGGTGAGCGAGTACCCTCCACTTGCTTCTCGCTCAGACTGCTGGCACGGCTTTTGCTGGAACGTTGTTTACGGTCTTTGTCCCGAACCTTGTCGGTGGATTTTGGGAGCACGATCCTGTCGCGGGTCTCGCTCCTGCTCTTACTATTCCTTGATTTGTCGGCAAGCGCTGAACCAACGAGCGCACCGGCGCCGCCCGCGGATGAGATTCTGCTGCGTGATGGGCTTCTGCTTTGTCGCTTCTCGACTTCTCTGTACGTAAGGTTGGTCGGTCCGGAGCCATCAAGAAAACTGTCCGTTGGGATGGCAGAAATGTCGGACATGTTAGTTGTCATGTAGCTGGACTGCTTGGCGTCAGCCGCGGGAATCAGCGGGCTCGCCGGACGTCGTCGTCGTTCGCTCCTATCAATTTCTATGTCGATAGGATTTCTCGACACATTCGACTCTTCCGTGGCCGAAGCATACGATTGCATACTGTCGATGTCTTCAGCGTCGAGCGTTTCCGTAGCGATGTGTGAGTCAGCTGTCGACGGTAAAGGGACTCGGCGCGTCAGAGATGTCTTCCGCGAGCTCTTCGTTTCGGTAATTTGAATGTGGTTGTTTCTGTTTTTCTTCGACGGCGTCAGACGCACACGGACGCTCGGCTTGCGCTCGACTCCCGAGGCAGACGGGCTGGTTTTGCCGCCTTCGAAGTACTCTATGAGGAGGGAAGTTTGAGAGCGGTTAAGCTTGTGACCGCGGGTCTTGATGGTGATGGGAGTGCCGTCGTCAGGTAAGGAAAAATGAGAGGCCTCGTCGGCGGGCTCGTCGTCTTCGTGATCGATGTCGTCGGCCGTGGTTAATTCGGTAGGGGTGATAATGTCGGTCTCGGTCGGGGCAGGCAGGGGGGGGAACTTCTTGGACGCAATACCCATTGTGCTTTGCCAAAGACCGAGTATGCGGGGAAGAGGTTGGCCAGGCGGCGAAGATTCGGTGCCTCTATTGAGGTGGATTTCGCCTTCCCCTGATCTCTCGTCTTTCCGCTCCGTGGGGTAGCGAAAGAGGAGGCGGGTAGCGGACAAGGTCTTGTTTTGGAGGCAACGGTCAAGCCATCAGTGGTGGATTCAAAGACTTGGCTGGGCGTTGCCGTGGCAGAAAATGTCTGGGCAGGGCCGAATCTATCTCGATACCAAGATCGAGGCAGGTGAGAGGTAGGCCAGGTCGCTTGCTCAACGGCGCAAACGAAGCCAAGACGAGCGAGATGTCGTTGTCGAATTAAGCAGTTCCAATTGTATCTTCGAAGATAGGAAAGTGCTCAAACGAACAGGTCCGTGGCGACTTGTTGGCAGGCGAGCAATGGGGAGAGTGACCACAAGGGAACAAGACTGAGAAAAAAAATCAGGAACGCCTGCTGTGCTGCGCTTTGTCGATAGGAGGCTTCGGAGGTGGCAGGAAGTGCCCACCTGGTAGTGCTTGTCGTTCCAGGTTGTTGGGCTTGGGGGTGGTGGTCGACTAACTACTGTCACGAAGGTGTGGTTGCGACAGTGAATGAGACTGGACCTGAAGACCACGGCCAGGAAGTGGCGGGCAGGAAATCTAGGTTGGTTGTACGGTTGGGTGGCGGTTGCTTGGGAGGAGGTCGGGGGATCTCCACTTGCGGTTGCCAATATCAACGGGGCTGGGGGGGAGGGGGTTCAAAGCCACGAGTTTCTCGATTGCTGTCGCATCCCGATTCAATCCAGGTCGCAAGACGAATTTTTTAATGAACAAACGGCACGCCAGAAGAGTGCCTTGGTTCCGTGTTTCTATGTCTGATGGTGGAGTTGATGATGACGCTGAGGACATGCGAGGCAGCGTGCACTGTTTTGCGACGTCGAGATGGGGGGCAGCTTCGTTGTTGCGCCTAGAACTTGGTTTGGACAGATCCAACTACTAGAGGCACCTTTGTCGGTGCTACCAGATACAGTACCGGCACTAGGAAGAGCGAAAACAAGAGGGCTGGCAAGCAAGTGCTGTCCAGGATCGGGCTAGGTTGATGAGTTGTCGTTGCCGATCACATCGGCCAATCGAAGTGCTCAGCAGGGGGGTAGGACGTCGCTAAGGAAGCGGGCTGTGTGCTCCACCAGCACCTGCCAGTATCGACCGAGCTCTCTATTGGGCCTTGCCCACCCCCAAGCTGCCTATTCACCTGCTCCCATCTGTTCCAGTTCATCTCACCGTCTCTTCCCCTTGCTGCCAGCACATGCGAGACTGTGCCTCGGGATGCCTCACTTGCTTGCCGTTTGCCTATCCCGACCTGCCGTCACAATCATGGATATCACACGAAACTTGCGCTGCTTCCTACTCGCCGACTCGTCACCTGTGGCGTGAGACGAGTGCGCCTTTTCCGGCTTGCCAACGTCCGTGTCCCACATTCACCCGGCCAACCATGGCGACAGTGTTCGTCTTTGCTCGGAAAGGGCAACGCCGTCTGTGCTTGCTGTGCTTGGGCTGCAATCATCCCACTTTTATTTTAATTCGCATCGCCAGTGGGAAACCTGGGAGCCAAAAGACCCCCCCCCCCCCGGAGAGCACCCCCTTCTCTTTTCCAGCTGAGGTGAGGTGGGACTCGGACGGGAGCTTTCGAGCGGCACGGATCTTCGGGTGGCTAGGGCGTCGCTGGCGGCGATCATCGAACCGAGCGTGTCTTTCCCATGACTGTCGAGAAGTGCCGACGCCGACACGGCTGCTTTTTTCTTCGGGATGCGAGAATCACTTGATGACCTGACGTTCAACCTGGCTCAGAGACATCCCCCAGGGTCTCGTCTCGCTCCCGCTAGCCCTGGAACCTCGCATTCCTCCCACTGCCGGCCCTATGTTCCACCACATGTCCGTCAGCTCCTCTTTCTGCCCTACACATTCCAATGCCCCTCCCCCTCCTATGGACCGCAGCGTGACATTCCACCCGTTCCCAAGATCCCAACATGAAACACCCCTTACTCGAGCCTCGCATGCGGTGAGGTTCCCTATCCAAGACCTGGGTGGAACGTCGTTGCAGCTCAAAGGGGGGCAGCCCCCGTGGTTGGGGGCGACAACCAACCTACACGCACAAGGTCGCAGCGCGAATCGGGTCCTCCCACAGAAAAAGCCAAAACGCAGGCTTCACTGCCGTGAGAGGATTCTGACCAGACGCAAACACCCCCCCCTCCCCGCGGCCTGCTCCTGAATTCTCGCCTGCTGTGGCGCAACCAATGACCTCGGCCAACAGACCACTGCAGAATCCTTGGGAAGGGAACATGATGTAACCTGCAAGGACCCAAAAGATGGAGCTGAATATTTGATCTCCTACCCAAATACTTCTAGTACCCTTTGCATCTGCCGCCCTACTTTGAGATGTGGCCTTATCGAAGCCTCATCACCTTGCACAAAAACGCAGTCACCCGCTTTGTGTCTGCACCTTGGCGTCGTCGCGGTACGTTGCCGCTTACAGGGTTGCACAATCCAGCAGTGGTTGGTGTTTGACCGAACACCACGAATATCTGAGCACAGGTGGACGCATAATACGATGAAATAACAGGAGGTGGAATCTCCTACGAGTGGTATCTCTCTGTAGCCCTTAACCTCCTCCTCTTCCCCAAAAAAATCGACCCAGCTCGTTTCCAATAGAGCTGTGGCAATGAATGACAATTGATGAGCTAGGTAAGCCTCAACCACCACAATCAGCTCGGCAGGGGCATGATAAAATGGCATCCCTGCCAACATGGCTCTCATCGCGCTTCATCTTCTATACTTCTTACTCCTCCTCTCCGTTGGTGGCATGAGACCGTTGGCCGGCATCTCCTCTGTGTCAGGGTTGTTCAAAAGGTCTGCGACGGTTGGGTTGTCGTTGAAATGTGTCGGGAAGCCCCCACCCACAATATTCCTGACAGTATCAACCCGCGCCATGAGTGACCATGAGTCGATCAGTACGATCGACTCACCGACGCGAAGTTTCTCTCGATATCCAAATTCTTGTACGTCTCCGTCATGTTCGATCTTGGACCCTCCTGTATGCGGATTTGATGCCGGTCGTCCGGATGTTGAGTACCCGGGCCCTTTGCCGTGCTCCAGCGAAGTCACGATGCTAGCAAAGTTCTTGCGGAGATGTCTGCGATCTTTTCTCGATGTTCCTTTCGCGGCTGGTTTTGATGCCTCGGCCATGCGGCTGATGAGGCGTTTGGGGTCGTACTGCAGATTCATGACCTCGCCAGTCTCCTCTTCGTGATCGCGCGCTGCCTCAAAGATAAAGGCAATATTGAAGCCAGCGCTTGTCTGAACATCAACGTCTGTGCTGTCAAGCTGCTCGACAAAGGCGTCCATGGCCGCGGAGACGAGCTCGCTGATGTCGTCAATCTGGCTGGCGACAAAGGCCCAGGATTGCAGGGCGGCCACGACCACGTCACCGTTGTCTCCTGCGCCGACAGATTCTCCGTCTGATTCTACCACGCCGACGAGGAACTCCAAAAGTTCCTCTGCAGCTGTTTCTGAGCCTCCTCCATAGAGGGCTGTCACCGCCATGGCCTGAATAGCGGCAGCCTTGACTTCGGCACTCTCATCGTCTTCGCAGGCTTTTTCGATCTGCTGGTAAATGTCGTCGTACAGGGAATCGGAGGGAGAGGTCAAAAGCGTGACCTGCAGGGCTTGCAGAGCCAGCGACTTTTCGAGGGTGCTGCCTCCAGAGCGGACGCTCCTCATGAGCGCAGTGACGATGTCGTGAGAAGAGCTCCCAACCTGCCGATCTGCGTAGTGTTGTTTGAGTAGGTGCAGATATGACACCAATGCGGTCTCCCGGCCCTTGACGCTACTGCGTTTGCGATCCTGAAGCTCGACGATACGGTCTTGTAAAATCTGAGTCCATACGGCGCCATGGCTCTCGTCAAAGACGGCTTCGGAGCCGTTAGACAAGGTACTAGCGGTCATGGAGTCATCGTAATCCTCCTCGCTTTCTTCTTCCTCGGAGGCGTAGCGGCTGCCAGCGCGGGAGTGGGCTGGCGAGTTGTACTGCGAGTGACCCGGCGAGCCGCTTGGCGAGTTCATGGTGGAGCCACGCGTGGACTCGGGGCGGGAGCGCGACTTGCGGGAAACGGTCTTGCCGCTCTCTCGGAGGACCTTGAGGCGAAGATCGTGCATGATGTCGGTATGCGTGTTGTGTTTGAGAAGGTAGGGGAGGAGTGTTATCCGGGAGATAGACGCTCCTGCTGTTCAAGAGCTGTCGTGGCGCTGTGAAGCTGTTGCAGGGTCGGGTGGCGACTGTCAGAGCGCGCTGGACTTTGCACTGGGAAAGCAGTCGAGGATCCAGTGATGAGCAGGTGTGGTGGTCAATGTCGCCTCGTACAGCGTGTAGTCCATGAGGGTGAGGGAGCCTCGCGGGGGATATGCATGCAGAGTAAATGAAGCAGAAAAGAAACGGTAAAAGATGTTTCTGGGGAATCCGGTGGCAAATCCCGGGTGCGTGTGGTGTTGCGAGGATGGTTTATGTTGGAAATAGGTCAGGTCAGAAATTCGTGTGTCCGGATCTTAGGTCTGTAAAAGAATTGCGGGCGGGCTGGTTGGAGCAGCGAGGAGGTACTTGCAGCTGGGATGAATGGATATCTGAGCTAGCTGCACTCCGCTAAAGCGGCAAGCAGCCAGGCCGATCAAAGAAGGGCAGCACAGCAGAAGTGCTGCGCTCAACTTGGGACACGACCCTCCTCGTCCACAAGCAGGTGGTTCGGCGGAAGGTACAGGCCACGGCACGGCGCTTTCCTTCTCAACATAGGTACCTTACCTAGGTACGTCAGGTCAGAACGCAAGGTCGTGGGCCATCGATGATGCAACCACTTGACGGGCAGCGGGGACACCCTAGTCACATGAAGGGGCCCACAAAGCATCCCTGAGCTGTCTGTTCGGAGGTGGGCTGATCCCTGGCGCTCTTGGTCGCGGGTAGGTGGGGCATAGGGACGCCTTGGGCAGGATGCACTTTTCCCCGCCATGGACGCAAACTCGAGGAATGGAGGACTGTCATGTAGCCTGGTGTCGCAAAGAGGCGAGATACCCGCTACAGCGGAGGCACAGTATCTTGATCACTCTGGGCTGCGACACATTGATCAGTCGAGCTAGATGTGCTGCAAGGCACCCGGACATGCCAGTAACCCCGTAGGCTCGGCTTCGTGGTCCATGTGACGAGCCAGATGGTCGGGCTAGAGAGTTGGGTGTACCATATTGGGCATCCATCTGCCAGCCCAGGCGGACACCTTTGCCAGCACAGACAGAACATGGGAAAGTGTAGACAGCGCCGCTTTAGACGCAGCGTAGAGCATGGTGGAAGACCCACGTGCCTCCGGACGGTGGACAACTGGATATTGGTGAGAAGATACAGGCGCTGGCCGCCTGGCATGCATTAGAATGGTCACCTGCCTGCCTCTGCCGACTTTGACTGGGGGCTCTGCCCCGCTCTACCTGTCCAGGTACATTAGCTTCATCCGCGATAAGATAAAGCACTCTATAAAGCTCGAGACTTCGGTCAGGCATCGTGTGGCGAGGGATGCCGTGCTGTCGACAAACGGAAACGCGAAGCGACAGATGTTCAGCATATTTCATTAGATTATTGGAAATGATTTTGATCAGGAGGAAAAAGGCCAACTTCCTGCTCCCCATTTGACGTGCAACCCCAAGCTGGTGGTCCAAGTCACTCGTCAGGCCCATAGGCAAGTTACCCCGCTTACCTCGATGGCTGCTGTTGGATACCTTATGCAAAGGTGCTACACGTCCCGTCATTCGCGTGATCACCACAGTGCCAGCTGACATTCGGTCTTGACTGTTCATCGCCCTCCTTGGGTTGTTTCAGCCCTCCCATCCCACTCGTCCTTATCGGCTCGTTGCTCATCCCATCTGCGTTGCTGCCTACTTTAGCACTTTGCTTCTCTCCATTCGAGCGGAATTCCAAGAGGAGGTCTCAGTGGTCTGTGGCAACGTATCTCAGCTCACCCCAGCCATTCTTACCGGCAAAATCAAGGCTCCTTCCCCCCCTACCATTAACATCGTTCCCTCCAAGCCTTTGTGAGCTTTCCCGACCTACCTGTTACCCTGATAACGGCAGGTATCTTCCTAGAGTTCGCGGGCACTTTTTGACCTGAACTAGGCAACTTCTTAGCTGCCCAGCGTTTCTATATCCTGGTGCTTGAACCACACCCCCCAAACCGACCTGTTACCCATACTCAACCACATACCCAGATCTGCTTGGCGGAAGTAGCAACCTCATCAAACGCGATCACCCCGAGATTGAATGTTACTCATATGAGAGAGAGAGAGAGAGGAGAGAAAGAAAGCGTCGTTCCATGCAGCTCTTGGGCGAACATCAACCCCTCAAGATAAGCAGCCGTTTCCTCGGAAGCTGTTTCCAACTCAGCACCATCTCTGAGGACTGGGATCCGACCAAGCCGTGGCTGCCTGTTATCGAACGCCTGAATCCCCAAGGTGCCCTGCCCCACCAACCTGTTGTACACAGTGCACCACCTCCAAGCCGCATCACACCTCGACCTCCCACTTACCTCCCCGTTCCCGTTTTCCTCTCAAGTTTGGCATCAGAAACTTAACTTTCTTCCCCTCCCAAACCTTGACCGTGACCTTGACGAGCTTGCCTGTCGAGCCTTTATACCCCAGCACCACTGCACTTCCCTCGCCTGATCTTAGCATCCAGGCCATTGGTTTGGGTGGCAGCCCATTGTTCGCCTTGCAAGTGACTTGTGTGTAAGTTGGTTCGAGAGCTTGAGGCGAGACTTTTGGAAACAAGCAACAGCTGACCCTCTCGACCACAGCCTTCAATACCGAACTGCCTCGTCATTCTCCGTATCAAGCCCGGCTTCTTGACGTGGCCATTTGACTCACGATTGCCGACACCAGTCAACATGTCTGACGATCGCATGTCCTCGACTGACGATGGTATGTCCCTCTCTTACTCTTGCAGGTACAAGTCAAACTAACGACTACCCTCGCAGTCATCGTCAGCCTCAGTTTCCCGATCTCCGATAATGCTTACCCTGAGCGTCGCATTACACTCAATGCGGCCAGGCCTTCCATTCAAGTCGGCCGTACCAGCAAGAGAGTGGCCAACCTATCTGCTGCCCTTGACAATGCCTGGCTTGAAAACCCCGTGATAAGCCGTGAGCATGCCGAGATCTTTCTCGGTCCAGACACAGAGAAGGTACGAAATTCATGACCGTCTACCTTGCGCTGGCAGGCGTCCTCGAGCTCTGGAACCATGTCCATGATATCAAATGCTGACCGTACCAGGCTGTCTACATCAAGGACCGTAACTCGAGACACGGTACTTTCGTCAACAAAGACCGCGTCTATCCCCATACCCCTGTCCAGCTTCACCAAGGTGATTTCGTCAGATTTGGTATCGATATACAACGTGACCAGGGCCTCTATCCCCCGCCCTCTGCTTCCATCGACATCCAGTTCATCAATGGAGCGGATCACAATACCACAGGCACTCATACCCCTGTTGATCGCTCAGTTGGGTATCACGTTCCTGAGACTTCTGACGACAGTGATGGCTTTGACAGCGACGATTGTGACGATGAGGACTGCAACGCAGTACGCAGCGCTGTCGCAAACCTTCGAGCTGCCGGAGAGCAACGAGCACCGAAGCAGGATACTGCTGCCATCACTCCAACGACTCCTGCAGTGACGCCTGGCGCTGCGCCGTCCAAAATCAGTATCAGCGCCGAAATCATCGACCTTGACCATTACGAGCCTAAGGGTGAGACTGTCATCGATCTGACGGGACCCTCCGCTTCAGAGCAGTTGCCCACAGTATCTAAACCAGCTCCTTGTGTCACTGAAGTTCTTGACTTTGATTGTGACGACGAAGACAAAGAAGATGTGCACCTTTCTATGGAACCAGAACCAACTTACTCGGTCGATCACTCCCACCAACCTATCCATTTTGACACGAGCGAGTCGGAACATGAGTCTTCAAATGATGATACTCAACTCGATGGTGCTCCTTTGGGGGTGTGGAGCAGCTCAGTAATTGCTGGCACTGAGCACACTGGAGACGATGACGAGGACGACTTCGAGATTGAGTCGAGTGACTCGATCAGCAGCGAGGATGAATCCATCTCAGACATCGATGAGTATGAAGACAATTACGAAGAAGCATCCATTGCCATGGAAGATGCCGCCAAAACGCAAAGCCCATTATCGTCAGGCTGGGGGGGCTATCCGGAACTATCACAATCAGTTAAGGAATGCAATGAACTTGGATTCCTTCCTGCAATCGGGTCCGAGAAACCGCAAGGTATGACCTCCCCCTCTTGTGTTTCAACAGCTAGAAAGCCTCTGACATGCTCCTCATCAGTTCCTACATCGCCGCCAGAACAGCAGTGGATGCTTCCACCCTTGCAACAGGTCCTGGGCTCCAACGGGATGACCATGTCCACCCTGCCAACCATGATTCCTGCGGCCCCCCAGTGTACAATTTTTGTTTCGGCTTCTGCCACGAATTCTCAAAGCATCCAAAAGTCACGGAAACTCCCGCCCTGGCGAGAGGCAGCCGCCAACCTACAGCCGGACCGCCCGGGCCAGTCATTCAACACTTGGCGGTCCGAGAACGAAGATTTCCTTCAGGCGCGAGAGTCAAACAAGCAAGAGCTTCGTCGACGCCTATCGGTCTCCAAGACAGAGCTGCCCAAATCGAGTGTGACTCTTCTGTCGACGCCAACAACAGAACCTGCTTTGTCGGGTAACCTCAAGTCTGAGAACGAATCGACGGCTGCATGCGAGCCTGTAATACCAACAGACGACACCGAGGACTCTCTCGATCTTGCACCGTGTTCTAAAAATCTGTTGGTGCAGTCGTCTCCACCCGCTGAAGCCGTGTGGATTGATTCCGGCGACAGGTTCCTCACTGGCCCCGTGAACGACCCCGTCATCGCCGACGCTCGCATTAGCCCTGAGCTGGATATGACTAGCGCTTGGTCTTTCAACCAAAGCAAAATGGCTACAGCTACGGTGGAGCCCGACAGCAACATCCAAGCTAGTATGGTTGAGTTGCAACTAATTGGTGCACCTGTCAAAATTTGCGAACAGTTGCGATCTCGGACCTCTGCGAAGCGCAAGGCTTCTGACATTTCGGATGCTGTGCTCGGAGAGGAGGCAGTGGAGGCGGCTCTCAACGATACCACCAACGGTGATGATCTAGCAGCCAGAGCGCCTTCTGCGTATATGGGCCGTGGCGACCCAGCAGTCTCAGCTTCCTCAGAGACATCAAAGTCCAAGCAGAGGTGCAGCTTTGGTGTACACGAGCATGGCTGTGACCGCCCGTCAAAGCGATTTAGACGCATGGCTGAGGCAGCAAGTCTTGTCGCCCTTGGCGGCGCAGCTGCAGGCGTGGCATTTATTACCACACTCATCGCAACGGCTCCTGCCCTTTGAAGGGCGTCAAGGCTTTCGGAGCTATGCATGCTTCTCGTTTTCGCTGTTGGTCAGGAACTTATCCAACATCCAGGATGGTTCCATGTTCAACGAGTGGGGTCTCGTTTGATTTGTGGCAGGCGTCTGGAGGAAATGGTGCGTTTGGTTTTCCGTTCTGGCCTTTCCAGTAAGGCCGGCTTTTGAGACGTAGTAATCGCTTGGTGGGTCAGCTGTCTTTTATTCCTTTTAGCTCTACTGTAGGGAAGGTAGTCGACAGTGAATCAAGATTTCTCCACGCGTAGGGAACATGCGACTCAGGACCGGGATAGAAAGTCGACCTTGGCACTGTTTCTGGAGATGACACTAGTCCAATAGGTTCTGAAAGCGTTCTGAGTATGCCAGAGTTTTGCAGTCATGGTGCCCTCACTGGCTTTGACAAGGCGAAGAAAAGATTCGGCGCAGCCCGGCTTGCGGGACGCAAGAGCTTTGCCGGCTGGACAGTCGTCTGATGGCCACGTCGCCAACAGAGACTGGTGAGTTGATGGAGGATCGACCAACACGTGGAGACCTTTTCCTTCTCCTGAACCTCGTGGACAAGGCCGACAGATTTCTTCGTGGTGGGACTCGACTGTGCTGATCGCAAAATGCTACTGACATCGTCGGGCGACGAAGAGCCGAGGTGTGGTAACACCAGGAGAAGAACTGTCGTATCTCTCAAATATGGTCTGGGAAAGACAAAACTTAAAGGGGGGGGGGGACGATGGTGCCTTTGCCGTTACTACATACTTGGCCGCGCGCAGCCAACGTGCCACAGCCGGCGGTGGCGCGGCAAAGGCGCCTAGCGTCCCAAGTACATCTGAATCAAAAAGTCACTGAGACCGGTTGTCTGCAAATCGTCTGCAGAAAGGTGAGGTGGATGGCAGCACAAAGAGAAGCGGTCTTTTGGTGCTTGCCAACAAGAACGAAAGCGAGTGAACATGCCTTGAGGTAGTTGCCCAATAGCAACTATACCAACGACAGTGCTACCAGCACCGAAAAGGATGGATATCCAGGCCTTCACTCACACGACATCGCCCATCCTGCCTAGTTGAAGTTTGTCTCCTGTTCAGGAGTGGTAATTTAACCCTTTCGAACACCCAAAGACAAGGCTTGTACCCTCAATGTGAGCAAGCTTGTGCACAGAGGGCCCTCGGGAGGCCCCGTCGTTCAGGGGCGGCCCCGAGGTCCTTGCTTTGGAGTCACATGGCCTTGCACACAAGCGACAACAAGTGATGATGAGCGGGTAGCGACAGAAAGAGGTGCAGCCCTCCGGGTCGTGACAGAGCCACTCCCTTCCCACGATGACAGATGCCGCACAGTCGATCTGGACATAGCGAACAAGAGGCATCTACGGTGAGCCTATGACCCGGCGGAAAGGCGATCGCCTGACTACGGGTCACCTATGCGCTGAGCACACCCTCAAGGGGGCGCTACCCGACGGTTTGGTTCAGACAAATGATATATCCTGACCTAGACGTCAGTGCTGCCGACGCACTGTCGTTGATCCAACTGTCCGCCTGTCAAGTTGCATCTCGGCTGATCTCGATTCTCCAGATGCATGCAGAATATTTCAGACGAGGCTAAGGCGGCCAACGAGACAGCTGATCTCTGCAAAGAAGAAAGTTTCGAGGACGAATGACAGCTTCTTGCAGACGCTAGTGAAAGTTCGGACATCGCTCTTCAGAGAAGGCACTCGAATAGGATGATATCATCTCGGCGGTGGCTGCCATCCGATAGATATGGGATTTCAAGGCAAGACTTCGCAAGAAGCTGTCATCATTCTTCAGCAGTCAGTGTTATCCAGGACCAATCGCTGCCGCAGCAATCCTTCCACCGTACGCAGCGTACCTGTCTCGTCAAGCACACTCTGAGGTGTGCCCCTCGACCGTATAGACTAAGCACTTGGTTACGGTGGCATGCGCCATTATTTTCAGTGCTCCCAAGCCTCGAGACTTGAGACGAGGCAAACGTCAGCCTCGGTGTCTTGTCGTGGTCACAAGACCCGCCCTCGAAGCACCTCCCTCTGCTGTGCTGGCTCCGCTTGGCAAGGCTCTCCTGAATTGGGCTGCCACGAATCCAAAGAACTGCTGATTGCAGGTCCCAGCACGAGAGCGCGGAAGAGCGATGGCTGCTCTGACATAGGGCTATATAATGTCTGCAAATCCTCTGCCCCTTTCGATATGGTTTCCGCATGCAAATATTGACTTACGGAATACTGTGACTGCGCTACTGTGAGCAATCACTGATTGTAATCGAAATCAAGACTCTCAAATTGCGGTCATCGATACCCCAATACGTCACGATGAGTGCCAACTCTGTCTTTGTCTGCGGCTGTGTCCGTGGGCTGGGAATCTGCGTCAGGTGTCCTATCTGCGCCGGGTCGCCGAGACTGTATGTGCATCTGCTTTAGCTTTTCCAGACGGCACACTGATCTCAGTAGAGTTGCCGACTGCGATCCCTGCATGAGGAGTGGCGTTGTCTGGCATAACCCGCATTGTCACGCACCAGCAGCTTACACTCGCACCCCGCCGCCAGCGCCTCCTCAACCAGGTGGTCGAGGACCCCGCGACGGCCATGGATCGTCCTACCAGAGCGTCCCAGCCAGACGCAATTGAAGGACTCACAAGACACCGAGTTCCTGGTGACTCGAGATTATGCCTTTGATTCTGTACATGTCATCTCCAGAAAGTATCATGAATAGCCAAGAGTGCTGGGGGGTCCCTGGGGGATCCGTGGGGGTTCAAGAATAGTCTGTAGTTGCGCAAGCTCTGAATGAATGGCAATCTGTGAGGTGAGCCGCTGAGACCAGGTATCACGTGCTTGCTCATGTGTTTCTACTCTGAGTCCCAGTGTGAATATTGTTGAGGATTGACGTTGGGCAGGGTGCGCTACCTAAAGCTCGGTTGACTGTTCCTTACCAATCGCCGAGTGAAATCGATCACCTGTACCGCCGCTTGGCGTTGACGCTTCAGACTGGGCTTCATCATGAATTCTGACAGATAGCTCAGTGGTTAGTCACAGGACATCAGATGAACGAGCGGCGACCAGAGAGCTAAGGCAGCAAACACGTGCTGACAGAGAAGTACCAGCGAGCAGTCTCTTTCACATGACCCGATAGGTCCCAGAATCAAGGCGTTCGATGTTTGTCGCACCGCTTCCGGGGTCACGAAGCACGTGGACTTGGGGCCTTTGGGGTCCGAGGCTTGGGCAGCAGACGATAGCTTCAGAGGGAGGGTGCGAGAACTTTGGGCAGTAATTTCAATGGACCAGGACCGAAGTGTGACAAGGGACTTGCAACTTTGCGTGCCACGGCAGAAGCTCCGAGATGCGTCCGTCGAGGTGAGCGTCCCTGAGGGTGGTGAATCGTCACATCCGCCTGCGTATTTTAGGTTGATCCATGCGATGCGGTGTGGGCTAGACTGTGACTCCACCACACAATCATCTAGAGATGAGACGATCTGCTGTATCTGATCCAGGAATTCTGGTAAGGGACACATGTACCCAAGCAGATGTGAGATGTCTTCTTTGCACGGGGGCAGGCCGTTTCGGGATGCCCATCGAGGACTCCTGCTGTTTCGCTGAGGTGGCAAACTAGTTGTTTGAAGAAGCGACATGCTCAAAACGCAGCCGATGACATGTGTCGGGATGGAATTGGTCCACGGCCTCGAGATGTGTATGACACCTTTGGCCCAAGCCTGTACGTACGTTTTGCGTGAGCGATCACCGGCACGTGTACTTGCATGTTCCGATACAGTCTTGGATGAAGCGACATGCCCTCGCCCCGGGGGCCGGTGATAAGGCAGGTCAGAAGCTTGTGGCCCGTCATGGCGCGGGGCTTTTGTTGCTGAAGGGTAAATTGATGCAACATTTATGCCAGGGCATGACGCTCAAGATCAGCCAGGTTAGTTGAGTATCTCTGATGTACGGTAATTCGGTCAAGACGAGTCTCGCTAAATCGGCTTATTCTTCCTGAAATACGAGAATGATGCATGCTGAAAATACCAGTGAGAGATCGTGCGTTCGGAAACAAGTTTCGTGGGGAGGTAGCCAACAGGTGATGCCTCAGCGTGAAGATAGAGCTGGCGTGTCGCACGTGATGAATGATGATGAATGTCTCCCACAACGTTCCTTCCTAAGTAAGGTAGCAAGGTAGGTAGGTAGGTAGGTAGGTAGAGGGGTCGGAGAATATGACTAAGGCAGTGAGCGGCCGGTACCTGGCAGGACTGGTGGGACTGTGTGACCCTGGCAGCACCAGAGCTTCAAAGACTCCACCTCGGTGTCGGCCTGCTGGGTGTTTGGGTGGGGCTGGGCTAGTACTCTGCTCGATCAGGTCCTTGCGAGCATGAGGGGACTCGACATTGACAGCCTTGGACCATAGCGACGCCGCCTTGGATGCGATTCTGCGTTCTTTCCCTGCACCTTGCTGCAGTTTACTGATACGAAACTCCCTGTCGTATAACATGCGAACGCCAGAGCGGCTACCTCAGTAAACATGTCTGTGATTCTTTGCACAGGTAAGCAAACAGTGCTGTTGCGCACACCACGAACCTTATCGATATCTGCCCTTCGACCGCCGCCTGTCGCAAATCACCAAGCTGTTCTTGGACCGTCCTCTGATCTGCGTCCCTTGCTAATTTGTGGCATGACCTAGCTGGCTACGACCACACCATTAGGTATGAGACTCCTCCCATCTGTCCTTGACGCACCTGCTGCTCTTGAACTTGGCACCGCCTCGGACCCCGATAGCAGTCACGATCTTCGGCTGACAGACATCGCAGGTTCTGGGAAGCACTCTCCGGCATCTGCTCTCGTACGATTCAGCACCCCGACTCACAGGTCAACCGTCTCTGCATATCTCCCGACAAGCGTTTTCTCGCTGCTGCCGGCCACCACACGGTCAAGCTCTTCGACATCAAGTCGACCAACCCGAACCCCCTCCTGACCTTTGAGGGCCACACCGGGAACATCACAGGCGTCGCCTTTCACTGCGAAGGAAAATGGATGGTCACAAGCTCTGAGGACGGCACCGTCAAGATCTGGGAGACACGGTCAGGCCAAGTCCAGCGTAGCTACAGCCACGGCTGCCCCGCCAACGACGTCGTCATTCACCCGAACCAGGGTGAAATCATCAGCTGCGACCGCAACGGCAGCGTTCGCGTGTGGGACCTGGCCGAAAATAACTGCTCTCACCAGCTGATCCCCGAAGAGGACGTGTCCGTGTCGAGCGTCACCGTCGCCAGCGACGGCTCCCTCCTGTGCGCGGCCAACAATGCAGTATGTTCTCCCGACGGCACCCACCTGCCGCCGCTGCAACACGTTACTGACCCCGCCTAGGGCAACGTCTTCGTCTGGCAGCTCCTCCAGGCCTACGACCGCACCCAGCTCGTTCCCGTAACCCACTTCAGCGCCCACAAGGAGTACATCACCCGCATCCTCCTCTCGCCGGACGTCAAGAAGCTCGCCACGTGCAGCGCCGACCACACGGCCAAGATTTGGGAGGTCAAGGACATCGAGCCCGTTCCCGACGAGGAGGGCCCCAAGCCCTACCCTCTCGAGGCCACTCTCAACGGCCACCAGCGCTGGGTCTGGGACTGCGCCTTCAGCGCCGACTCAGCCTACCTAGTCACGTCGTGCTCAGACCACTACGCGCGACTGTGGGAGCTGCATAGCCAACAGATCATCAGGCAGTATAACGGACATCATAGAGGATCTGTTTGTGTAGCGCTTAACGATTACTCCGAGGCAAGATGAGCCGTCATTGTTGCTAAGGGTTGCCAGAGGTCGGGGGGTTCAAGGTAGCAGGTTCCTCCCTTTCCCATGCTGTTTTTAGTTCATGAGTTGTATGATCCAGGTTCAGGGTCGGGTCGGCAAGGCGTCTGGAAATTTTTGCTGCCCACTTGGGTCAATTTGAAAACGTGTTGATCAATTGACTGATTAGATTCGTACCACGATCCTTTTCAAGCAACCGATCTCGTGCTCTAGCCCTCGTCTATCGTGCTTGTTTTCACGTGATGGTATCCAAAGTAGAGCTATGGTCTCCGGCGACCCGACAACGCCAGCAATGTGATGAGATGGAAGCCAGAAAATGGAACGTCCGTCCGTCATGAGAGAGGCCGTTTGTGAAATCATTACGTCCTTTACCATCCGTCACCCCAACCGTCATCGTCACCCGTTTCCTTAGGCTTCATGTCAATCTTCTTGGCAACTACCGGCTTCGCTGCTGGCTTCGCAGTTGGCTTGGTGGCAGCAGGCTTCTTCGCCACAGCTGATGTCGACTTGGTGAGTCCTTTCGGCAACGGCTTGGAGGGCCCACTCTTCTTCTGATTTTGAGCAGCCAGCCAGCCGGCGAAATCAGGCTCTGATCCGTCGTCAAATGGCGTCGAGCTGGCCGTCGTGGGCTTGGACGCTGCAGATTTGGCGCTGGGTGCGTCGAAATACGTGTCATCGTCATGCATTTCTCCCCATGCATCGTCTTCACCAGCACCATCAATATCTTGGAAAAAGGAGTCTGCAGCCGGCTGAGGTGTTGCCCGGGATGATGTGGGTGGCGGAGAAGTAACGGCCTGTCTGTGAAGTGTGGACGCGGTCGATCCCGTCTTTTTGGTTTCCAGGCCAGGAGACGAGGCCACTCGCGGTGTCGTCGTTCCAGACGTCGTGCCGTGATCGTTCGTCTGCATCTCACCTGCAGCCGCAGACATTTTGTTGGTGAATGAGGAAATAGCCCACCCAGTCCATGAGGAGCCCTCGCTGGGCTGAGGGGTGCTCATTCTTGGGCCTGCTGCAGCCTCGGCAGCCGCCGGAGGGGGCAGTACAGACTCGGGCATGGCCGCGGCTGCCTTGCGAATCTTCTGCAAGTAGACATCTATGCTCTTGTTCGCCTGATCACGCACCAGCTTTTCCTTGTCCATCAGCAGCGGGCAGATGGCAGGTAAGATTCGCGTCGCGCAGTCTTCGTCGGAAAAGTGCTCGCTTGTTGCGCCCAGTGCCATGAGAGCAGCATTTCGGCCGTGTACAAAGGGATCGCGAAGAGAACGAGTAAAGGCTGCAATCAGCACCTTTGCTCTTGACGAAACACCCAGGTTCTTCGCGATCTTGCCGAGGCAGATGGTCGTGTTGGTTCGAATGCCCGGTTGTTCGTCATTCGCCGTCTTGGCTAGGTACCGTAGCAGCTCGCCATTGATAGTTCGATCCGACAATTTCGAAATGATGACAAGCACAGACTTGAGAGTCTGTTCCCTGACTATAGGGGCTGCATCTGCAAAGCCTGTCACCAGTTGCGGGAAGATCTTGTCGTTGACGATTTTTTGTGACAGACGGTCGATCATCAAGGGCAGACTGTCGAGGAGGCACACCCGAATTGCTCGGTCCGGGTTTCCAAATAAGCGGATGACAACCGGAGTGATCCTGGAGTCGAAGTCTTCTCCGGACAGTTTCCCCGTGATTTTCATAACCACACCGAGGGCCTTGGGTCCACCGCCGCCAAACTCAACGGATTTGAGCATCTCAGGCAACGCCTTCATTTTGATGAAGTCCTCCGGGAGATCGTCGGTGATTTGTTCGAAGCCACTATGTTGAGTCAGTATCTTGCAAGCGATCGGGATGTATGAACTAGGCTACTGACTCGATGAAAGATTCTCGTTCAGGCTCGGACATGACTCCCATGTTGTCGATACCCTCCGTCAACTTGATGAGGGGACTGTCAAAGAATGAGCCCGTACGAGACCCTTGGTCTAAGAAGTGCGCAGCACTCAGGCGTGCTTTGGGGTTTGGATTCACAAGTCGCTTGTAGCTTGCGTGCATCGTGGGCGGGATGTTCTTCGTCTGGCCCGCCTGATCGGAGCCTTGAAAGTCGCCATTGAAAGCCTCGAAGACGAGGCAGCCAAGACCATACGAGTCAACTGCCGAGTGAGGACTCTTCTTTATCGCGTCCCACCCACTACGGGCCAGTTCGGGAGGCGTGTACCGTCCTGAGTCGGGGACGAGGCTTCCGTATGTCTGCCGTCCCCGGGTCAGTCGTGCACGGCATACATGATGGAGCGCGACTTACATAGATAACTGCTTCGTCATCTTTCACGCTGCTCAAGACTTCGAAGCCGCCCAGCTTCCATTCTCCACTCTCGGATGTATACACAGAGCCAGCCTTGATATTGCCGTGAATCGAGGTTGCCTCGTCGTTTATGAACTTGACCGTCCGCTGCTGCAGTGTCAGACTTTTATCACGGACAGGTAAAGCAGGCGCGCCTCCAATAACGTACGGCAACACTGTGCAGACCCCATTTGATAGCCTCGGGACTCAGGCTTTTTCTCCTGATATGCCACCTCAGGGGCACGACCCTCTCGGTCGCAATGTAGATATGGGTCTCGGTCTGGGAATCATGGTAAGAAGGAGGTCGTTGCATAAAGCAGGCGAGCAGCGTACTTCGACAGTGTCTAGAACTTTAATCACTCCAGGATGTCGGAGCGTCCGCAGCTTGCGCAGGGCGTTCTTCGCGAGGGGTAGTCGAGACTTGTTGGCGGCTATGTCGAAGGAGAAAACACTGCAGCTGGATCCGTCTTCCTGGATGGTATGTCAGGTTTTGCTTTCATAACAGAGGCCGGACCGGAAGCGTCCATTGTACTTACCCTCTTTGTGCCATTGTTCAGGGTCCAGATGGACTGGTCAACATCGACCTTGTCGCCAATGTTGTAGGGTAAGGGGGACCCTTGGGATATGGCCGAGGCCACAGCGGAGAAGAAATTCATGGTCGCACAGCAACCTGGAAGCGCCCGCGACACGCAACGAGGAGAATGAAGTGGTGTTGGCTGATAGCGATCGCGTCGTGAGGACTAAAGAAAGATATGTGGCCCCCTTGAAGTGTCACGTCCTGAAGACAGCTTACTACGATAACTACACTCAGTACTCAGTCGGCACAGGCGTAGTCGGACCCTAAGGTCAACCTGTCAGGACAGGGACAGAGCGTCTGAGCAGAACCCCGCGCTAAGCCCGTTCGGGCAGATGGAGGGGCTGTTGGGCAGGCGAACAGGGCGTAGACAGCGCTGACGGGAGCTAGGCGATCATGCTTTTTGGCGTGTCGTGTCCGCTGGCGAACGGGAGCTTGGACCAAACCGCGAGCAGACCGGCGGACCAAATAACGGCCGATGTGGCCCTGGTCCTGACGGGCCGTCAAACCAGCTGAAGGTTGCAATTCGAAACGGTAAATGACAAGGTGGCTCGCTTCGAGCGAAACAGGAGAAGAGAAAAAAAAAAACACGGGGCATTCGTCCCTACTGTCCTTTGTGGGGCACCGCAGAGAGATGGAAGGAAGGAGCGGCGTTGCATCTCAGTCTTTGCTCATTATTTTGGGTGACTGTAGAAGTTATCTGGAATAATTACGAAGCTGGGACACCCTGGACAATCCACAGGATTGCTGTGCTATGCGGGCAACAACTACAGCCGTGCAACGACAGACCAAACAGCTACGTTGTCTTTCTTCATTGGAAAGCGAAACCGAAGTCACTTTTGGAGTTGATCTCGATGAACGATGCGACAACACGCAACAGCCCGCTGGCTAACAAGCTATACTTTCCACAGTACGGACGGCTGAAGCCTACAGCAAGGTCATTTCTCCAGAGGAGCCATCGCCCATGAAACTCTCACCACAGACTTGTCATAAGTCGATGCCAGGACCCCGTACTTTCATCCCGGTGTGAGGGTTCAAGCACGCTCAGAAGACGCGAGCAGCCTGACTGCCACCCTGAAGGTTCAGCTAGGCCGAAGTGGTAGGGTTTTGCAGGCAGCTGACCAGGCACAACTAACAACAGTAATGTCTTCTCAGAGACTGACCTCTGTTCTGAGGATCTGCCACCATGCCCCTCTGACTGAGCATGAGCCTTAGGCTGTGGTTGAGTTGCCATGTCAAAGGCTCCTAAGCCAGGAGTCTGCCGTGCCGAAGCATGGCCGTTGTTGGTTCTTGGCCGCGCCAGTGGATAGCCAGCGCCACAAGATGAGTATGTCTCCATGCGGAAGTGGCTTTGACGTTTCAATACGAACGTGTCAATTAATTGCAACATGGATAGCATATATAGGGCAATTCGCGAAGGGTGGCGTAGCATGTACAAGGGCAACAGACGAATCTGAGCAAAAGCGGCATCTGGTGCTAACCCGATTCGTCCAGCGCCAAGGGTGGTGAAGCCAAGAGCAACTCCAGTCAGCACACCTCTGGCGCTCGCTGTGCCAATGCCACCCACCTATCTTGCCCACCTAATGTACCCGCTGCTGAGGTACCGTCCTATAGACATACCCTGTTTGTTGTGAGCTTCATTCATCCACCACAGCCTCGCTCGAGGCTCTGTCTTTGCATCTGCCCTGACCTGGCAAGGCTGGGTGACGGCCGAGGAGACACCTCATCATACCACTTTTCTTCTAGGCCCGATGCGTTCGCCAATCAAGGTTCACTCGTGCAATCACCTACCAACCATGCGTCAGCTGCAGTCATCGAAGCAACCTCTCTTCACACACGAGCCGACTTCTTTTTGTCTTCGCGGACGACGCACTTCGATCAGAGGGACCACGTGTATTTTGACAGCCTGAGAACGCTAAACTTGTCATCACCTCCCCCCGCCTCACTCGTGCGCATCCGAGTCAACCACTAAGTGGTACCTGTCCAATCTCCGCGGTATGTACCCTCTCTTCTCACTGACGGGCACCTCTGTCTTTCCGCTTTCCCTCCCCCCAACGCAGACTGTGTCTCGTTCATGATGAACTTCTGGTAAAAGGTCCGATGGGAGGGAGCCCTTCTGGGGTTGGAGTCTGCCTGATGCGTGTGTTTGGTTTGGGAGGGGACCGAAGAACCACCCCGACCTCGAACTCGTACTCGAGAGTTGAACTCTCTCGTGGTCCTACCAGTCTGTCGACAGCTTCACGTTGTCTTGCCCTGGTGCCGGTGCAGACCAAGTACTCTCGGCTACACACCTGGTTTTCACGGAGAACACATTGATGCGCTGCTCCGACTTTGCATTGCCACTTTATGGAGTTCGGCTCTTCGCTGCCTCAACCGCGTCGGACCAAAGGCTGCGGCAAACAAAATCTCGTCGCCTCTCCCGCCAAACGCGTATCATGGACTTCCAAACCGCTGCTGGCGCCCCTCGATGAAGACACATTTTAGAGAAAGAACTGAATCCGAAACACAATTTAAGCTCCTCTTCGCTGGCGACGCGTTTGATGCAAGACAAGATCATGCATATATATCATGGCTAATTTGCATCGCAGAACTCCACCCACCCAACTGGGGCGGCCAACGTCTGCTGGGGCCTGCCGATATTGCGGGAAAGGTGAGCAATTTGATCAAGCACTTTACGCGTGTGGTAACCGATGTGGTTCGTACTTTCACGTCGCTTGCCATCGCCACATACCAGCCAATAGGTACGTGGCCACGTTGTTCGTCCGGGATCCTCATCTCTCGAACGGTCTGGAACCTCCATCGCGTCACAACAAGCAACACTGGCTGACTGGTCTTTCAGACGCTGGTTATGTCGTCGTTGTTTTCGACAAGGGAAGATCAAAAGCCGACATGACCAAGAAGCATCTGCCACCTCTCACTTGAGCAGACCCAGCGTTTACTCCAGCCATCAGTCCGGCAAATCAGCCTCTACCGGAGCATCCTCGGTGACCCCCGGCCGAAAGATGGACCACGAAGAGCCACCATTACAGCCTCAGCCTCATTTCGGAATGCAATGCCGTTACCCTGGCTGCTCGGTCACGGTTCTGTTCATGGATCGGTATTGTGCGCATCATGCCGCACCAGACCCCCCACAACAAGCAGGCGGATACTGGCGCCAATCCACCATGGATGACCGACATAGAGCGAGTCCCAGCCGTACTGATAGTACTATGCCAGGCTTGCCAGTGAACTCTCGACTCGGAGAGGAATTTTTCCACCGGGCCCAACGGACAGCCAAGAAGGTTGCCCAAAGTCCCGGGATTCAAAACATGCCGCGAGGACTCACCCCGTTCTCGAGGTCAGGCACACCACAGATCCCTAGTAGCCATCTATTGCATCCCAAAGCAGACACATACAGCCCAGTACCATTGCCCAACCATCATGGAGCTCAGTGGCCGCCGTCAGGAGGCTTTCCGCGGAAACGGCCAGTGGCAGGGCAAGACAACCCTCCACCCAGGCCACCGATCTTCAGACCCTATCTACCCCCTATCCTAAGTATTGCACCGAAGCCCCTATCACCCGACCGCGATCACAAGCCTCGAGTCGAGGCTTCGAGATTAGAGTCGACGATATCACTTCCGCCGTTGCGAGATCATTCAGCATTACCACACGAGAGTCATACATCCTCCCTGCCACATCTGAATTCGTGGATCATAGAAGATCCGCGGACCGGAGGCTTTCCTCGACACAATTCTTTCAACCCACCACCTCCAAAGCAAAGTCCCCTGCAGATATTCCGGACAGATTTAGAAAGCAAGGCGGAAAGCTGGTACGCGCGACAGGAAATCGAACAGCAGCAACGGCTTAGGCAGCCATCAGAGTCGAGTGAGTCTCAGCCCAGCACACGGCCTCAACAGAGACCGCACAGGCAAGTCTCGGTGAAGAGGGTGCCAGACGGACTGCCTGTTCATGTCCGAGACGCATTAGAAGGGCAGCTTGTCTCGTCTATGGCAGCGCCGCCACCTCGACATGCAGCCGCGCAGCACCCTGCTAACGGCTACACCACAACGGCTCACGCCCCCTTTGCCCACACGGCGTCTTCGAGAGCACATAGGGAGAAGGAACGAATCAGACAAGTCACAGAAGCCGCTATCCGTCGCGAGAGATTGGCTGCCTCGTTCGACCAAACGACGTTCGACGCTGAAGTGTACGCGCAAGGCCGCGACGAAACATCTCCCGCACCGCAGCAGCCTCCAGCAGACCGACTGCCAGAAGAGAGCGACCGTCTGCACCTCGCTTTCGACCCGCGGATCCACTGGCCGCTGCGCTGGACGGAAGAGTGGTACGACGCCAAGATGGCGGAGATTAGGGCGCGAGGCGGCAGGAAAGCCCACTTTGGACGCGCAGCGCAGCGGCGGCGGGACGTCAGACGCCAGGCCGAAGCCCGGATGCGGGCCGACAAGGCGGCGCTTGCTCTCGGCCAGCCGCTGCGGCGGCACCCGCCCGCGCCGTGGACGCATAGCCGCCCTGTGGATTTCGGGGACGTTTCGGAGAGCGAGCTGCCGGACTATGTCAAGGCCAACCCGTCATGGCTGCGCGCCTGCGAGTGGATGCGCTCGAACCGCGCCCAAGTCGTGCACATTGCGCAGCAGAAGATGCGGCGGAAAGCAGCGGGCGAAACGATCCAGAACTTGCTGGGTCAGGGGAGGGGGTCTGTCGCGGCGGACGCCGTGACCAACGGACAGGCGGCTTCGCCGAGTGGGCGAGCCTGAATAATCATATACGAGACATAATGGCAGCCTCGACTGGGGGCTGCCGACGACTGATGAACATCAGAGAAATTAGGTGTTTGGCGTTCAAGACACCTGCCAAGCAATACACGAATGGGCACGAGCATGCCAAAGCAAGCGAAATTACGCCACTGAAAGAGAGCATAGTGATCAGGACAATTTTGCAAGTACACGTTCATATTTTGGGAGCATGGGGCATACGTGGAGGACAGACGGGTACAGCGTCGAGCAGGAACGTAATTCAACTCGCATTTCGTTTGTTTTTTTGGGAACCCCCGTGCCAAACCAGAAAAGGCGCCTCTCTAAGCAAGAAACGGAGAACATCAAGAAAACTATTTACACGCTCCTCGTACGAACATTCTTCTTTTGTGTTCGAAAAAAAAAAGTGAACCCCCAGGCGTCTACATGACAAGACAAGTATAGAGACAAAAAGGGATGTCGTGCTCACGCATGCGCCCTCTTGGACAACATGCTCAACGCGCTGCCAGCCAGGATGAAGCCGGCCTGGTCCTCGCTCACGGCGTGCTTGGTCTTGATGAGCACATCCTCGCCGCCGGCCGCCTTCTTGACGCGAAGCTGGACGTCGCCCTTGCCACCGTTCTGCAGCATCTCGTAGAGGCCGACAGTGCTGACCTCGTCACCGGCGTCGATGAGGTCGTAGTCGGCCTCGTTGGCAAAGGTCAGGGGCACCACGCCCTGCTTCTTCAGGTTCGTCTCGTGGATGCGAGCAAAGGACTTGGTCAGGACGACACGCGCGCCGAGGAAGCGGGGCTGCAGGGCGGCGTGCTCACGCGCGCTGCCCTCGCCGTAGTTGTGCTCAGCGACGACGAGCCACGGCTGACCAGCAGCCTTCCAGCGGAAGGCGAGGTCAGGGATGGTGTGGCGGGAGCCGTCGAGGTCATAGGCGACGTTAACCTCGCCCGTGGCGGCGTTGACGGCCGTGTTGAGTGTGTTGGCGCTGATGTTGGGCAGGTGGCCCTTGTACTTGAGCCAGGGACCGGCGGCGGAGATGGTGTCAGTTGTGCACTTGCCCGTGACCTTGACAAGGACCTTGAGGCCCTCGAGGTCGCCCTCGGGGAAGGCCTCAAAGGGCTCAAGGAAGGCGAGGCGCTCGGAGGAGGGCGCGATGGCGATTTCCACAGCAGGGCTGGGGCCGTCGGGGGAGAGCGACTGGAGGCCCTTGACACCCGAGTCGAATGGCGTCCTGGGCCCCTCGAGACCTTGCGGGGGTTCAAAGCGGAAAGACTTGCCATCAGGTGTCTTGAGCTCGTCGGTGATGGGGTTGAAGGTCGTCGAGCCGGCATAGGCCATGGCGGTGACAATCTCAGGTGAAGCGAGGAAGTTCATGGTACCGGGGTTACCATCGTTGCGGCCACGGAAGTTCCGGTTGTACGAGGTGAGGATGGCGTTCGGGGTGCCCTTCGCAATGTCGTCCTGCCTCTTCCACTGGCCGATACAGGGGCCGCAAGCGTTCGACAGAACGATGCCGCCAGCGCCCTCGAGCGTCTGCAGGGTGCCGTCACGCTCAAGGGTAGCACGGATCTGTTCGCTGCCAGGCGTGATGTAGAAGGGTGCCTTGGGCCTCAGACCCGCCTTCTCGGCCTGCGTGACGAGGCTCTCGACCCTCGTCATGTCCTCGTACGAGCTGTTCGTGCAGCTGCCAATGAGACCAGCAGAGAGCGTTGTCGGCCAGTCCTCCTGAGCCACAGTCTCTCCAAAGGAAGAGAGGGGTGTCGACAGATCGGGCGTGAAAGGGCCGTTGATGTGAGGCTCGAGCTCAGAGAGGTTGATCTCGATGACTTCGTCGTACTGCGCACCCTGGTCGGCGCGGAAGTCAAAGTCGCCCCAGGTGCGGAAGGACTCAATGGCGCGGTGTTGCGCCTCTCTCCTGGTCTGCAGCAGGTAGCGCTCGGAAGCCTTGGTGTAGGGGAAGATGGACGTTGTGGCGCCGACCTCGGCTCCCATGTTGCAGCAGGTTGCCATGCCCGTGGCGCTCAGGGTCTCAACACCCTCACCAAAGTATTCCAGAATGTAGCCGGTGCCGCCACGGACGGTCAGCTTACCGGCGAGGGCGAGAATGATATCCTTGGGGGAAGCCCATCCGCTGAGCTGGCCGGTGAGCTTGACGCCGAGAATGCGGGGGGCCTTGAGCTCCCAAGGGGCTCCAACGAGAGCCTCGACAGCGTCAGCGCCACCGACACCGATGGTGATGGTGGAGAGACCGCCAGCGTTGGGGCTGTGGCTGTCCGTGCCGAGCATCATCAGGCCAGGGAGGGCATAGACCTCCAGGACCGTCTGGTGAATGATGCCGGCTCCGGGAGGCCAGAAGTCCATGCCGTACTTCCTCGCAGCCGACTCGAGGAAGTCAAAGACCTCCTTGTTCATGTTGATGCCCTCCGTCAGATCCAGGTCGGCGCCCTTCTCGCCGACAATCAAGTGATCGCAGTGGATGCTGGCAGGGATGGCAGCCTGCGTCAGGTTGCAGGACATGAACTGCAGCAGAGCCATCTGGGCAGAGGCGTCCTGCATGTTGACGCGGTCCGGGTTCAGCTTGAGGTTGGCACTGCCACGAATGTCACGGCCATTGCTCGTGTTGGTGAGCAGGGACTGGTCTACATTATCGAGATGGCTGTAGAGAATCTTCTCGGCCAGGGTGAGGGGCCGGTTGCCGAGAGCGTGGCGGACCTGGATCAGCTTGTCGTGCAGCTTGCGGTAGGTGTCGGGCTTGATCGACTTGGGTAGGGAGGGTCGGATGGCAGCGTCGAGCTGATCGATGTCGTGGGCAACGGCAAAGGTTCGCCTCGTAGGAAGGCAAGAGGAAGAGGGCGAGGCGGCGAAGGGCCGCGTGCGTGTGAGCAGTCGCTGTTGAACAGTCAGATACGATTGTCTTTAGACTCGCACGCGACGTCTATGTGGAGGGGGAAGGAAGGAAGAACAAGGAGAACATGCAGACATACCCTCGCAGCGGTGCCAGACCGAGCAGCAAGCTCAAAAGGCGCCATTGTCACAAGTCGCTGCCGGCGTAGTGATGAGGCTGGCCTTTGAAATCGACTATCGAGTCACAGGTTGGTCGCAATGGCAGTCACAGTCACACATGGGTGGTATGGGCGGGGGGGGGGGGGGGGTGATGTGGAAATTTCTCGAGAGTCAATGGCGAGTGTGAAATGGGCGATGTCGGATTGGTTTCCCACTGCTGGTGGGGGCGTTGTGACGGCCAAGGACCCCGGCGGTCCCCTACTAGTGCCCTGTAGCCACGGCCCTGTGGAACCAGTCCACCGGTCGCTGGTCGTCTTGTGCCCGAAGCCCGACCTCCGACCTCGGCTCGACCTGGTTTCCGAAAACCACGGACACGACCACGAGCTCAGCCGTGTGCGATGTAAAATGAATGGTCTTGATATCAATTCCGTACCGTTCTAAACTCCCAGTACCATATATATGAAAAGTGCATTGTGTACAGCTTGAACCCTCCATGTTCGCCGCGAGCAGCCACCGGCGCCACGTCCCTTTTTCCGAGGGCATCCCACGAGGTTTCTCATTCAGTGGTCATAGTCCCCCTTGCCCGTTCCGATGAAGCCTTGCGTCCTCTCCTTCTTCTTGGCCCAGTTCTCCTTGAACCATTCGCTCAGAGTGAAGCCCCAGTGTCCCGCAACGAGAACACCACTCAGAACATTGATCACCTTGAGCCAGAACTGCACGAAGCCCGGCCGCGTCTCCTCGACGAGCAGCAGGATCGGCTCGATATCGTACTTGACGAAGACGCCCGGCACGCTGTGGTCGCCGACTTCCTTGCTCTGCTCCGTCACGGCGAACTGATTCGTGTACACCGTGTTGGCTTTGGACGCCGACCTGCCAACAGTGTACACGGTCGGCACGATCGAGAGGTAGTATTGGAACTTGTGGAAGTTGGCCGATGCCAGGTTGACCGTCCTGTCGAGCGGGTTCTCGAGGTTGGGGTAGAAGGCGCCGAAGGAGAGTTCGTTGACAATGTGCGAGAAGTTGAAGCCTGCGAGAGCCTCGCGTCAGCCATGCAATCCGCATACAGAAATCATCTTTCAATATAGGTACTCACTCGTGTGGTCCAGATGCTGCCCGGCGCCCTGGTACCCGTGGCCCCTAGCCGTGATGTGGAAGTCGCCCTGCACCTTGTTGAGGTCCAGGCTGCCAAAGATGCGGCAGCTGTCCGGCGGACCCCGAAGGCGAGGCGTCCTGGCCCACTTCTGCCTCTTCTTGCTCTGTGCTACAATGTCGTGCACATGCTCCTCACCGAAGCCCTCGTCGAGATGGTAGCCGCTGTTCGTCTCGATGCGGCCCGACGGGCTGCGTCCCAGCTTGTGATTGCCCGTAATGTCGGCCCACTGGTGCCAGCTCGTAATCTCCTCGCGCAGCTTCGTCGCCGCCAGGATCAGGTCGCCCGACGCATCCTGCACGTTGATGTGCAGGTCCTCGCAGCGCATCTTGACCACGATGTCGAGGTTGACCTGCAGGTCGTGGCCGACGCCCTTCTCGACCGCAAACGTGTGGCTCTCGGAGCCGCGCCACCACCGGCCAAGTTCGGACCAGAACAGCATGACCGAGATGACGGCCATGGCAACGGTCCACTTGCCGCCACCAGATGTCCGTTGCACATATTGAGGTTTCGACTTGGCTGTCGAGGAGAGAAAGAAGATGCATTAGCAGTCGGTACAGGAGTCAAAGACGAGCGTGCAATGCAAGAGGAGTTGCTTGCTTACGAAAGGCGTCAAATGCACTGACGATGCTGCCCTTTGCGCCAAAGGCGTCTTCGTCCATGACTTTTTCGTGGAAGTCCATTGTGGGTGGACCAAAGTCTCTGGCTGTCGAGTCGAGCGATTGAGCGCTGCAGCGCTGGGAATGCGATGGGTAGGCGCAAGTCAATTGTCTACCACCGGCCGAGATCAAGTCGCATGTGGATGTTATGGCCCGCGCGTACGGTACGAGATGGTGACCTCTGTGGCTCTCGTCTCGTCTTCCTCCAAATCGTGGTCTCGAGCGATGGTGGGGAGCTGCTGGCATGCGATAGCTTTGGTGGTTGAGGACACTTTACCAAAAGTCGGCCAGGCGTTGACCCCCTGTCCTCCTTCCACCTCAGGGAGGTGGGCTGGCTCATGATTGGGGGCATCACTCAGGCAGGTACCTGGAAGTAGCCCAAGTTGGGGGCTATCTTGGGTGGAGCTTCTGCCCCATTTCCGGGCGACGTACCTTTCTTTGGCGGACCCTTGGGTACCTACCTCGGTACCTAGGTAAGGTAGGTAACTACGGCCTTCTCGGAGGCCGATATTCACCACAGACGTCCTCCGATTCTCATGGCACGTATACATACAGAAGGGGACTCGAATACATTGTGATCTGTACATGTCGATTGGTGGACATTAAAGAGAGACTCAATTTGGACCGTCCTGTCGTGAATATAGCAATCTGTAGTTAGACATTGTCGAGTCTGGGTGGTGAGCTCCGCTTCCCCGCGCTCTTCCCTACTTCATTCACCGGTAAGGGGAGTGTCTTCACTTCTCCTCGAGGCTGAAGCCGACATGCGCATCGCTGCGGACAGGCGTTCGTTGCCCTGACATGCCTGTTGTACATTGGGAGAGATTTAAGAGAAACAGTTCCAACACCATAGAGCCTAGAATGAAACCCAAACCAAAGGAAAGAACGCAACCAAATGAAACTGAACCCTGTTCCTAAGGAGAACCCGTTGCCTGTTATTCCGAATGACTCCTGTGACCGATAGAAAATGAAGTAGCTGGCGCAAATGCGCCTTTACTTTCGCAGCCTCTTCTGCTGCTCCTCGAGGAACTCCTCGTCCGAGGCATCAAGGATGTCATACTCCTCATCGGTCATGAAGCCGTCATCGGAACCCTCCCAGTCATCAACACGTCCGCAATCTTCGAAATCATCGACCTCGTTAGCCGCATCTGCAAGCGTGGATGAGGCGGCGGTCTCAGACTTGGCGTCCTGGTGCATGCTGGCTACCGGCGACTCCTTCTCAAGCTTGGGGAAAATCATCTGGCTGGTCTGGGCTTCTTCAGCATGCTCCTCATCCGTTGTCTCGGTAGGAACGCTCTTGACTTCATCCTTGGGCGTGCGCACATCAATGTCACACCAGAGGCGGTGGCCGAATTTCATGCCATCGCTGGTCGTCAGACGCCAGTAAGATATGACCTTGCCGTCGCGGGGAGGAGTGCGGAGGAGGACGGTGAAGGGTGCCTCTTGACCCGGGGCGAGGCTCTCATAGCAGATAGTGGACTCGGAGGCGGAGACGAGCTCCGAGATGCCAGCCGGCTGGTTTGAGTCAACGTGGCCCATGTAGTCGCCGCCGACAAACTTGACAGAGCACCCGGCCGGCCAGGCAACATCTCCCTCGTTCCTCAGGTTCCAGGTCTGCTGGAAGACGCTGTTGGGGGCCATGGTGGTGCCGTCAGCGATGGTGTCGCTAACAAAGACAGCGACAAGGTCCTTTTCCAAGAGGGGCTTCCCCTCTGGCTTGGGCTGTGATTTCTTTTCTACAACCTCCTCCTTGATAGGCATCGACTCAATTGGCTTCACGTCAACAACAGTCTGGACTGACGCCATGGACTTTGTGTCGCTTGAGCGCGACGCAGCGCGGTGGAACGATCTGTCGCCAAGCTGTGGCATGGTGTTGCCATTGCCGTGCTCGCCTGTCGTCGTGACAGTGACATGACGGACAGGAGTCTTGAACTGCACCAGAGGGTGTGTCTTGTTGTGCTCCAGGGCCGGACTAGCCTCGCAATTGGCACAGAAGTCGGTGTCGTGGCAGACAGTGCACTTGTACCGGGTGCCGGTGATGTATGTCGGCGCGTTGCCGCTGCTGCAAAGGGGACCATCGCAACAGATGCCAAAATGGACCTGTCGGGCGCTGGTGCAGCGAGCTCGAGCCTCCTCCAGGGGCTCGTAGACGGGCACGAACCGATGGTTGGCATGGACGAATTTGGCATTAACAATGCACTCGCTGCAGTAGTCCCAGTCGGGACAGTCCAGGCACTTGTGACGGACGCCGCAGATGTACTTGTCACATCCATCGCAGATGGCGTTGTGGACCTGGTTACGGCCAGCGGAAAGTCTCACCTGGAGGTGGTTGGGTACGTAGGCACCCTCGACGGCGGGAGTGAAGGCGTGCTTCGGGTGGTGGCCATGAGCGTCCTTGGAGAAGCATGCATGGCAAAGATCAAAGTCTTCACAGGTGGTGCAGTGCAAAAAGCGTGTCTCGGGAAGCTCATTTACGCAGCAGTTGCAAGTCCTGACGGCCCACGATGTGGTGTTGAGAGTGGGAAGAGGCGCCAAGAACGGCTCGGGGATGGGGACGCGGGCTTTGTCGGCGGGCGCGGGCTCCTCCTTCTTAGGCTTAGGGGCAATGGTCTCTGTGGTGCTCGTGATGATCTGGCCGTCATGCAGAGCCCTCTTGATGAGCCAATGGCTGTCGCTGTAGCAAGTGATCCCTTGTTCAACGCAACTCTGGCAAAGATCGAAATCACCATCATCGCACGTGGAACAGTGATAGTGAGAGTCAGGGATGGTCTTGTCGCAGCTGTTGCAGCACACAGCAAAATTGAGGGTCGGGAGAGTTTTGGTTCGCAGCTGACCGGCGGCATTCCTGAAATAGAGGCCCAGGCAAGGGTCGTGCTCTGGGGCCACCGGAGCTTCCGGGTTGGAAACAGGCTCCTTGTGGTCGATGTCGCTCAAGTTGGCGTGTCTTTGCATCAGGGACGCAAGAAGCGAAGTTTCGAAATCATCGACAAGATCCGTCATGGGCAGCTGGTGCTTGGGTGCTTCGTTCTTCGTCTCCGTCTTGGGCTCTGTAGCTCGGAGGACGTCAAAGACGGTGGGGAGTTTGGGAGGGACTGGTGGCTTGTATGCCTCGGGTTGCGGAGCTGGGCTGGGAACAGCGGCGAGAGTAGTGCTGACCTCGGGGCAGTCTTCCACAGTCACAGACCTGGGAGGGGTCCTCTCCGGCAGCCGCTGAACGGTGACGCGGAGCTTGAGCTTCTGTTTGGCCTTGGCTGCCCTGTAGAGCTGCTTGTAGACGGAGGTGTTACTTGGGTCCAGGACGACGTAAGCGGCAGCCGAATCGGAGTAGCGCTCGAGGAGGACGGGGACGTTGACGGGGATCTTGAGAAACTCTCGAATCTACGGGCAAACCTGTCAGTTCGGTGGTCCTTCTGTTGTGCCTCTTGGTGGTCAAGCAGGCGATGTCAGGAGCACGAGATGCGGTCGCTTACCTTGATCTCGAGCGTGCTCACGCCAACATCTCGGAGGACGAAACCGAAACGCTGATTGACGCCTTCATACAAGACCTTCACAGTGACGGGCAGGTCCTCGGTGGCGGTCCTGGGAGCAGAGGGTGCCTTTTTGGCCGATGGAATAGAGGCGCTTTCGGAAGGCATGATGCGTGGCTCGAGCTCACCGAGTGTGGTGAGGGTAGGGTGGATATGGTCTGACGCCGATAATGCTGGTATAGTGATATACCTAAGTGTTTCCGATCGAGAGGTGTTGGCAATCACGACACCTCGGATGGGAGACCGGAGTGTCGGTAGGAGGAACTGTTGGAAACTAGATGATGGCCTTGTGATGAAGAGGAGGAGGAGGAGGAGGAGGGGGAGCTGACGGGAGAAGGTGGAGGGTGGCAGGTGAAGTAGAACGGCAGAGAGGAAGCGGAGGTAAGTAGTCGAGGTAGGTAGGTCAAGGTCAGGGTAGGTAGGCGCTCGAGGTACGAGAGGTGCAAGTGGGTGCGGGTGGGGAGGGGAAGGCAAGCAGATGATGCGTTCGCTCTGGCAGTTGGGTGCAGAGGACAGACCCAGACCAGGCAGGCAACCTTGGAGACTGTTGACTGTGACTGGACGAGGGTGTGGAGGGTGGAGAGTGGAGAGAGAGGCAAACGACTAACAGGTCCCCACCTGAGCAAGGCGACTTCCACAGCATCTGAAGCGTCAGCGACCCTTGGGCGCTGCTCTAGTCCGCATGGGGTCATTGCCTGGAGCGGTAGATGCGGAGGTGGACCGTGAGGGGAGCAGCGCACGATAAGCGGTACGCCCGGTGGCTGCATAAACATGCGTGCTCTGGAAGTACCTTTCTCGACCGCTGTGAGCCAGACCCGAGTCTAAATCGTGCGCTCCAAGTCACGCGATCCTGGATCCCCTCTCATGCCCGTCGAACCTGACCCGACGAAAGGGCTTTGAGGGGGGCGCGGCAGGCAGGCAGACCGCCGCGCGCTGCCCTTCACTGGCCAAGTAAGTGGGTGCACAGTGGCCACAGGCACGGGGCGTCACGAAGGCGATAGAAGGAGGATGGGTAATCGAACAGAACACCAGCGAAAGGGGCGGTCAGCAAGCTCCCGTACCTTAGGTAGATAGCTTCCCACCCGCCTTCCACGAACCAGACAGGCCAGACAAGGCTCTGGCACTTGTGCCTCGTTTGTGGAACTGAGGCGATGCCGCGCAATCGCTCGACTCTTGGCCGCCTCGTCCCGCATTGGACGAGCAACCTGCTTTACTAAACAACGCCCGATCTACTAGCCAACTACCTAGCCTCCCTCACCCAATGCACAAGGTACGATGGATGCAGCTGCTGCTCAGGAGCTCAGCTGTCCATCCCAGCTACCCGGCAAGCCGGCCGAGGTCCTGCCTCGAGGATGGGTGGCAAACCACCACCCCTAGAGTTCTAGGTTGGTAGGTGGGTAGCCACTGTAGGCACCTACCTACCGCCTCCCTCGGCCGCTGGGGGCAATGCGCTGAGACCGACCGATCCGCTCCCTGGGCCCTGTCACGTTGGTGCGTCAATGCCAGGGTTCACAGTGAGGCGAACCGCCGTCTTCAAACGTCTCAGGCGACCTGTAATGAAAAACTGAATCCCACACGCAAGCACGCTCAGCTGGGTGGTCCCAAAGATTTCAATGCTGTGCTGCACCTTGGGCACCTCTCGTGCGTATCAGGATCTCCATCTATCGAGGTATCTTGCCTGAACCAGAAAAGGGGCCAAGGTTGAACATGGCGTGCTCCCTTCTGCCAGTATCGACGCCAGCACCGCACCCGGCATCCGTCGTCTCCCCAAGCCCGCCGTTCCCAGCCATTACCTTCCAGGCTCTCTACCTGACCCCAATCCGCCGATCAACAGGCCAACCACCAAGTGTGCGGTTTACCTCCTCGAGTCTACCGCTCTGTTGCCAGCCAGGCAGGCATGGCCTCGTCACCAGCTCTCGTCTCAAGGTTTCAAATCCCTTTTCCACTGCGCCGTTCCATTCTCCCACCCTGTTCCGTCTCATGGTCTGCCCACGTCGTCTGTTGCGGACCAACCAGAAGGACCGGGGCACGAGGTCCATCCAAATTCCTCTTGCGTTCCGCAGACCCAGATGACCCGCCCGCCTTCAGAGCAGCTAGTCATGCGAAACTGTCCCGTCCCCGAACCCGGCCAGATGCCATGATCACACTGGCCATCTCGTTACCCGACTGAAAGCCCCCGTCCAAGGTTCGCTGAATAGTCCCCAAACAAGCACTGTCGAGCAGAGCAGTCCAGCCCTCGGGAGGGCCTGACCCACACCCCTGCTGTCTCATCCATCTCTTCTGCGAGCAACAGCGTCCACGTAGACCCGAGGTTGAGGTGCTGATGTCACAACCTACACCAGTGGCGTCTCATGTGGCTCACCCTGTCCTCGGGGCGTTGCGTGACAAGCCAACAATCGTATCGCTACACCCTTCCACGACTGACCGCTGCCTGCCGTCAAAGGCGGTTGTTTCCAGTCCATTCGTGCCTTTGAGTTGTCATCTATCTAGATAGCTTCCCTGTGTATGTACGTGGGCTGAAGGAAGCCTGCTGCGAACTGCTCTCGTCCGAGTGTCCGACACGGATGAGCATGTGTCTCCCTGGCACCTCCAAGGCTGACTGACATCAACCGACGAGCACCGACCCCGAGTCAGTCCTGGCTAGGATGATGGACGGAATCCACGGAGTTTGAGAATGAATGGACGATATGATAAGGCTTGTATTGCTCCCAAACTGGAACACTGAGCCTCAATCATCTCGTTACATCTCGTTCCCAGAAGAGCAATAATCTACCTCACCACGTTCCCTGTCACCAAGGACGCAAAGCACTTGGCTTGCTTGTATACGACGGTCGTCACCCGCCAATCTGCACCTTGCCGTCTCGCCCGGCGTTGAAGGCATTCTTGGGGCAGTGCTCTCCCTTGAAGTTGGAATAATACCCTAAGCTCATGAAGAGTCCAAAACCTGAAAACCGTGAAACCGAACGAACCAGAACCAACGATTAGGCCTCAATCGCCCAGTGACCATGAGAGCAGCGGAAAGTTGAGCGACAGTGACCATGATAATCACAGAAGCTGCAGCGCAGAAAACTAACGACGGTCCGTTAGTCTAGTGGTTAGGACGACTGGTTTTGACCTAACAGTGAATCCAGTAAGCACCGGTTCGAACCCGGTATGGACCTTTTTCTTTTTGGTTCTGAGGCAATGCCTAATGTCATCCACAGCAACAATGCATTGTTTTGAAGTGTTACTAGATGTGTGTGGCTGAATTTTGGTCAGTTCGTTCACTACCTAGGAGCCTGTCCACAGGAGGAGCAGATGGGACCTCCAGCTTGCCAACCATCGTTCTCTTCATTCACAGCAGAACTAGCTTGTACCAGATTTGGGCTACCACTCAGTGCTCAAGGTGACTGGATTGGACCTATTGAGACTAACGCATGAAAAGTCAAAAGCATTGTCCAAACCTGCTGCCCTTGAGATGCCGAGCCAGCAAGACGAATGGATGGTACGTGCCGTATTCTTAGAAGTTCACCGGGTTCAAAAATGTCCTCGCCTTCGTAACGGCACAAGGTTGGTACATGTAACACTCCACGTCGAGGCCGAATGATAGTGATCGAGTCCTGTGGGAAAACAGTAGGTTTTTTCTTGGCACAAGGGTTAGCCTTATTGATCGTAGACAACGGTGGCGCATCAACAGGCCTGTCTCGTGTTCAAAGATGCGCAAGACGCCGTGACCCGGTGTCGGAAACAATAACCATGTAATGCAATAGCTTTTTGAACAGAAAAACACGAAAATTTGAGATCGATTGATTTTACCTTGCAAACATCTTGTTTATCAAGCTTGGTTGCTATCACATGCCGACCGGCTCGGCGTCTAGCGATCTAAGGCTGGTCAACGACTTACAATCACTACCACGAACTCAACCACCGAACGAGACAAAACACAGATTTGACAATGGACCGCCTCACTAGTCTGCCCACTGAATTGATCATCCTAATTGCGGAAGATGTACCGTCCCTGAACGCTGTGGCAGTCTTGTCACGATCCTGCCGCTCCATGCACTCCATTGCCAACCCAATTCTTTACGAGCTGTCACTGGCCTCGGGCGCAAATCTGCGAGCCCTCAAAAGGGCCTTGGTGTGCATTGTTCAAGAAGACAACCTGGCTTCAGCCTGCACACTTGTTGCCCACCCCGGTCTCGCTCCAAAGCTCACCATGAATAGCAGGCTCTTGACATTTTCGCTGCACTCAGCCCTCAAGTTTGGGAGCTTGCGGACCGCCAGTATCCTGCTAGGCGTAGATGCCAATGCGCTTTCGTCCAGAGAAACAAATTCATGGGCCCGTGTTCGAGACACCGGCGAGAATGAATGGAAGTTTAATCAAAGGAGCTGGCAGCCTTGCCGCCGCCGGAGTCAGATATTACAGCCCTACATGTGAGGCGTATGCTTCCAAGGAAGACTATTGGATGATTAAAAAACAGACCGTTGAACAGATCCTGCGCCAGTTACAACTAAGAATTAGCACGGGGTCGCCCGCGGACGGCCCAGGCCGGAAGGAAGAATACCAGGATGAGCTGGACTCGGCCTTGAACTCTGCCGTCGGTACGGACGCCCATGTTGCAGACTTGATGGAGCTGCTCATCGGACTCGGTGCAAACGTGAATCGTATTCCAAAAAAGCGATACCGTGTACGCACCGAAAACGTCGTCATGCGCGCCATCGTGGAGGAGGACCTCGTCTTGTTCAAGGAGAAGGTTCCTTTCCTGGCACAGAACGGGGCGGACTTCCGTAGAGCATATAGATCTGCAGATTGGAGCGAGGTGGAGGTCAAGAAGGCGATGGAACGGCTCGACGATAAACTTCGAGACGATGAGCAGACGAAAGACTTACAAATCCCCACCACGCTTGCTGCCATTGAATACCTTCGGTTCAGTGGGGCTAGTCGTCGAGAATGACCATTCTATAGCACAGCAAGTCATGCTGCAGCCGCCAGCAAATCGACACTGAACACAAGAAGCACTGTACTCTAAGAAGGTCTATTACTAATGGATTGCAGACTAGCAAAAGAAGGACCTAGGTGGGAGTCGGGATAGAAATAAGCGCGGATTTATTGATATAGGCTTTGGGAGGCTATATTTTAGTAGAGCAGTAGAACCCTCGGACTTTGGCCTGGAAGCGATAAAGTCTGTATGTACCAATCATCTTGACTACGCTCCCGGGTTCTGAATCGAAGCGAGGGCTGGCGTTTACAAGGGCGTTCACGACTTTCTGAGTCAGGCGAAGACCGTGACGTCCGTGTTTCCGAAGGTCAGCACCGGGGTCCCATACTACAGTCCAGTATGACCATGGCCGAGGACTTTCGAGTCTCGCAAAGAAACTAGAAATATGCGAGGATCTCGTAAGTAGCCATGTTCAGACTTTTCGTCTACACGCCCACCAGCTGCCAGGCATGACTTATCGTCCTCGGTACCGGCGAGAGCTTAAGCCTCACCAACCACTGTCACACTATCAGCAACAGACAAGGCCTCGTCGACGGAAAATCCCTATGCCACGTCCTTATTATACCTTCATTGACACACAATCCCATCCCGAGATTGAAGCTTGGATCGAGGAGAGGTTCAGACTACCTGGTATAGGAGCGCGACGTTGACAAGTATTCAGAGCACAAGAACCTGCTGGTACGAGTCCTCTCCCGAATGTGATTCTCTTTGCTAACACTTATTCTTTTTTCGTGATTGTTATCCGCGTCATCTCAGCACCCTCTCTGGAGACGTGAGGTTGTGATCCTCGATGTTGTCGCTAGCGCTCCTTTCGCAGCGATGGCCGTAGTCTCTTCGCTGCTTGTTGATAACAAGGCAGGCCACGAGAAATCCATCTCTTGCTCTGCAGACTTATTGGGAAATGATTCAGATTCCGATTCGCTGTTAAGTTTGAGTTGTTCCGAGTTGCGAGGCGTTCGGCCTCCCCTGTTCTGTTGTTGAGGTATTGAGTTCATATACACTCCCGCCTACCAACGAACCTAAGTGTGGAAGTTGGAAGGCGAAAGCTGTGGGTCGCTGATGCACGTTAGATAGCCCTACAGGCAAGGGTGTAATGGTGAGACGGGTAATAGAAATGTATCATCGAAAAGATTCATTAGCATGTCGTGTCGAGATGCTTTTCGGTTTGCACATATGGACAGTGATTAAGAAAGCAGTGATGTTTCTCGAATACATAATCATGTGTCATCGTGTCATTAAATTAACCAGGGTCTGTTAGTCTAGTGGTTAGGACGGCTGGTTTTGATCGAAGATGATTCCAGTAAGCACCGGTTCGAACCCGGTACGGACCTTTATTTTTGCACTTCGCCGAGACGCTACTTCTCTCCTTTTGCCCCCACAATGTAATACAGACAGACAGACCGCCGACTCACTTTCGATGCCCGAGCCATAGACTAGAGGCTACACGAACAACGTCGCAAACAAGTATTAAAGACTTGTTTGTTCTCCACTTACGTGAATGGGCAGGGGAAATCGATCATGCCGGCAGAGTGAACAACTTTATCAAATCTCCAACTGCCCGCCACATAATCGATACAGTGCTTACAGTTCAGCTCTGATCCTTCACTTCATACCAGAATCAATGGCGAATAGCATTGGCCATCGCCCGTGCGAACAGTCTCAAACCACACACACGCTCGCTTCAGTGGATAATAACTATACCTTTCAAGTCCTCAACGCTGAATAATCGACAGGTACAAAATCAAAACCCAAGAGACACCACCGTCCCCAGAAACGCCCTTCACCTGTTGCTCCCGCAGAGTGGACCAGGCGACAGAAGCGAAAGGACAGCCCAGTCGAAGCATACAGGGACTCCGAAATCCATCATGAAACAGCAAGGAGAATAGTTTGTGAACAGTGATGTCTTGGTACGGAATGAGGAAAGCAAGGATAATCATGTAGTCCTCCGCTGCTCTTCATCAAAGTCCGAACCTTACCTCATCCGTCAAACACCTCAGATCCGACAAAACCCTTCCATCATCTGACCTTCCGAATTCATTCGAAAAGTCAATAGTCCTGGTGGATCCCGCGATAAAACAACGGCATTCCTCAACGGCGTCTTCCTTTCGATCCTTTTTAATTTGAGGCTCACAGCGCTCATACCGACCCTACATCCAAAGGAAAGACGTTCAAGTAGTAGTGAAAGGCTTCGATGATAGAAATGATAGCAGCTAGTCGCGGGCCGCTGGCGAGAAGAAAGAGTAGGGACGTGGTGAAACCTGTCCGCCACCCTACTGGGGATAGTATACCATACCAGGTGCTTGCTGGGGATAGAAGAAGCCGTCTGGGCTCGGGGTGACCATTCCTGCCATCCCCGGAACACCCGCACCATAGACTGGAGGACCCTGATATCCCTGGTAGTTGTTCGACGGCGGCATCTGAGAGGCATCGTAGTAATAGACCATGCCGTTGACCTCTTGCGCTACCATGCCTGGGTTGCCACCCGGCCCATGCTGTTCGTACTGAGACTGCTGGGGGTAATTCTGGCTCTGGGCTTGCTGCGAAGCCGGAATGAACGGGACTGCCGAAGCAGGCGATGGCATGACGCCGCCATTATATGCAGGCGGTTGATAGTATCCAGGCTGTTGCGGCATCATTCCGTACGACTGTTGATGGCCATAGTAGTTCTGCTGGCCATAATGAGTAGGCTGGAACGGCGCAGCGTGAATTGCGCGTTCGGGTATGTGAGACAAAGGAGTACCGGTTGAGAGATGAGACGGGTAGGATGGCTGGCGAGAGTGTCCATCCGGGCCCAGGCCGTTTGAAACTTGTGGTGGCACTTGCTGGTGGAAGGCCTGGTGGAAGGGCTGCTGGTCCAGGGTTGGCGACTCGATGCCAGCGACGGACACGGTCTTCTGTGGGCGAGGCTGGTGCATGGGGATTGATTGCTGTCGGTTTTCCTGGAAAATGGGCTTCTGGGGAAGTGGGTGTGTATGGGGCTGCGGCATGCCGCTCAGCGAGGCGTCTTGTACACCGACGAAATGATCGATAGGCACCATGCCATCGACACTGATTTGCGGTTGCTGAACTGCGGGCGGAAGCCGGACGACTGGGCGTGGATTGTCGAGTGGCATGGGTGGGCGCGAGACCACAGATCCGGTGGGAGAGAACATGTAGTCGCGACCGTCGGGGGCCAACGACGACCGGCGACTAAGGGCAATGCTGGGTGAATAAGCACTGCCATAGAAGCTGCCACCGAAGACGCTGGTGCGTCGAGAGAAGCCACCCATAGATCCAAGGCCTGAGCGAGGCTTGCCGCGGGTCCGCTGCTGGTTGGGACGCATCGCTCTTGGTATAAAAATGAATGACCTGTCGACGGCGGGAAAGATGTACTTTGGCGCGTTGTCGGGAAGCGAGATTCGAACTGGCTTATCGCGACGTAGGGGTGGTCTGTGATCGGGTAACTTGGTGTATTGTCGGACCGGCATGGCGAAGGCTGAAGGGGGTTTACCGGGTGTAATTGAAACTCTGACCTGCACGTTCCCAACGTGCTTCTCGGTAGACATGGTTCTGTTGATCGGTGTCGGGTTCGGGGAACAGGTCGGAATAATGCCGTTGCCATTTGGAGGACCCTCCTCGTCGGGGGGTGCATGACGGACAGGCCTCGAGGGCTGGGGATTGACAACAACTTCGTGCATGTCGTGAGCCCATTGTCCGCTTGTCAGAGGGTCGGAGGGTGGTTGGAGTTGGCTGAATAATTAGTCTTTGCAGAACAATCTATGACAAGCAGGGCTGAGAAACTCACTGCACTGGGGCAAAGGGGCCTCCAATGCCACCACGACCTCGACCACGGCCCCGGCCGAAGGGACGAAAGCCGTTCGCGGCTGGACCGGCGTGCCGGTGATCGTGCATGAAGAAAGCCCCTCTGTTTGGAACGAAGGCAGGGTCTTCATCCCGCCTTCGCTTGTACTCTTCATGCTCCCGCCGGCGACGGTCGCCTACAGGCTCTGCTGGTTGTTTCGCGGCCGAATCGGAAGTCACGACAAGAGGCCCGTTGGATGTGGGTTTCGGAAGGACATCGATCGCATCGTCGAAATGCTCCCCTTCACCTCCGATGTGCTTGCCTTCGAGAGACAAGCCATGCATCATCAAGTGTGTGTCTGAGGCAGGCTTGCCATCAGGTTGAGCTTCAGGAACGAGGTCTTTGGCGGTAGGAGCCTTCGCGACACCATTCCTAGCTGCCTTTGATTTCTTCGCGTTGGGCGCAACTGGCGACGTTTCATCGATGTTGCTGGTGTCACTGTCGGCGTCGTGCTCGTTGTCGATGTCATCACTGGCAAAGGACCCCTCAGACATCGAGTCGTCCTCGAGGTCGAGCTGGTCGAGACCACCTTCGTCCTCCCCTTCATCGTCAACCCGCCGCCTGTGGCCGATCAATTTTCGGCGACGGGTGGCGGCCATGTTTGTGTTCGATTTGGGAGCAGGCATAGCTGGAAACAGCCACTAGGATTGAGATGGTGTCGGATGGTTGTACGTGTGTGTCGCGGCGGGCATGCGGCAGATTGACTTTCCAGCAAGAGTACGTGACTCGGTGGTGGAAGCCGGATGGTCGGGGTGGATAAGAGCAAGCAGAAACCGCCCTGCGGCTACGTACAGAGGAAGCAAGCAAAAAGGAATCGAGTAAACAGAGTGCAGTCCGAGAGGCTGGAGAGCTTATTATGAAGGCCGTAGATAGGTAAGATTCAAGGTTGGCGGCAGAGGCTCGTTGAGGTTCCGGTCGAGGTCGGGTCGGGTCGCGCGAACGATGGAAGGTCGGATTCGAACCCAGCTGTGGAGGGGAGTGCCGCTTCTCGCGTCTCCTCGTCGGCGGCGATGACAGTCTGCGTCTAGTTAAAGGGCAGATGGGAATTGCACCACGCGCGTGGGAAGGGCCAAGATGGGAGACGTGGAGACGGGCGCGGAGGAGATGGCAGCCACGGGATGGTGGAGATGTGGTGATGATGATGATGTGCAAAGGGAACTTGAGAAATTCTTGGGGGTCTTGGACGTGGCCGGAGGTTGGAGAGGACCAGGGGGGGGTGGGAGGTTTGTGTCAGTGTGGAGAGAGAGAGGAGACTTCACGTGTGGTTGCTTTCGTTGCCTGCATTGGCCTGTCATTGTCAGCCTGAGAGGAATGCGCGCAGGTGCCATGGGAGATGCGACTCCCCGCACTGTATCAAGCCGTAGCCGGCAGGGCATCATCGGTGCGCTATAACAGTGTCTGTTAATGAGCTTGAAACATAATGCACTGTTTTTTTTTTCCTCCGCCGAGTTTGGCTTGAACAACCTCCCTTGGTGCCTACCTACCTAGGTACCTAAGGTAGGTACCTATTGAGAGGCCTAGGTAGCTAGGTGGCACAAGTCCAGCTTTTACAGGCCGCCGGCCTCTTCACGACCGAGTTCTGGCTCTCTTCCTAATGGAGCTGAGTGAACAACTTCCCTCGTTGCGTCCGATTCCGATCAGGCCGGTCGGAGACGTTTCTCGATGGTGGTTGAAGGCTCTCTGGCGACCCATCTGGTACTGCCGGTATTCGCGGAATACTACCCACAGCCACAGTAATCACTGTTGGGCCCCAACGTCTTTGCTCTCCATGGTAGCTTGCGCTGGACAGACTATGTACAAGCTCTTTGCTCTCCGTCACACCAACAGCAGGAGAAAGCTTCGGCGAATCAGACCGATTTACGACTGTCAATTGGCCTTAGGCTCCCGTATGACTACTCGTGCGGGACTACCTGATCAGACCATCCCCGCTTCTTGGGGTCGTTGCGCGACGCAAGGACCGCTACACCCCAGAGTGGGAGCGCTGAGATGGGAGGCCCGGCCTGTGCATCAAGTGCACGTCAGAGGACATGCTCGTTCTCCGGACCAGTTCTACTCAGGGCGTAGGCTCACCCGGCCAAAGATGAAACCTCTCACTCCATTGCTTATCCAGCATTCCTCTCCATCTACCAAGCTGTCCGCCAGAACAGCTTTTTCGATCGCGATACCGCTGCACAAAAGCACACATCAGAAGGTCTGTGGGTTAAGCCGCGACAAGAAGGGGAAGGGAGGGGAGGATAAGCATTACCGTTCGAGAGCCCATCTACGTGTGGTGCCATCCTGGCCTCCACTGCCAGACTCCCAGCTGAATTTCTGGGGTACAGGAGGGGTCACCCACCGGCCGTTTCTGAAGAAATAAGGGGTTGTCAGGCTGCCCTCCATGATGGAACCGTCAGTCTTATTGACTACCAGAACTTCCGTGGTATCGGTCAGCTGGATGCCGGCGCGACTCCGCGCGTCATCGTAGACAGCGCGCTCTGTTGTCTTGAAATGTGTGTATTCCGACTTGGACGTCAGAGCCGTGTCAGGCACAACCTCGTACACGAGGTTTTTGCTGGGATCGCCCGCAGCAACCTCTGCGTCAGGCACGGGCAGCCGACTGGGGAAGAGGTTGGACAGAGGCACCGGTGCAGCAGGTCCCTTCTCGCATGCAAGCCGGCCATCTTGAGCAAGAAGGATCTTGACACGGGCCGTATACCTGTGATCGGCCAGGGAGGTATCCAGAAAGGAGGCAAGGCGCTCTAGCCCAGCCTCACCCTCCAGGACCTGAATGGCATCTGGCCAGGCCCAGTGGGTGGCAGCTCTGAGCATGCGGTCGCGATGGTAATCGAGCATGTAGTAGGGTGACTCAAGACGTTGGTTCCATCCAGCGTTTTGAGGACCATGCGTAGGGACCTGTCGAAGCCCATCATCGTGGCGCAATGATGTGAAGAGCTGGAAGTCTCGAGACATTTCAATGAGCGAGACGATGTGTTGAAAAGCTCAAGTGATATCAGTGCAGGTAGCCAACGAGGCTCGAGATGTGTTTGTCCATCAGAGCCCACCCTAGTCATCTTTGGTCTGAAGCTTTGACGGACGAGGTCATGAAATTTCAGGTCTCTCATTGGCCAATGTATGGGCTCAGTCGAGATGGCCTGTCCACAGGCCAAGACAATGGCAACGCCTCGGGTCGCCGGGGCTGCTAGGCTGTGTGTGTGGTGACGTCTGGGCCTGTCCTTAGGTAAGCCCGCAATAATTTTCTGTATCATCACCTCCCGTCAGATTCCAGCAGCATCCAGGAAAGCTATCGCGCGCCCCATTCAACCTCCTATCATCAACCACCTCACAGCCGACGCTCTTTCCGGCCCTTTCCCAACCTTACCACTCCGGGCTCCTGCTGCAAAGTCAAGGAGTGTTTTAACCTTTTTTTTATTCATCGCACGCACTCTTAATCATGTCAAATCCTCTTCCCTCTGTCCCCCCGATGGCCACTAGGCCTGTCGCGGTCCCCGTCGAATCATCCTCTGTTTGGGATCGCATCTCGACGTGGGCGTCTGAAAACAAGACGGTTGTCTATACGATCGCTGGTGTGGCCGTCGTCTTCACAGGTGCAGGCGTCTTCTACTACCTCAACAGTGACTCGGTAAGTTTCGCCTGCCTCTTCAGCTGCTATCGTGGGCCTGCACCAAACTGCCTCACCATGTTCCAATCTGTTGCGCGACATCAAAACAACCGTTCCTCGACTTTCAATCGCTGATGGAAATCTCACTACAGAAGCCCAAGGACAATTCACCAAAGCTCAGCAAGAAGGAGCGCAGGAAAAGAAAGGAGGCCGAGAGGAAGGCTGAAGCCGAGAAGACAACGTCCACAGAAACTGTCGAGGAGAAGGCGCCAGCCCAGCCAGTCACTTTCGAGAGTGCCGATGAGCTGCCCGAAATCACCGAGGCGTCTGTCGCGACCTTCACAGAGGAGCAGCGCGATGCTTACGCGGCCAAGCTGAAGGATGCCGGAAACAAGTCCTACGGTAGCAAGGAGTACAACTCGGCGATCGACCTTTACTCCAAGGCCATCTTGTGCAAGGCCAACCCCATCTTCTACTCTAACCGCGCCGCCTGCTTCAATGCGCTCGGTGACTGGGACAAGGTTGTCGAAGATACCACGGCCGCCATCAACCTTGACCCCGAATACGTCAAGGCCCTGAACCGTCGTGCCAACGCCTACGAGCACCTGAAGATGTACGGCGAGGCGCTCCTTGACTTCACGGCATCATGCATAATCGACAGCTTCAAGAACCAAGCCAGCGCCGAGTCCGTCGAGCGCTTGCTGAAAAAGTTTGCCGAACAGAAGGCGTCAGAGATGATGGCCAACCGCCCCGTCAAACTTCCCAGTCACACCTTTGTCGGCAACTACCTGCAAAGTTTCCGTGTCAAATCTCGCCCTGCCGGCTTGGAAGACTCGATTGAGCTTCCTGAGGAGACCGGCGCCGGTCAACTTCAGCTTGGTCTGAAGGCCATGGAGAAGAAGACGGGCGACGGTTACGAGGAGGCGAGGGCAGCGTTTGACAAGGCTCTCGAGCTTGGTGATCTCGGCGACCACGAGGCATTGGCCTATAACATGCGCGGTACTTTCCGTTGCCTGCTTGGCAAGCACGACGACGCCATGGCAGACCTAACCAAGAGCATTGAGCTTGACCCTAGCCTGACGCAGAGCTACATCAAGCGCGCCAGTATGAACCTGGAGCTCGGCGCTCCCGAGAAGGCGGCCGAGGACTTTGAAAAGGCGCTTGAGCAGAACGCCGACGACCCCGATATCTACTACCACCGTGCTCAGCTCCACTTCATCAAGGGCGAATTCTCTGATGCGGCCAAGGACTACCAGAAGTCCATCGACCTCGACCGCGACTTCATCTTCTCGCACATTCAGCTCGGTGTCACGCAGTACAAGATGGGCTCGATCGCCTCGTCCATGTCCATCTTCCGCCGCTGCATCAAGAACTTCAAGGAGGTGCCAGATGTCTACAACTACTACGGTGAGCTGCTGCTTGACCAAGGTAACTTCCAGGAGGCCGTGGAGAAGTTTGACACGGCCATCGAGATGGAGAAGAAGACCAAGCCCATGGCCATGAACGTTCTGCCCCTCATCAACAAGGCCCTGTGCCTCTTCCAGCAGAAGCAGGACTTTACCGAGGCCGAGAAGCTGTGCCAGAAGGCACTTATCAGTACGTATTCCCCCGTCCCCCCTTGGCATCTCGACAAATCCCTGTCCATAACGGTTGGCGCTAACCGTTCTGCAGTCGACCCCGAATGCGACATTGCCGTCGCCACCATGGCCCAGCTTCTCCTTCAGCAGGGCAAGGTGACAGAGGCGCTCAAGTATTTCGAGCGCGCCGCCGAGCTGGCCCGCACCGAAGGCGAGACTGTCAATGCTCTGTCCTACGCCGAGGCCACCCGCACGCAGCTCCAGGTACAGGAGAAATACCCTAAGCTCGCCGCGAGGCTACAGGGCATGAACCCGGCGCTCGGCCGGTAAGGGTCTTGTCCTCGTTCGCGGAGGGGCAAAGATTTGGAAGCGGGTGTGTACGATGAGAGACCGGGGAAGGAGGGGGGTTTACGGAGACACGATGCGCCTTACGAATGCAGGCCAGATGGTCGGGCTCGAGGGCGCCTTGTATGATAGAGAGTTTTCTGGGTTGCCCACTGCCTGCCTGGCTCTCGCAGGAACTGTCAAGGTGGGAGTCAAGGTCAAATCAAAAATCGACGGTTTCCTCCTTGGCTCCCCTCCCTTGCTCCGTTACAAGAAAGGGGGGAGGCCTTCTAGCCGGAGTGCGACTCAGGGTCACGACTCAGGGTCATGTTGGGGAAAAGGCAGGGGGGCGGAGGCAGATAGGGTTGTCTTTTGTACTATGTATCGGGGCATCAGTGCACGGCGTGCTGAGCCTGTACAAATAGGTAGTATGTAATTCTTCCACTCACCTGTAACACCGCGTCCATGGTCTATGACAGTGTGTCGTTTGTATGTCTTGTGCAACATGTCTGGCTCACTCCGAATACACGAGGGGAGAGTCTGCCGTGGAAAACCAGAACCTCGTGGTCAAGTGGCGCATGGTAAACATGCTACAGCAGAGATTGTACATCACCTCGTTTCAACGTCTTGACAGTTTCGTTTCAGTTTCCAGTTATTAATTACGATCAATGAGATATCTGCTCTCACTACCAGCATCGGATCCAAACCGGGGGCGGCTCAGGAGACCGTCCTGGGAGAAAAGTAAATACAAGTAACACGTACAAAACTCCCAAGCCGCCCCTTCTCACTCCCCTCCCTTCTACAAAGTATTTCATCCACAAAGATGTAGCCGTCAGAGACTTTGCAAAAGGCCCAAGCGACGCGGCGTAAACTGCCGGTTCCTGCCAAACCAGACAGAACACGCCTATTAGAAAAGGCCCCCGTTGCGCCAGAAGTATGGCGTGGGAGGCGCAGCGTTAAGTGTAAAAAAGTAGAGGGAAAGGCTCTTGCGCCGTTGCTGCTCAGGGTTGGGCGTCGCGCATCAAAGTCTAGTAGCGATGCAGCGTTTCTGGTGGTTCTTCCCTTGCGCGCCCATCATATATCGAAGCAACGCTTAGCTGGTGGAGTTCTTGACAAGACCGACGCCGAGACCGACGCCAAGTGCGACAATGATGATGATGAGCACAACGACGAGGAGGCACCACCACTTGAGCTTGCGACGGTTGCGGGCGTGCTTGTTGGCAACCTCGACCTGCTCGTTGCCCTTTTGGATGTTCTCGACCGTGTTGACAGCGTTCTGCTCGGCGGCGTCGACGACGGCTTCCTGCTGCTCGACGAGGACGGCCATCTCCTGGAATAGCTGGGCAACCTCGGCGAGCGTGCGCTCGATGCGCTGAAGCTCGCTGTGACGGGCGCGGACGTTGCCGAGGACCGAGTTGGCCTGGCCCAGGCGGTTGTTCTTCAGCTGCAGCGAGGTGTTAGCATCATGTGGGAGGTCGAGGGCAGGAGAGACAGAGAAGGTGGGAGGGACATACCGCCGTCTGGAAGACACCCTCATTGCCCCAGTCAACCTCGGTGGCCTCGTGGACCTCCTCTTCCGTGGCATCCGGGTTGACGATTCGGTATTGACGGGCAATCTGTTCCTTGTAGCGCTTCTGGTATTCGCTCTCCACTTGCATGTAACGGTGCAGCTCGTCCTTGAAAGTGTTCTTGACCGAGTTCAGCTGGGCTTGCTTGGAGGCGCGGGAGGCGTCTTGGGTGCGGGCGGCATCGCGCTCGAGGAACTTGATCTCCTCGGTGATCTGCGTGTTGCGCAGTTGGGTCTGGGCAACGGCATTGTTCAACTGGTCGGAGGCGACGGAATCGGCGGAAGAGAGCGCGCGTTGGTGCAGTTGAGCAATGTGCTCAATGTCAGCCGTCAAGGTCCGGATTTCGTTGCGCAGATTTTGTACGCGACCGAGAAAGTCTTGCTGGCTGATGGTGGTGGGTGCGGATGACTGTTGCTGCTGCTGCTGCTGGTATGGGTTGCTCTGGTCCTGGTTCTGTTGTGGCTGTTGGCCATAGGGCTGCATCTCATACTGGCCGCCGCCATACTGCTGCTGGCTCTGGTTCTGACGGAGAGAGAGAGGTCAATGTTAGAATGGTGGTGATGGCTTCAATTGCGCTCGAGGGTGGAGGTGGGCAGGTGGGCTTACCTGGTTGTGGTCGTACCCGCCCTCGGCCGCGGGACCCTGGGCATAGGGGTTCTGGCTGTACTGTCCGTACGACATGATGGGCTAAGAATTAAGAGAGGCGCGATGGACGCGCAGAGCGTTGGTAGTCGATGTATTCGCAAAAGGCTGAATGGTGGCGGCGGGCGAATTGAGGAGAGGAATTTGTTGTGATCAAAACGGTCCGTCCGGAGGTGAGGTAGTGGTGGAGCGTGCAAGGTATTGACAAGAGAGAGGGAGAGGGAGTGAGGTAGGTACTAAGGTGAGATGGGATTCCCGGTTGCTGAGGACCTGCACGCGGACGGGGTACCTGGACTGTCGAAAGTTTGCGGATGCGGCGATCTGACTGGCCAGTGAACAGAAGAATGGGACGGCAAGGGTAAATGACGTTGAAGCTTGGGTCTTGACTGGGCCTGGGGATCCCTGCGAGCTTCCAAGGGCACAGTGAGATGCTCTGCGTGCTGAACGGGGGGGGGGGCTTCGGGTGTCTGTGGTGCTTGCTGGGGCCTGGGGTCCGATTGTCTGAGCGCTGAATCGAACTTGGCCGGCAGCTCGGGGGCGGCGGACAGCAGTCTCTTTTGTGCTTCGTGCCAGGACTCCCCACCCGTAGACAGAGTCCTACGGAACTGCCTACCTCTGAAGGTACATACAGGTGCCTTGGGGGCTGTGCGTAGCCTGGCTCCGGGGCTTGAAATGGCCGAAAGTGCAGGTGGGTGAGCACATGCTCCTTCAGCGCCCACGCTCCTTCAGCGCCAGGGCCTTCTGTTCTCTTCTTTGTTCTGGCATGAGATGACAGCCAAACCGAGATCGAAAGAGATTCGCGACCCTTCCTTGTCACAGCCAACTACCTTGCTTGGTTGGTCATTTGACACACGTAACAGACGACACCCAGCGGGCGGCGTGCAAGTACAGGTGCCCAATATCTTCAGCGGAGCCTCCCTTCCATGGGACATCTGGAACCATGTTCCGAATGTCTGTCACTGAGCCCACGCTGGCGTGGCTGCCCTGCATGTAAGGTCGCCCATGCAGCAGCGTGAGATCCCGAACCGGCTTGACCAACACGCCTGTGCCGTTCCAAGACTTGTGGCTGCGCCAGTCCCTCCAGTCCAGCGAACCATCACTCCATCAGTGCTGGCTCTGTTCTCCATGCCACTGCGGGCCACCGAAAATAGGGCGGCGGGGTCGTCGTCGTCGTCCGCAGTCTTCGCAAGCTACTGGGCTGTGCTTCGCCTCTTCGGGCTTCGCACTGTAAGCTCGTCTAATTCGTGTTGCCACACACGCCTCGCATCGGCTTTCGCGACCTCCGCATTAGGCATCCATCTATTGTTCAATTTGTTAGTCTCGGCAGATCGGAACCATCTGATGATGTCCATTTCTTGTAGAATGTTCATCGAACACCGCCCACCTCCCATTGGTTCATGGCTGCCTTTTTCAAACCCTGTCCACATTCCGGCATCGCCTGCGACCTGCATCTGTTATTGTGCAATCTGCACAGTAGGAGACGTCGCTGGCTTCCTGACGATGCATCACAAGGCATGACTGCATAGAATGTCCTACACGCGCTTGAGATGTGATCATCATGGGTTCGTCTATTGGTATCTTTTCCAGCGCCGTCCAGTTTTTTAGTAGTTTTTTTCCTTTCACCGACATTGGCTTCTTTCGCCCTTGCCTGATGTACATCGTCTTGGTGCTCTGCGTCATCCTTTGTCCAGACGTCCTCAACTCTCTTCCATGTCTTATTCCCAAACGCAGAAGCCTCGCCGTGGACTCATGTCCCACATAGCGGAGCATTTCGTGATGGCTGCAGCTGCCTCCATAGGCCTAACCTTACATAAAGTAAGGTAATCACGGCTACTCAAGTGCTGGTTTCGTGCTACCTACCACTGCTTCGGCCAGCCGTTACATCTCTCGCAATGCTGCCGCATGGCCATCTCATCAACGTCCTGGTGAGGGAGTGTGTCATCAGCTTCTTCAACACCCTGTGTGATCACTATGCCAGAGATACCATCGAGGGGCTCCTCTGCCTCATGTCCCTGTACGGCTGGCTCCGCCGTCTACTTTCCTGACGACAAAACAGCAAACATGTCGCCTCACAGGTAGTTCTTCTTGCGGCCCGTACGCGTGTACTGTGAGAGGTGCCACTCCACGTCGCCCTTGGCCTCCAGCGTTCCGGCTCTGACCTCGAACGGCCTCATGGTCATTCGAGGCCCAACCTCAGCCAGCTCCACTGAGTCGTAGGATGTTCGAACGAAGACGTGACTACACCGAGCGGTCAGTAGGTTCCAGGTGCGGCGCTCTCGGCCAGCAACTTACTGTCGGACTTCGATACAGTCGTCTTCGTTGACAAAGGTGACAACTCGGCTTCCCACCTGGTTCTTGCTCGTTATGGGCTCCCTCGGTGGGAACAGATGCTTCAACACGGTGACGATTCGCTTTCCTAGTGGGCTGTGGATATCCAGTCAGTTTCGGCCTCTCGGCGTTTGCGCCCGTGCCACGTGCTGCCGATACAGATCTTTTACAAGTACATACCTTTTGAAACCTTCAAAGATGAGATGCTAGAGCCTATGTTAGTCTCTGGCACCGTGCCATAAAATGATGGTTCAGGGGAACCATACGGGATATTGCTCGCTGACTGTGCCAAGGCTCTTGATTTCGGCCATCATGACCACGTTGTGAAGAGAAAAGGACACGGTAGGCCCAAAAGGCAGGTGGCTGACGGTCAGAGCCGTGGGTGTACCTCGATGCTCGCTCAGTAGAACAAGATCAGACAACCCGTTCGTCTTGGAAGACATGACAAGGTCAGGCAGAATGAGGTTGCCACGATTGAGCCGGACCGAGGTAGGAAACAGCAACCTTATCTCCTTGGAGAAGGCTGCGAGTCTGCTGGAGGGATCTCGAGAAGTTGTGACAACTGTGGGGTTTTAGTCCTTTTCCTCAGAAGAGTATATAGGGGAGGATGCACATACGAATTCTCGGTTCGCTCAGGCCCGAAGTTGCGGCGTATTCGTCGTCGAGCTGATCCGCCGCTGCGTTGATGTCGCCAGCTTCATCGTATTGGTAGTCTGGGATACATGTGTTAGTGGCCTTCTGTCGTGTCTCCTGGCAACAGTCCACCGAGTGACCATCAGATCTGAATTATCACCGCTTGTTGATCTTTCAAAATTTGTGCGCCGCAAATAGTCTTCGTCATGAAGGTCACATACCCTTTCGGAGTTTTTGATCTTTCGCAATGGAGGGGTCCAATGCTTTCCCTGACGCCAGGGCCTCCCTCAACTGGGCTCTCTTCTCTGCGGTCTCTGCTTCCTTCAGGGCCGTCGCGCGCCTGTAGAGGTAGTCCCTCCGCTGCCTAGCTTGTTTGCGCTGAAATGCATTAGTTTGCGCCCATTTTATCTGACTGCCAAAGTCCTCACCAGCATGACGGCGATTCGGTGACGCGAGGCGTGCACAAGGTCGGCAGTTGTTTCGTTTCGGGTCGGGGTCGGTTATGGTCGAAGATTTCCTTCTGTCGTCTACTCCGGCTGGCGCGGTTGGCCCTTGGTTTCGTTCGTGTACGCAGGTGGTCGAGATTATCGAATGTCGCATTCGTCCTTGGTCGGCTTCGCCAAAAGCCTCCAGAAATCTTGACGACCCGAATAATCTTTCCTTATCGGAACCGAAATGGCCCGTGCTATCTTTATCGCGGGGGCGTCACATGGCGATAACGGGGCATCCCACCAAAAAAGAGGGAGCAAGCCATCATACCTTAGTGATCGGCCAATCTGACTTTGGGCGCCGTCTTTGAATTCCAGGATCATCAAGCTTCGCGCGACTTGCACCGAGACAGCGCCACTGTGCCCTCGAACACAACTGCAAATCCGAGGCATCCTCACATAGCACGCACGACAACCAAGCCAACCTGCACGCTGGTCGGTATGATGTGACCTGCCCTGTTCTCACATTACCCCGAATCTCTTCCCGCACGACCCAGAGCCGCACCCGAGACCCTGCCGAACGGGACCTTATTGCGAGACATACCGAAAATACTGTCCGGTGAGTCGCACAATCTTCGAACTTAGGCTACTCCCTTCCATACGCTCGGAGAAGGCCACTGCTGTCGGCTCAGCCATTCGAGCGACCGAAGACTTCGTTGCTGATCTTTCCAAGGGTGCTTTATCCGAGCAGAACTCTTGACAACAATCACTTCCCCCGTCGCTGCGCGATCATGGAGGGAGCCTTTACTCACCTCGGAAACCACTTGATCTCCGATTCCGCTGCTGCGATCAAGGCCGGCGCCGACGACCTCTCGACTATCGATGCGGACGAAAGCCTCCTTTATGGTGGCAAGTTTGGGGGCCGCGGCGGACGACGCCGCGCCGATGACGACGACAATCAGACTGAGCTATATGACGAGGAGGATAATGACAGTCTGACGAGCGCACCCGTTGGCGCTTTGCAAGACCTGAAACTCGGTCACGCTCAAGAGGAGGAAAGAGAGCTGCCTGCGCATGCCTGCTCGTACGTCTTGCTACCCCACTTCTCCCGAAATGCGACTCTGGCCCTCTGCTGACTTTGACGATCCATGAAGGTACTGCGGCATCCATTCCCCGAGCTCCGTTGTCAAGTGCCTTGGCTGCAACAAATGGTTCTGCAGTGCTCGCGGCAACACGACCTCCAGCCACATTGTCAACCATCTCGTTCGCGCTCGCCACCGAGAAGTCCAGCTTCACCCTGAATCGACCCTTGGCGACACTATCCTCGAGTGCTACAACTGCGGAAGCAAAAACGTCTTCCTGCTGGGATTCATCCCTGCCAAAGCCGATACCGTCGTCGTTCTTCTCTGCCGACAGCCATGCGCCGCCAGCACTTCCTCGAAGGACATGAGCTGGGACATCTCACGATGGCAGCCCTTGATTGAGGAGCGCGCCTTCCTCCCGTGGCTGGTCGCAACGCCCTCAGACGCCGAGCAGCTGCGCGCCCGTCACTTGACCCCGAATGTCATGGCTAAGCTCGAGGAACTGTGGAAAGAGGATATGACGGCAACGGTTGCCGATTTGGACAAGGCGACCAGTATTGATGACGATCCTCATCCTGTGCTGCTCAAGTACGAAGACCCGTTTCAGTACCAGAATGTTTTTGGCCCTCTGGTCAAGATGGAGTCCGACTACGACAAGAAGCTCAAGGAAGCGCAATCGGAGGACGGCCTTCAGATTCGCTGGGATTACGGCCTGAACGGCAAGCATCTTGCAAGCTTCGAGCTTCACAAGATAGAGTCCGGCGATGTGAAGCTGGCTGTTGGTGACGAGATGCGACTCCGCTACAAGGGAGAGCTTCGTCCAGCCTGGGAAGGCGTTGGCTACGTGATCAAGATTCCCAACAATCACTCTGACGAGGTCACTCTGGAGCTGCGTAAGGCCGGTAACGAGAAGACGGTCCCAACCGAGTGCACCCACAACTTTTCGGCCGATTATGTGTGGAAGGCGACTTCATATGACCGCATGCAGCTCGCCATGAAGACTTTCGCTGTTGATGACAACAGTGTCTCGGGTTTCATCGTTCACAAGCTGCTTGGACGTGACGTTGCGGTCGCGCCTATGAAGACGGCCATGCCGAAGAAGTTTACCGCTCCTGGACTACCCGACCTCAACCAGTCCCAGATTTCTGCCATCAAGGCGGTCCTTCAAACGCCTCTGAGTCTGTAAGTCAACACTCCACGTCATTGGACATTCTGCGCACTGCTAACGCTGCGAAGCATCCAGGGGCCCCCGGGCACTGGCAAGACCGTCACGTCGGCGACCATCATCTACCATCTCGCTAAGAGCAGCGGAGGACAGGTCCTCGTCTGTGCGCCTTCTAACGTTGCCGTCGATCAACTTTGCGAACGTATCCACCGCACAGGGCTCAAGGTCGTGCGCTTGACAGCCAAGTCCCGTGAGGATGTTGAGTCCTCTGTCAGTTTCCTCGCTCTCCACGAACAAGTCCGTATGAACGACAGCAATGGCGAGCTTGTCAAACTTGCACAGCTGAAGACCGAGCTTGGCGAACTCTCCAGCCAGGATGAGAAGAAGTTCAAGCAGCTGACCAAGGCTGCCGAGCGTGACATTTTACACAACGCTGACGTCGTCTGCTGCACCTGTGTTGGAGCTGGCGATCCCCGTCTCTCTAAGATCAAGTTCCGCAACGTTTTGATCGATGAGTCGACCCAGTCTGCTGAGCCGGAATGTATGATTCCTCTTGTTCTCGGTTGCAAGCAGGTGGTTCTTGTTGGCGATCACAAGCAGCTGGGCCCAGTCATCATGAACAAGAAGGCAGCGAAGGCAGGCCTTAACCAGTCTCTGTTCGAGCGACTGGTGAATCTGCGCCTGCAGCCTATTCGGCTGAACACTCAGTACCGCATGCACCCATGCCTGTCGGAATTCCCATCCAACATGTTCTACGATGGCTCCCTTCAAAACGGCGTGACGCACGCCCAGCGACTCCGCCGCGATGTCGACTTCCCGTGGCCCGTTGCCGATACACCCATGATGTTCTGGTCGAACCTAGGCAACGAGGAGATCTCAGCCTCCGGCACATCTTATCTCAACCGCACCGAGGCTTCGAACGTCGAGAAGGTTGTGACTCGGTTCTTCAAGGCAGGCGTTAAGCCCCAGGACATCGGTGTTATCACCCCGTACGAAGGCCAGCGCAGCTACATCGTTAGCACGATGCAGAACACGGGCACTTTCAAGAAGGAAAGCTACAAGGAGGTCGAGGTGGCGTCGGTCGACGCTTTCCAGGGCAGAGAGAAGGATTTCATCGTGCTCTCTTGCGTGCGTTCCAGCGACAACCAAGGCATCGGTTTCCTTTCGGACCCCCGTCGCCTGAACGTTGGTCTCACGCGTGCGAAGTACGGCCTCGTCATCCTCGGTAACCCCAAGGTGCTGTCTAAGCACGAGCTTTGGCACCATCTCCTTGTCCACTTTAAGGACCGCAAGTGTCTCGTCGAGGGCCCGCTTACCAACCTGCAAAGCTCCCTCCTCCAGTTTGGCAAACCCAAGACGCCGTACCGTCAAAAGTTCAACCAGCCTAACCAATACGCTGCCGGCGGATACAGCAGCGGCAATGGGAACAATAATGGCAGCCGTTACGGTCCTCCTGGCGGTTCTGTCCGCGATTTTGATACAGGCTCGGTCGTGTCCTACATTCCTGACGACGTCTCCTCTATTCACAGCTCCAGCCTCGGCGGCGCCGGCCTCAACACGACCTACCCTCAGTTCTTCTCCGGATTCGGCCACGAAACCTGGCCCGGACTACCAGGTGCCCCTACTGGTCGATCTGGCAATCGCAGGGCCGCTCGCGGCGCAGAGAGCATCGCTGGCGAGAGTGTGGCCAATTCTGAGTACACCGATGCAAGCGCTAGTGTCATCGGGGCCAAGGGAGTAGGTCAGGGCGGTGTCAGCCTGGGCGCGGGTCTTCAAGATGCCATTCACGGTATGCGGCCGGCATCTTACAGCCGCAGCGACCGTCTCACGCAATATGTCAACTCGACCAGCGGGAACCGAAATGGCCCTGGCAATGGCTACGGACGTCGCTTCGACAAGGATGACGATGAAAAGAGCGTCAGCACTGCCTTCCACAGTCAGATTGGCGGCGGCTTCGACTGAGTTACGAGACGGTAGACATCAAAAGTCATGTATGAGTCGTCTCGACATTGCCCCCACTGGGTTCAGCTCGCCGCAAGCTATACAACATGGCAACCCAAGGCTCGACGAGTGCCCGAGGACATGCCTGGTCAAATGACAACAGGCTGTCTCGAAGGAATCCGCATCACAACATCAGCCGATAGCGTGCTGGTTGACGTGTCAGGCGGTTCGCCCTAGCGATACCTACCGACGGTTACCACGCTGCCTGGGCGGACCTGATTGTGCGCATACGACAGTCAAGCAGTGTACTTGCGCTGCTGAACATCAAGGTGGTGCAAATCATGAGACAGTCGAACGAGAGATGGCGAATAGCCCTTACGGAGTTTGTGGCGGCGAGCGGTTTCCAAAAAGGCCATCGCAGGGAAGGCAATAGGAGTGAGACGTCATGTCTCAAAACTCGGGTTGAAGCTCACGCTCGGTGGAGCAGGGTTTAAACGACAATGAGGTCCGGGTAGTCCGTATGCTTCGGCATGTTAGGATTGGTTGATTGTACAGTATCCCAATCAGACCGATACATCTCGAGCTTTCGGCACGCTACAGCCAGCACATCACCACGTGGTTCCCGGTCCGGAGAGCTAGTGTCGGGGTCGTTCGTTGAGTTACTTCGCGTCAACATTAAATACAGTCATTCGCTTCACACCAATACTCCCCGATTGCTCATGATGATTGTTGCCCGTATTCTTCTGACTAGGTACAGTGGTACCAGACAGGGTACCGTATCTAACCTGTTGCCATGTGTATCGGGCTGTTCTGGCCGGACTTGGATTGTGCAATGTTCAAGAGTTGTTTTCTAGTCCTTCTCGAGCGCCAGAAAGAGTACTGCCAACAGACGGATCCTCTTTGCTCCTCTGGGCCAAGATAGGTTTCCGCCCGGCCCTCGCTTGCACACAGCGGTCTTGGAGCCAGCTTTGTTACGGGAAGAATATCGTGAATCGAACTCGTACGGACTGTCTTGATTCTGCTTCGCATGCACTACATGTTGCTGAATACATCCGGGAATCAAATGAATGAAGAACGAAGAATATCTGACCACCACAATGAGTAGCTAATTCTCCCCAGAAGACGGACGCGCAAAATAGCTATATGGAGTGTACCATGAGTATAGGCCTTTAGTATGTGCATGCTAGTAAGGGGATGTATGATACCCCGCGCACAGCATACTGCCACGTCGCTCTGCGTTCGCTGATACCGGTCATTTCATTTCTTTTTCGGAGTTCAAAATGACGACAGCGCGCAGCCTGTGTAGAGTATTCAAGCAGATACTCAGCCGTTCCAGCTGTGGTAAGGGATATCCATTACATCACAACGAAAGGGGTCATTAGGATGAGGCAGGTAAACGGTTTCCAATGCAGGTGTACTCTGTCGTTACACTTTATTTCATAATACAGCAAGTCTACATTCTGAGGTCGTTTCATTTTTTGTCACATCAGACCACAACGCTCAGTCCGTTATGGCGTCCAACGTGTAGAAAACCACTTCCACATCCTAAAACGCCATTCTGGCCCTGGCACACAACCGCTCGATGTTCCTGTCGCAGGAGATCTGACGGATAGATACAAGCAGGTGGAGGCTCAATTTGGAGCCTCTAAGGGTCAGGGTGAGGCTTCTTGCCAAGACGTGATCCTCGCCCAGGGGAGTGCGTATTTCACCCCCATAAATCATGAGCTCACGACCAATCCTTCTCGACAAAAGAGTGAGATGTCGGCACGCGAATGCCGTGGGATACAGGTGCTGTGCATAAAGCTAGTAGCCTTGTCGGGGTATGACGATCAGCCATGCGACGTCATCTGTCGTGGCCTCCAACGCCTGCGAAGCCAAGTGGTGCACTGGGGGAGATGACCTCATCAAGGATCATGCCCAGCCAAGCAGGTTCCATCTGTACATGGCTTGCGGTGGCATTATTCAGAGACGCAACAACTCCTATTCAACGGACGAACATACCAGCAGCATTGAGTGTGTGATCCATCTCGTTCGCAATGTCGACAGCGGATTCCAAAGGCAGGCGATCTCGATTGATGGACATATTGGGCGGAAGAAGCCAAGCCAAAACCACAGAACAACCGATCCCAAACTCGAGTTTGGACAGCCAGCTCGCTGGATCCTCTTCAGAGAACAGCAGCAAGCCCGACACAACTCTGAGCACACAATCGCCGTCGGACATCTCGAAGAGCACCAACGGTCTATCCCGCAGTGAACCTTCAAGCAATCCAACATCAATGTCCAACCCAACGGAAGAAGCACTCAGGGGCCCGACGTCGTACACATCGCCTACCATCAAGAGGGAAACCCACAGCAACCCCAATACGGGGCAGACCATCACGACGACGACGACAACGACGACGACGACGACGACAATCACTGGCCAGGACGGCGCTGTACGTACATCCGTGATCCCTTCCACAGCTATCTTCTCCTATGACCCCGGACTGTTCGCTAAGTGTAGGAGAAAACCATAATCGAACGGCCGCATGATAAAGCCACCGAGCTGCCGACGGGCATTGAGCCCCCTACCCAGGTAGAACAGGATGAACAGATGCCAGGAGCTTCCGGAGCGGGCCTTGTTCCGCCCCAGGAGCCGACCTCGCCCATGACCCCGGTGGAGGCAAGGAACCCACCTCCCGTGATACCGGAACGGAATGCCAGACGGTCTCTCGAGGGTATGCCTAACCAGACGAGGCCTCTCGCAACCGCCATGCAGCCCCAAGAAGGCTTCAGTCCGTCGGACCAAGGACCGCAGGACTATGCACATCCGTCAAACCAACCATTGCCGCACGAGGCGCAGGGAAATAACGCACGGCTCGGCAGCAACAGTACACCAAAGGGTCTAGGGTCAGTAAAGACTTTCGACAACCTGAAGCGGGCTGCGGCCGGAGTACATGTACGCCTACCCCCCCCCCCCCCCCTCCTCCCCTAATTGTGTTTTGAGCACGATGAATAATACGTTGTTATCAGGGTGCCGGTGATCTCCTGCGCGGGACGTTCAACTCCTCCATCGACAAACGGTTCCACGAGCCCGACAGCGTAGCGGTCCAGAAGAACGAGGACGTCCTCGAACGGGGCCGTTACGAGGCGGAGAACCAGCGTTTCCACCACCCGGAAGGGGCCATGCCTCCGCTGGACCAGATACAAGAGACATACGAGCCCTCTGAGCCCGACTACCCTTCATCGTCCCAGCAGCTACCAATCCAGCCATTGGCGCCTCGGGAGAGTCGATTCAGCGGCATGTTCAAGAAGGACAGATCGCCGAGCGTCGGCCCGCCAGATCCTCCAAGAAAACTCAAGAAAATGAGAGGTGTTGCCTAAGAAGCACACCTGCCCTGCGATAGGGTTCACAGACAAGCGCGCCTTGTATGATTGATGTCCGCCGCTTCCCCCGGAGGTCTTGACAAATACCAGGACTTTGGTACAGGAGAGGAAGCGGCCCAGGCTGGTTGTCTTGTGTCACCTGAACGTGGAGTTGCGCGGTCTTTGTGAGGAGGACTTTGTCTTAAAGCGGCATTTTGAGTAGATACTCATGCATACGTACGTAAGCTTCTACAGTAGGTGCATAATCCTCACACCTATCAATGGCCGGAGATGCTGTGAGGGGACCGCGAGAGTATATGTGTGACCGCCAAGACACAGGCGCCCGAAACGGATGCTCCACTATTTAAGCTTGAGCTCTCACGTCATGTAAGCAAGCGCGTCCAACCCCGTTTATTACTGGGTCAGTTCTTCGTGTTCTCAGCTGCCATCCTTCCACCCACTTACCACCCAACACCTTACTTTCGTTCAAGTTTGGAACCTGGCGCTGGCTGTTTGTCCTCGCGCAGATCCGATCATTCACCATGCATCTCTCGCAGCTGTGCCTCCTCGGGGCTTCGCTAGGCGCCTGTCTGTTCGCCGAGGCCAAGCCGCTCGAAGACTTGCCGCAACAGCACGTCATGGCCGAGCCCGACTCGACGCAGACCGCACAAGGACCTCGAGAGACCGGCGTCGGACACTTCAGCGAATGGTCGCGCGAGACGAAGAGGCGCTTCCTCATCGATTGGCAAGCAGGGCGGTCCTCAGAGTGGACAATTGTCCAGGGCAACGAAGGCGGCGATCTCGACTCCATGACTGCCGCCCTCACCTGGGCGTATCACCTACAGCACTCGACTTTCAACACGTCGAACCCGATCAAGGCCATTGCTCTGCTGCAGACTCCGACCGATGCCCTCGATCTGCGACCCGAGAACAAGATCGCCCTCGACAACTCCCAGATGAGCTCAGGCCACTCGGACCTGCTCACCATCGAAGAGCTTCCTGAGGATCCGGAGACGCTGGCAAACGACATCAAAGGCATCGTGATTGTGGACCACCCTGTCCCGCTGAGGAAGTGGCACGATGCCAAGCTTCTGAGCATCTTTGACCACCACAAGGACAACGGCGCCGGGCCTCATGCCGAGCCGCGCATCTTCGAAAAGGTGGCGAGCTGCACGACCATTGTCGCGCGCCAGATGCTCGACGAGCTCGAGGCCCTGCCGGAAGAGTACCACATGCCCCACGAGCTTCTCGAGCTCATCCTGTCGGCCATCGCGATCGATGCCGGCGGACTCCGAGATGCCACCGAAGAGGACCGCAAGACGGCGCAGCGAGTCCTGGACCGGAGCGACTGGCGCGGCACAGACCTGGAGGACAAGATGGCCGAGCTCGACGACGAACTCAGTGCTGCCAAGAAGGACCTTGACCATCTCGGCGTCCGTGATCTGCTGCGGAGGGACTGGAAGGGCGACCTCGTCGACACGCCGTCGCCGCGCACGCCCACCGTCAGCCTCGGCTTCGGGTCGATCCCGTACTCGCTCGAGGAGCAGATCAAGAAGACCGAGTTCGGCGAGCTGTTTGACTGGTTCGCCATCGAAGCGGCGTGGACGGCGCAGGTCGGTGCCGACATTAGCGTTGCCCTCAACAAGTACAAGACCAGGGATGCCAGCGGCAAGAAGCGCAAGATCCGCGAGATCGTCCTGGTGGTCCGCACCGATGTGCGCATCAACGAGACACAGGCGGACAGTCTTTTCGAGACGGTCGTGAAAGCCGTCGAGGCAGACGAGTCGCTGAACGTGAAGCCATGGCATCGGGCCGACGAGCTGGGCAAGCGCCAGATGGTCTGGACGCATGAGCGGGAAGACGCCGGGAGGAAGGTCATCCGGCCCCTCATTGAGGCCGCAGTCGAGGCCTGGGACTGATCATACTGTCAAGTGTACAACAACAGCAAGCACCAAACATGTCATGGACGATGTATGCATTCGTAAGATCTAGTAGTGTATTGTCAAGTCGAGGATAGAATGCCAATATTTCGGATGGACCTCCGACTTCCTAACCTGATCAGCCCTGCGGCGCGGCACGTAGGGCAGTCGCGACGTGGTACCAGGCGTCATCTCGGTGCGCGGCGGCTCGTCGGATAGTTTGACTGGCAGGTGTCTGATAGATCGCCGGACTGTCAAACAAAGGATCGCCAAGTGCCGTGCGTCGCAATGTTATTACCCAGTACAGGCCCACACATGTGGCTGGCTTGCTTCGTGTTCGTCACTAGAGTCATGCATTCAGTGGTGCTCAGACAAACTGCGCTGAGTGGAACCAGATGTGTCTTGTCTGGCTTCCCCATGCGCTTCGGTGCAGGTTATAGGCCAGGGGTTGCTGTTGAACAGCGGGTAGGCTTGCGAAAGCTTGTGAAGCTTCAGTGGACTTAGCCTCGTGTTCCCCCACTGCCCCCCCCCCGTCAGCCCTCCCCCCCTCCACCCCCTGAGCACTGACGATCCGCCTGCCCCTAGGCACCGCCTAAAATACCTCCCTGGCAAGAGGCACACAGGATTCGGAAGGTAACGGTCAGACACTGTCTCTCTTGACAATGAAATCCATCCAGCGCACGGTGAGACACCAACGTCACCTGTCGTTCCTGCAACCCTCTAAGCTTTCTTCACCTGCCGCACGCAAGGCGCCTGTCATCACGTCCAGCAAGACATGAGCATCGCGATGCTCATTTTGCTTGCGCCCACGTTTTCAACACAGCCGCCATAATGATCACTCTTCGTCGGTCGTCGCGACGGCCAATCCTCCTATGTATCTCGCTCATCCTGCTTCTCTTCTGGCACTTTGGCCTACCACCCAGTGTAAGGAGGCAGCCAAAACCCATACCCGATACGCAAGGCGTGCTATACCGCCGGTCTAGCTTTGATTGGGCCAACCTGCGGCGTCAGTATCCTCGCGACAAGCTGCTCCGTTTGCCCAAAGGCGACCCCATCACGTTTCCCAGGGTCCAGCGCGACCCTAGCCAGTCCAGCAGTCCCGCCACGGCTGTCGAGGTCATCCAATCGAGGCGCAATGCCGTTCTCAACGCCTTCCGGAGGAGCTGGGCGAGTTATCAAAAACACGCCTGGACCTGGGATGAGCTGATGCCCGTCTCCGGACAGGGCAAGAATCCCTTTGGTGGTTTCGCTGCCAGCATCGTCGACAGCCTCGACACCCTCTGGATCATGGGTTTGCGCCGAGAATTCGACCAGGCGGTGCAGGCGGTGGCCCTCATCGACTGGGACAACACGACCATGACCTCGATCAACATGTTCGAGACGACCATTCGCCATCTGGGCGGCCTGCTCTCCGCCTACGACCTCAGCAGCGAGCCCGTGCTTCTGGCGAAAGCCACGGAGCTGGGCGATATGCTCTACGCTGGTTTTGATACCGAGAACGGCATGCCTCCGTTTTGGTTCAAGTTCTCCGCAGCCAAGTACGGCCACCAGGTCGGAGGTGATCGCGATTCGTCCGCCTCTGGATGCTCAATGTCCATGGAGTTCACTCGTCTGTCCCAGATCACGGGCGACCCCAAGTACTATGACGCCACGGAGCGTGTCAAGCAATTTCTCCGCGACACCCAGCAGGACACGCTGATTCCCGGCATGTGGCCTGCCTTTCTCAACTATCGAAAGATGCTGGCCACCGATACCCACTTCACCATAGGGGGCCAGGCCGACTCGCTGTACGAGTACCTGCCCAAAATGCACGCTCTCCTGGGAGGCCGTGATCCGCAGTACGCCAAGATGGCCGAAGAGGCGTTGGACACCGTCTCCAAAAACCTCGTCTTTAGACCTTTGATTCCCGATAATGCCGATATTCTTTTTATTGGTGACACCAACGCCCACAAGACGCGGGCCAACGAGCATGTCCCGGAGATGCAGCACTTGTCATGTTTCGCCGGCGGCATGTACGCCCTGGCCTCGCGCCTGCTCAACCGGCCAGATTACATGTCGATCGCCGAGAAGATAACACGCGGCTGCGTGTGGTCCTACAAAGCCTTCCCCACGGGTCTCATGGCCGAGATCAGCTCTCACATCTCCTGCGCCCAGCTCACCACGCCACCCAATACCGACCTTCAAGCCGCCTGTGAGTGGTCCGAAAAGGCGTGGAAGCTCCAGACGTTCAGCCGTGGCGTCCAGGACACGATGCCTATGGGCTTTCGCTCGGTTCGCGACCCGCATTACCTCCTGCGCCCCGAGGCCATCGAGAGCGTGTTCTACATGTGGCGTATCACGGGCGCCGTGGAGTGGCGCGACGCCGCCTGGGACATGTTCCAGGCCATCGTCAACGCCACGGAAACGAAGCTGGCGTACTCGGCCATTCGGACTGTCATTGTTCCCAAGGGCGGCGAAACGGAGAAGACCGATTCGATGGAGAGCTTCTGGTTCTCGGAGACTCTGAAGTACTTTTATCTCATTTTCTCCGATGACGACGTTTTGAGCTTGGATGAATGGGTGCTGAACACTGAGGCGCATCCGTTCAAAAGGCCACGCCCCGGATCTGCGTGAGGGTTGACACTGGCTCGTGCATTGAGCAATAGTTTTACGAAGAGCATGGTGAACATGGTGAGCTTATAGAAGGAAAAGGAGGATATACCCCGTTCTTGTCGCTCAGAGCGAATAACCCAAGGGGTCCGATTAGCGTTGGCTGAGGTCATTGCTTGAGTATCATGTATAACAACAGCATTCATGTCCCGAATTAGGGTGAAATGGAGGATGTGATGCAGTGATGTGGCAGCAGCGTGGTGGCTATCTGGTCGCACGGGGCTCAGGGATGCAGTCCGGCCAGATCACAAACATGGAGATCATGCTTCAGAAGTTGACGTCTCTAGTCTATGGGCAACTTTACAACTCAGCAACAGTTCTATCAGTCTCTTTACGGCCTGTGATTTGTGACGGTGTCTCCAAAGCAATCAGGACAAGACCGTATCAACAGCACGCATAACGGTATAACCCTGATTGATGCATGTTTCCGATCTATGGGCGGCCACCTAAGAAGGCCTGGCCTCCGATAAGCGCATATCAGATCGATTTCGTCACCGATCTGTCAGAGAGCTCCGAGGCGACCTGTTTCCGACATTCGTCAGCTTCGCACATGTTCCCTCTCGTGTTGATCCCCTACAAGAGACGTCGGCATGCGTGATGAGGGATGCGACGATACTACAACCCCATCCGAGCGGCGGCCTCTCTCATCCGTTCAGATGCACGCCTACCTCCGAGATCACAGTTCCGCGCCTTCACAACCACACGTGCCCTCCATCGCAGCCATGACGGCGCAGGCGCCCAGGACCACTACGCCACGCTCAAGGTAGCACCCAATGCTTCGCCCTCTGAGATCAAAAAGTGAGTGCTCTTCCCTGGCACTCGGTACTCGATCCCTAGACCGCCCTCACGCGACAACACGCAACTAAGTCTCGTCCCACCTCCTCCCAGATCCTTCTATGCCCTCTCCAAAGCCCACCACCCCGACCACAACCCGAACGACCCAACGGCGACGACCAAATTCCACGCCATCTCCGAAGCCTACGCGACGCTCGGCACGCCCGCCAAGCGCGCCGTCTACGACCGCGACCACGCCCGCCACAACCACCACGCCCACGCGCACCACGGGCACGGGCACGGCGGCGCCCAGCCCCGCGGCTCCTATCGCTCGGCCGGCGGCCGCCCGGCCTCGGGCCTCTCGCGCCGGCGATCCGCCTTTCGCGGCCCGCCACCGAGCTTCTACCGCAGCGGCGGCTGGGGCGCGCAGTCGGAGAAGCGGCAGGCGGCGCACGACGACAGCACGGGCGGCACGGGCGCGACGCCCCACGGCACGCGACCGCCGCCGCCGCCTGGTGCCGGCAGGCCGAGCGAGGCGGGAATGGGGCCGGGACAGGACCCTTACGGACACAGGCGGGAGGCGCAGGTCTCGCACTTTGACCGCGAGGGCCACACGCGCACGCAGAGCGCGCAGGACAGTCGGAGGCGCACGCGTATGGAGGGGCAGGGCGTCATGCCGAGTGGGTCGGGTGACTCGGCTGTCGGCTTGTTCTTTGCCATCAGCGGCATCTTGTTCCTGACGTTTTTCCTGCCGTACGTCTTCTTTGGAGGCTTGACGCAGGGCCGTCGGCGGAAGAAGGACGTTGAGAAGTCGAAGAGCAAGGCAGCGTAGAAGAAAGCCACCCATAAGACACATCAGTTATTAGACATTGACATCTCGCGATAATACAAAACATCACATTTCATACAAATTGCTCCACATGATGCGAACGTTATTGTTGGGTGGTACGAGACGGGATGACCGCCTTCGTGAGGTTCAATTACTCTCAGGAGAACTAGTCTACATCGAAACAAGCATCCGCCCGAGCGGAAGAGAGGTGTTGATAACAACGGATGAATGGAGATCGGTATGACCTAATTGGACCACGCTATCCGGGGAGGCAGGGAGGGGATGGGGAGATGCTTAACCCTCGAAGGTGAAGCTGGCACCGAGCTGTGGCATGTTAGCATGTTATTGGCGTTTGCGCAGGACACAACATAATGACCAACCTTGTGGGTAGCCTGGTCAAGCTTCTGGGTATCAAAAGAGGCGCCGAGGCCGAGGGTGACACCAGGGCGGAGGAGGACGTTGTAGGCGAGAGCGGCAACACCACGGTCGTTGACCTTGACCTTGGCGAAGGAGACGGGGTCGATGCGGTACTTGGAGGCAACCTCAAGGCCGACGTTGTTGCCGGTCTTGGAGTTCCAGGTGGCCTTGGCACCGGCTTCGACCTGGCTGTTGACCTTGTGGTAGTAAGAGGCAGCGAAGATGCTGAGGTTGTCGGTGGCGGTGATGGCAGCGGTGTAGGCAGGGGCGGTGAAGCCGACGGCGGCGGAGTAGCCGGTGATGGCGGCCTTGTTGACGTCGTAACCGGCGGAGGCACCGGCGAGGAAACCCTCGTGGCCGACGACGGCGTCAATGTTGGCGGTGGGGCCCTTCAGGAGGTCGAAGAAGGCACGGCCGTGGACGTTGGGCTGCTTGAAGTGCAGGTTGAACTTGGCGCCCTTGGCCTGGGTGGCGGGGAGGAAGGAGAAGACACCCTCGGCCTTGAGGCCCTTGGCAAGGGTGTCAGCGAGCTCGACCTTGGTGTCAAGGGCGTTGGCGGTGTTCCAGGTCTGGGTCAGGGTGAGGCCTGTACGGTGATAGAACATTAGCAGCTGTGCGAATCCGGGGGCGATGCATGCGCCGAATTGGATCGGTGTTCCGTAGCCGAAGCCGTAGATCCGAGCCACTTGGAGATCTAGGCGTCGAATACGGTGAACGCCTGTTGTTCCTTTCGGCGGCTTCTTTTTTCGGGGTGGTTTTGCTGTACCGGAAGCCTTCTCGGAGTATTTGCCCTCAATCTGTGTGATGGTGGTGGTCAGCCGATGATCGTGCCATGATTTTCGTGGTTGCCTCGGGAATTATGGAGACAGGGAGAGCGCAACTCACAGCGCCAGCGGTGGCCTTCTCGTGAGAAGTCTTGCCGGTGACCTTGAAAGCAACGTTGTTGGGGGTGTTGCTCTTGACCTCGAGGGTGGCGGCAGAGAGGTGGTAGAAATCCTTGTTGAGGAGCTACACCGAGGTGGTTAGCTGTTGGCATCGAGCTGATGATGGCGAGCAAGCTCTGGAAAGGGTGCATGCGGCGCGCACGGGTGGGATCAAACGAATCCCACCCAGATGCGCGAAGCTTCCCGAACCGTCAGGCTAGGCATGCGAGACGTACATCGTTGCTCGCCTTGGCGATGTCGGCAAAGTTGGGGACAGACATGATGAAGGCGGAGGAGAGCAAGAGCTTCGGGATGAAAGGTATGATGAGGATGTGAGGTTCTCGTGGGGAATGGGAATGCGATGATGGTTGTCCTTTTCAGGAGGAGAGCCGAAGGAGTCGATCTAGGGGATTGGGGGAACGACTCAGGAAAATTGTTTGGGACGTGTCGATTGGCTGACGGGCAATCCCGGCTGAACTCGGTCCGGGATATGTGACCAAGAGAAACAGCTATGCCAGAACGAGACGTGTGTAGCTCCACGTGGGGGGTGGCAGCGGATGGTTGATTGGTGACTTGGAAGCTTGGGTGCAGGTGATGCAATGCGAAGGGTCGATGAGTCCTCCCAAGTAACAATGTTGGGGATCTACCCTGTGGCAGGCTTGCGTTGATGCAAATGCGCTTTGGGGCCTGAGAACGAAGGATTTGGAAAGCCAGCCTGTATCTAGTGCCTGGTGGTGCAAGTCGGCCGGGAAGTGGAAGAGTGATGCACGTAGGCAGCAGGCGACACGGGCACGGGGCCTCGAAACGTTACCGTGTCAGTTGGCAGCAGCGTCCACCTGCCTCCTTCACCATTTGTTCCAAATCTGCAAGACCAATGCACTCTTCGTGCCTGGTCTGACCTGCCAGGAACACCTCCTGCCACCAGGACCCCTGCCTACCCTGTCACCTGTCGCTCTTGCATCAAGCATCATTAAAGTCAGGGTGTCACTGAACCTGACCCCACACCATCAACGTCCTTGCGAGCGTCACACAAGGGAGCAAGCTTGTCATCACCACCTCGCGCCAGTCAGATTCATCCAGGTCATTCTATCAACCAAGGTATCTAGGCCGCCGGTCTTCGTATTTTCGTCCAAACCCACAAAGATCTTTGGCGGCACAAGCGCCTCTAAAAGCCTGAAACCCCGATGCAAAATCTACCCCTCCAGCCTGCTACCTAGGTAAGGTACCTTGGCTGGGGTCTACCCCTCCTCGCCCTCCGCCCCAAAATTGCACGCTCATGCAGTCTCGTACTTTTGCTCGTGGATGGCAATGGCTCTGTCATGCAACGCGTTAGTACAGTGGTCCTTCTTATGCATCATTTTTGCTCCTCGCCGCAGACTTGTTGAGACTCACCTTCCGCTGGGGTCGGTCTGCTTGGACCAGGTAGGGGTCCACCTCACGACCGTCGACGCGCACGACGCGGGGAAGTGCTCGTCGAACATGGTGCGGTACCAGTACGCCTCCTTGGAGTCGGGAATATCGTTGCCCCACTCGGGCTTGGGGTTCTTCATCATCTCGTCCGTCACGTGCTTCTCGGCGTTGTCCTTGAGCGCGTCGATCCACCCGTATCCAACACCATCGGAGAACTGCTCCTTCTGCCTCCAGAGAATCTTCTCGGGCAGGTAAGGCTCCGCGCTGGGGTCGTCCGAGGTGTCAAACGCCTTGCGGACAATGTACTTCTCGAGCCTCTCCTTGGTGATCATCTTCTCCTGAGGGTCGATGTTCATGGCAACCTCAAGGAACTGCGTCACATATCAGCATGTACTCATTCAGTGTATCGTCAGAAACGGGAGGAGGAGGAAATCCCGCTGAGGCCTACTCACCTCCTTGTCCAGGAAGGGCACGCGAGCCTCCAGACCCCACGCCGACGTCGACTTGTTGGCGCGCAGGCAGTCAGAAAGGTGCAGGTTCTTGACGCGGCGAACCGTCTCCTCGTGGAGCGCCTTCTTGTCCGGGGCGCCGTGGAAGTAAAGGTAACCGCCAAACTCCTCGTCGCTGCCCTCACCACTGAGCACCATCTTGATACCCATGGCCTTGATCTTGCGCGACAGCAGGTACATGGGGGTAGAGGCGCGGATAGTGGTGACGTCGTACGACTCGAGGTGGTAGATGACATCGGAGAGGGCGTTGAGGCCGTCCTCAATGGTGAAGGTCATAACATGGTGCTTGGTGCCAAGGAACTTGGCCACCTCGAGGGCGGCCTTGTTGTCGGGCGAGCCGGGGAGACCGATGGAGAAGGAGTTGAGTTGAGGAAGGTAGGTGACAGTCGACAGCTCATCCTCGTCGTCGATACCAACGAGACCCTCGCCCACGTCGGGGTTCTCAGACTTGGCAGCCTCAGCCTTGGCGGCGGCTCTGTTGCTGGCCTCCAGCGCCAGCTTCTGCAGGCGCAGGTTCTCCCTCTGGGCAATCGAAGCCACGAGACTGGAGTCGAGGCCACCGGACAGCAGAACACCGTAGGGGACCTCGGCCATGAGTCGTTTCCTAACAGACTTCTCGAGGGTCTCGCGCAGGAGCTTGAGGTCGAGAGGCTTCTCAGGAACGCGCTCGCCATCCCACCAGGTGGGCTCAAAGTATCTTGTCGTCTTGCCGGTCTTGGAGTCGTAAATGTGTCCAGGAGGGAAGGCCTCGATCTTGTCGCAGACGGGGTGCAGGGACTTCAGCTCAGAGGCGAAGTACACAGTCTCGGGCTGCTTGGAGTTCCAGCCCTGGTAGAAGGTGGTGATGCCGATGGGGTCACGGGCGGCAACTGTCCGGTCCTGCTCCTTGTCGTAGAGGACAAACGAGAACATGCCGTCGAGGTGCTTCGGCGCGTCGAGGCCATACTCCATATACTGTTCCCAGTCAGATTAGACATGTCTGGTCCCGACGCCTGGGAAGCAGGGATGCGTGCGCATGACTCACCAGCGGGATAATAACCTCGCAGTCCGAGGTGGTCTTGAAGTGGTATGAGTGCTTGAGGTGCTTGCGGATGAGGCGGTGGTTGTAGATCTCGCCGTTGACAGCAAGGACAATGTTCTCGTCGGTGCTCGTCAGGGGCTGGGCGCCGGACTCTATTGTTCACGTTTAGCCCTTGGACGGATTCATGGAGAAGAGTTGCGACGCGCACGCCGCCCATGTCGACTCACCGACGCCGACAATGCAGAGACGCTCATGGCACAGGACTGGTCACGATTGTCAGCAATTTTTCCCGCCGGGGCTCGGCAACAAGCTTACTCGTGTTGTTGGCGATGATGCTTCCACCTGTCACATGGTCAGTCAAGATGCTCGAGGATTTCCACTCTTTAGTAGCCAAATCTTACTCCAATCGGGGCCACGGTGCCTGACACTGCGAGGGAAAGAGTCAATTGAACGTCGCGAGAAGGGGATAACGGAGGGTCACATACGCCTTGGCAAGCTTCAAGGCTGTGGGCTTGAATTTCTCAACGTCGGGGTGACTGGAGGTGGGAGTCAGAGTCAGCTCGATTGTGGTGGTTGTGGATGGCGGGGTCCTCGATTGCCCCTCGATTCCGCAGCCGGCACATGCGCCGCCGCGTGGTGCAGCGCAGGAGCGCAGGAAAGACTCACCGGTGGCACGCAAAGATACCGCACATGATGGCGACTGTGTGGGAAAAAAGAGCTACGGTCGAGGGTATCTCTGGTAAAGAAGCAAGCAGGAGTTGGGGATGGGGAGAAGTGTGTGTCTGGTGGCTCAGTAGGCCCAAACTTTTTTATTTCCAGGAGGCGAGGCGCGACTAAAAGGTGGGATGGGCTTGGGCGAGAGGTTATGACTCTTCCTCCTCGTTCCAATGGACGCCGCCCCGAGCCAGCCCGTTTTTCTGCGACCGTGTTCTCCATTGTGAATGCCAATGCCAGAATCACACTAGGCTCGACCTCGTTTTGCCTTGCCCACTTCACCTCATTCCCTGGTCGGTGAAGGCTCTCAAACAGGCACCTTTTCTTCTTCTGCCTGCTGATAACTGCCCGCGATTGTCCAGGGGGCGCAAAGGTCATCCCCAACCAAGTTTAGTTGGTGAAGCTCCCCGATCTCGGCCGTCGCATTCATTGGCCACGTCGTTGAATTTCCCTCGCTACCTGCTCCGTATTACCTAAAACGGCCTACGATAAGGGACCAGCCCGCCGGTGTCACCTGTGCCGAGGCCACCCTTGAGTTCGATTGGAGTCTGGCTACCAGGACCCCAGATGCATCCGAGCAGCGCTGCTTGTAGACTGGATCCCTGAGTCTAGTGCTGTGGTGTGAATTGTATGACTCCAACTGATAACTCTCGCAGCATTGCCTCTGGTACACTGTACAGGACGAGAAACCTCTGTCAGACGGTGCTGATTTGATGGACGTTGCTGGGCGCCGTCTCCTGGCCGCCGGACAGCAGTGCAGGGTTTCCGGCATGGCCTATTCTTTCACAGTCCATATTCCAATAGCTGGCTGCTGGGGCCATCTACGCTGCCTTGGTCTCATCCGTGGGCATTCAAGGTCACCCGCAACAATTTCAACGAGCACTTGACGAACGTCCGCACAATCAAGGCAACAATGGTAGACGTGTCAGAAACCTTCATAGCTTCCATTTCGCGAACTCTCTTCTCAGCTCAGGTTACCTGTGTCCTCTGGGGTCACTGTCTTCTCAATGTCCACGGCGTACCCTCCATTGTCAGTGTGAGTGATCTTGATTGTACGTGGGATTTTCAGATCATCGGCTGAAAACCACCAGTCAATTGACTTTGTCGTTCCAAACGACAGCGCAGGGACTGCAGAGCAGACTCTAGCTCGGTCGGACGACCTGGTGCATTGTTCAAACCCGGAGGTCTGCCACACAAGCTCCAAAGACAGGAGGACACCGCCCCCAGTAATTCATTTCCATATCAGAACTTCCGATATCACGGTAGGAATTTATCTACAGTCCGACACTCTTTGGTTCATGCCACCACTTCGAGAGTCTCTACCATCTCCGTCGATACTCGAGCCCCACTCGTCATACATACTTGCGTCCGATCAGCAAAGCCTTCCGCCGTGGCGACCAGGTCGGGGTTCCGGGTTCTTCAAGTCGGGTGAAGATCCAATTATCGTACCAAAGTCTCATATTCTACTTGAAGCCTTTCTACGTCTGTACGCCCGGGACGCGGGGCAACGCATTGGTGGATTTGCCCTACCCATGATTGGATACATGGAAATGTACGTTGACGACGATGGATTCTTGGATGCAGGACTGCTTCCAGAGCCACTGCAGAAGTTCTACAGAGAATTGCGAGAGGGAAAGAAGCCGGTTCGTCAATGGATGAAGGAGTTGAAGGCGGCCCTTGGGGTCCCTTTCCAGGATTCTGAGGACGACAGCGACTGAACCTTGTTGTCTGATGCGTCACTGCAGAATTACGCCTGGATACTCATATCGCAAGACAAGGTCTTGCGAAAGCTTCCCTCTAGCCCTGGGCCAGTGTGATGGACAGAAGAGATTTTCGTTAGATTACCAGTCCACGGAAGCAGTCCGCCATTTCAAAGATACAAATCGACTACCAGTCTTCAGGCACTTCGAGGTTTGTGTTTTTTTGCGGTCTACCTGTATCGTACCTGGGCCTGCACTGAGAGAATCCAATCTGAGTATCCTACTCAAGAAAGATTTGAGCAAGAGCAATAAGAACGCTGACCCCGGTTAGTGCGTCATGCTCGTCAAGCTAAGACCCAGAACATGACATCGGTTCAGACTGGCGCCTCGAGACGACAGAAACCCTTGGTGACTTCGGCTTGGCATTCTGAAGAGCAGGGTGCGAGAATGACTTAACGCCTTCAGATGACATCGACGAAACAGCACGCTCACAGCTGGCGGAAAAGATGAAGCTCGTTCACAGTGGAGTTGGAGTCGCATGCAAACATCTTTAACCGCTTGGCTCTTGCAGCCTGTATTATATGACGTCTCTACTCGCCGAGAGGCGACAATTAAACAAATGTGGCGTTATCATCATCACGACGCAGGTTATCAGAATGTATTGCCACTCTGGTAGCAATGTCTGTATTGGCCGACTCAGGCTGCCGTTCCGCCCTGTAGCAGCAATCTCTGGATGCCCCAAGCAACGTAAAGCAAAGTCAACCCGATATTCCCTCCAACTCCGTTCCCTATGGCATGATGATCGTATCAACGTTCGTAGTCGTCGCCCCAGTGTCACTCCAACTTCCTCCAGAGACGATCCCGATCAGGGAGCTGGGTTCTCCCTGACAACCCTCCGGATTCTCTTCTCGTATTCACTCTTGTCCTTCTTGAAGAGACTATACGCCTCAGCCTGGGCTGGCGATTCCGGGTTGGGAGTATTCAGCAGCTCCTGGATGCCGAGTAGGATCTGCTTAACAGTGATCGCGGGCTTCCAAGCCTCCTCCTCGTTGAGAATCGATAAACAAACAGTTCCGGAGGGGTAGACGTTGGGGTGGAAAAGCGGAGGAACGAACTTGCCTGTGATATCATGTCAGTCGAAGCACGAAAACACTGAAAGCACCTGCTATGTAACTGAGGGGACCTACACTTCGGCGGTTTCGTAGGGTACTCTGGAGAGATGACGGTCAGCATAATCCGTGGCAAACAAGTCACCCATCGGGAAGCAACGCACCATCAGGGAACGTGATGGTCAGCTTGAATAGACCCTTCTCCCACATTGTCTTCTCTTTTCCGGGGATACCGCAGTCCCACACCTTCAGATCAAGCGTGCCATTTGGTGTGCGAGCTGGCCTTGCGTAGAAGCCGAAGGGGTGGTCCTTTCGCCACGCCTTTCTGTACACGCGTCAGCAGGCTGTCAAGTCGGTAAACTAGTCTGTAGAAACATACCTCTCCTCCTGGAGCCTGTTCTGGCAAAGCGCCATCTCGTGCTAGTTACTGGGATTCTCTCGGCAAAAGTCTGACGCGGTTCGCGATCAGGATCCCTTGACAGCCTGGTCTGGCGCAAGCGTACGTGGTCGTCGGATTATGAAGAAATGGCGCTCAAGCTTTGCGTCAAGAGAGAGGAAGACAAAGCAAGTCTTCAACAATCAGAGATCCGAAAGCCTGGAGGTTTGATGGCGGGTGGTGCGCTTTGCCAGTCGCAAGGCGGCAACTGTGAGAGTCAACGGCAAATGGCGGGCAGCGGCAGGCGGTGTGTTGACTTAGGTATCTAAATTCTGGCAGAAAATGCTCTTATCGCCGAGAGCTGCTCCTCTAGTTTGATAAGCAGGAGTCTGTACCCAACTGATGACAGTCTCAACAATTGGAGCTGTACGAGAGGAAGTCTACAATATATGTTGGTACCTACTGGCAGCAGCAATCGATCCATATATAATTACAGAGACCGTGCCTGCACAAGATATCCTGGCGGCACGAGCAGCCAGCAGTATTCGCCAGGTGTTTGTACATTGTGGTGCGAAGCATCTAGAGCGCTGCCAACACTTTACCAGTTGTTCCAGCCGTCAGGTGCTGGGAGAGCGGGGTCACTGCCCCGCCCCCACCAAGCTGGATGAGGTGCACTGAGAACTAGGTGCTGCACCAATATGGACCACTTTCTCTCACCTCGGCTTGCGCTTTCATATGCTGCGGCTTCTTTCGGTTCCAGACACCGAATTCCACTGGCCAAGTTCACCTTCAACAAACCTCACTCGCGTTTATGACAGGGCCTCGTCATTAATCCGCATCCATCGCTTGTTTTTGCTGGCCGCTTTATTCTTCAGTCACCGGAACTTGCGCGCGCCTTCCACACATTTCGTACACTGTCATCTGGCGTCCTTTCTGCCCTCACATGCTTGTCGTGAAAACCGGCACCAAAAATCATATTTACAAGCGCGGTCACGGCAAGATGAGCGATACCGGTGCTGCCAAGGCACCTGACGTGGAAGCAAAGTCTGCTGCTGCTACAGTTGAGGACAAGAGGCCTGAGCTTCCTGTGGAGGATGTCCCTGATCCGGATGAGGATGACCTCGATGATCTGGATGGTATGACACCAAAAAGTTTGTTAAATGTGAGATCAGAGACTCACGGACTCCAGATATGCTCGAAGAATTCTCCAAAAAGCCTGCTGGACAAAGCACCTCTGGGCCGGCATCTGGGCCAGCGCCCGGGGCCGAGAAAGCTGGAGGCAACTCCGGCCCTGACACATCGGACAAGTCCCTAGAAGACATGTTTGGTGATGAAGAATTTGCGAAACAGCTACAGGCCGGCATGTCTGATCTCCTAGGTGAGCTAGAGAAGAACGCAAGTCTCCCGATTCTCGGTGTGGCCTGAAACTCTTGCTAAAGTGCTCACAGCCGGAGATGCAAACTCAGTTTGATGATATGTTCAAGTCGATGGCCGCCGCGACCGCCCAGGATGCCACAAGTGAAGGAGCGCGACCTGGCTCTTCGTCTGGACCTGCGCAACCAGGCGCTTCGGCGGACGCTCAAGCTGCGGACGCCTCATTCCAGGAAACCATTCGACGAACGATGGAGCGAATGCAGGCCTCTGGTGATTCGGCGACGGCGGCGGCAGCTGACTCGCCTTCAGACGACTTCCTCGCCGAGCTCATGAAGCAGATGGGCGAAGGCGGAGGTCCCGATGGCGCCGGTGGTGAAGAGGATTTCTCCAAAATGCTAATGGGCATGATGGAGCAGCTGACGAACAAAGAAATCCTGTACGAGCCGATGAAGGAACTTCATGACAAGTTCCCGGGATGGATGGAGAAGAACAAGGACAAGACACCGGCGGAGGATCTCAAGCGCTACCAGGAACAACAGGTGATCGTCAAAGAGATCGTGGCCAAGTTTGAGCAGCCCACGTATTCGGACTCGACTCCTGCGGATCGGGAGTACATTGTTCAGAGAATGCAGAAGGTCAGTGGTGCCTCTGATGAACGCAGTTCTTCGTCACTGACAAAGCTACAGATGCAAGACGCAGGTTCGCCGCCGTCAGATCTGGTAGGGGATATGGCATCAGCCCAGGAGGCTTTCGGAGCACCGGACGAGAGCTGCAACCCTCAATAAAAGGGTAATTACACTTCAACATTGACATATGTACCCGATGACGAAAATGAGGATGCACGACCAGAGTGCCTCAAAGTACGTTTTCGCATCATTTCCTGAACTCCATGCCAGACATCTCCGGTTTCCTCCCCCAAACGCCGAATAAATGGTATCCCGTTACGCCCAACCCAAAGACCATGACCAAATCAACGAGAACTTCGCGTGTATCACGACATATCCATCTGCTCTGAGAAGTCCTGCTGTGATACCAGGTCCATGAAGATTGCATCGTAGTCTTCATCATCGGACATGCTGTGAGCGTCTGCGCTGGAGGTCGAGGCAGCCCGTTGATCGATGGTGGGTTCGTGGTACGCCATGACAAGCGCATCCAATTCGCTCTGTTCTTGCATAGCCATTTCGTCGACCATCATATCATCGATGTTTTCGGGTGGCTGCTGGATTTCTGACGCTGCTTCCTCTTGCAACAGCAGCTCAGCCGCGTGCTCGATGTCCGCTTCAGAGAACACGGCATCGCTCTCGAGTCGCTTTGCGAGAACGAGCTCCCGCATCTGCTTATCCCAGCTTGATTTGAGAAGCTGCGCGCCATCAATTAGCCTCTATTCATCCAAGGCATCCAAGGCAAGGCCGAGGTCGCAGGTTGGCCGCAATAGGCGAATGGGGGTGGACTTACAATTCCTTCCATGTCCCTTCGCTCGTAATTACGCTCATCAGCACGCTGGCGGACGTTCTGTAAGAACAGCTTTCGCCTGCTCTCTTGAGCTTCTTCACGACGACGGACTGCTGGATTCGGCTTGGTCTGTCGCGACGCGTATTTGAACTTGGAGGATGATGCTTGAATTGGCGACGATTGTGTTTGACGGTTCGAAAAGTCCAGAGTAGTACGTCTTGTCGGTGAAGCGGGGGAGGTCGCACGAATGGGAGAAGAGGAGAGAGGCGAGGAGATGGAAGGTCGATGGCTATGGGTCCACGGCATGTTGTTGGTAGCGTCAAATGCTGTTGGGAAGAACGGGGTCTGGGCGAGAGAAAACATAATATACTGAGCAGAGTGACTTTCTCGGATACTCGGGTGAGGCGAGGGCAGAATGCAGAAGGCAGAGAATAAGGTGTCGATGTCGTTGTTGTGGAGGAGCAAGTGGCCGCCGTACCCAGGCAGGTAGATAACCACTTTAGAAACGCCACCCTGAGTCGCGGTCCGACGCGGCGCGTCAAGACGTGGGGCATCCAAGACACGCCGAGATGCACATAATGAAGTACTTCCATAATATGGATATATGCATATCACCATTCCAACAGCGACATGAACGCAACCTCTATCATTTACTGCAAACTGAGCTGTCCTTGCGCAAGCTGCTTGTTGAGCTCCGAGCGGCGAGGTCACGCATTATTAGATCTTATCGACACCCCAGGCTCCCAGGACGCTTGCCCCTTCTGTAGAGACCTTTTGACCTTCCAGCTTGTTCACCCTCTTCACCAGAAGCCCCACGCAGACAGGGCCACCGATTGTGCAGAGTACGATAGCCCATGTGATGACCAAGAACAGTTCTGGCGGTTGCCCTTCATGAGGCTGTCGCCCAAGCACACCGTTGCTCTCTGCTAGTGCCGAGATCAAGAAGCCAATCTCACCCCTCGCCACCATAGCGAAAGCCATGATGCAAGCAGGATACAATGACACAGGCATCTTCGGATCCGGGCTGGCGTTATGCGGAAGCGCGGGAACAGGCTGCGATGCTGGATTCATTGACTCCAAGGGCACATCCTCAGTACGATCCTGCGGGGGACAGGATGCCGCCTCTGCCTTCCGAGCCAGAGGTGTTCCCTCACAGAGAGCTACAGGGCTGAGCTTTGTATTCCTCTGTTGACCAACAATTGATAGTCTTCGGAAAACTTGCAGCAAACCCTGTAGCGGACTCATGTATGAGATGAGCCAAAGTCCGCAGGCTAATTTGCCCACAACCATGAGTAATGAGTAGACTACTCCGCGCCAGACGATAGGTCCAGAGAACATTTTACTGACAGGAATCGAAAAGCCAATGGAAGCCTGGTAGGTGAGCGTTAAGGATAGCACTCTTGGGAAGAGTTTGAGAACTTGCGAAGAATAACGGTTTCAGGATCTGATTGACAGCCTTCTCGAAGAACCTTTGATAGACAATCATTCCTGAACTCGAGGACGAACCTTGAGCTCGATCGGCAGAAGCACCTTCGGCATCACTTCGTGGTTGGTTCTCATTCGCAGTAACCCTACCTTGGCTGACAATAGACGGACGAGATGCTTGGCGAGCAGCCGGGTGGGGAACTTCAGAATCCCACCAGCTGATTGATGCTCCGGCGATGTAGGCAGCAAAGAGCCCGGACGTACCAGCATAAGTTCCTCCGACGACTAATGCAAGAAGGATCGTCGTGTGGAGAACAAATGCTGTCTTTAGGGAAATAGAGAGGCGGTCCAAGCGACCACCTCGGTATCTTTCTCTTGCCAGATTGACCTGCAAGGTAAGCGGCAGAACGACATATCTGCAGATTAATGGGCTTGCAATAGCAAATGCGAGTGACACACAGACGGGCCGTATGACATTGACTATGTCGAAAGATGGGCTCCCAAGATTTGAGATGATTTGAACCATGATTAAACCGACAACATCGTCCATCATGGCTGCGGATGTTAATACAACCCCAAGACGCGTGGAAGAAAGTCCACTTGTTCCCAAGATGGTGAAAGTGGTTCCTAGACTTGTCGAACACAATGCGGCACCAGCTGCGAATACCTGCAATGATGATGTGCCCATCATGGGCAGAAGGAAGAATGACAGCCCCATGGGAACAGCAATGCCAGTGGCTGCAACTCCCACTGACAAGAATAAATTGGCTTTTAAAGATTTGAATGAGGTTGCAAGCCCTCCTGAATCGAGTCAGCGATATTCGCGAACCCTGCTGACAAACTCCCCACCTTCGTAGACAATCAACAAGAGCCCAATGTAGCCAAGCTGCATAGCAGCATTCTCGAGGTCTCTCTCTAGCCATTGGAATCCAGGCGTGCCCCAGGCGATACCGAGAAGAACCTGGCCAACGAGGCCGCAGTAAACGATACGGTCCAGCGCATAATTGATTATGTTAAGGAGAAGCAAGAAACTGCAAAGGGTCACGATGGTCGTGATGTATGGTTCGTGGTAGGCGAGTGAAGATTTCATGTTGACAACTGGACATGACTTGAACGCTGTAAGACTGGAAGCTCCATCAAATGAGAAAAACTATATGGAATAGGCGTGCTGGCTTGATCACGTTGGCAGTATGTGTAAGAAATGGCGATTAGAGATGTTTGGGATTGTAGAGTTAATATACATGGTGGAACAGCGCCCCTCGAAATCCGCTTGTGAGCATGGCTGGTTCATGGTGGAGGCCAAGCTGCCAAGAATGGATGCGGGTCAAAACGGAACCCCCCTGAACAGGTAGAAAACGGATAGCCAACCGGAGTGGGGCCTCGGGACGGTTCGATCAGCGCTGTAGCGAAGGCGTTAGGACAATCTGATGATGAAGACAGAGAAAAAACTGCTGATGATCGCCACTAATAACAGCTCGTCACATGTGTCGACATCACCAGCTCTAGCCTCCACCACACGCTCGTGCTCCGTGCATCTTTGGGACACAACACCCTACATATGATAATGCTCCCAGCCGCTTCCACTCTTCTCAATCAGAGCATTGGTGGCAACAGGACGACCTCCCAATGAAAGCCTCATTCTCCGCCTTTTCACTCCCACTGCGCCGGCTCAACACGCGACCATGGACGCCAGGGTGGACTTGCGCCACCTGCCGCACCCAATTGAGCCGGCCTAAGTCGCCTCAGACCATCACCTTCCGAGCAAAGTATTCCTCGAGGGCTTGGACAAATGGGAGACCAAATACTCGCAATGGCCGAAAGGGTGTTCTCCTTCTCGCCTCGACAGGTGGCGCTGCAACAGCCGGCGTGCTAGCCTTTACCGACGATATCAAGTACGGATACGATGCTGCAGAGCGAGCTGGGCGAGTCGCGGCAGCGCTTGCTGTCTGCATTAACGAGTACGATGCCTATCGCAGGGATGAGACGGAATCTGTTGCGCTGACAGTGTCATAGTTACCGCACAACCTTGAACCAACGAGACTCCGAATCTGATGAAGACATCCGTTCGAAACTGTTGAGCGACTGTCATACAAGATGTGCCAGAAGGACTCTCAAGGTCCTAGAGAAGAATGGAGGCATCTTCATCAAATTAGGCCAACATTTGGTACGTTGTCAAATCAGCACGTAGCATACCCTCGTTCAACACGCTGATTTTTGGATTGTAGAGCGCAATGAACTATCTTCTCCCGACAGAGTGGACGACTACCTTTATCCCGCTCCAAGACAAATGCCCCGTCTCGTCGTACGAATCAATCGAAAATATGTTCCGCAAGGATACTGGCCAAGGGATTCTCGACTTCTTCAGCGAGTTTTCTCTCGAGCCAATCGGCGCTGCGTCACTGGCTCAAGTACACACCGCAACAATCAAGGAGACTGGGCAGCACGTAGCTGTCAAGGTTCAGCACCCGGAGCTTGCCCAGTGGGCGCTTCTTGACCTGGCTTTGACCAGGTTTACTTTCTCGATGCTGAAGCGCTTCTTTCCCGAATACGATCTAGAGTGGCTCTCCTCCGAGATGGACGTATCCTTACCGAAGGAACTAGACTTCACAGAAGAGGCGGAGAACGCTAGGCGCACTCAGCAGCACTTTGCCCGTCTCCCAGAGCACCCTCTTGTGGTCCCTGATGTCCTCTGGGCCAAGCAGCGCATCCTTGTCATGGCACGCGAATCCGGCCACCGCCTAGACGACCTCGAATACCTCGACGCCAATGGTATTGACCGTGATGAAGTCTCGGCGTGCCTGGCACGCGTCTTCAACGAGATGATTTTTGGCTCTGGCGCTCCTCTTCACTGCGATCCTCATGGCGGCAACCTCGCCATTCGCAAAAACGACGCGCGCGGTCGCCGCGTTGGCGGTCATAATTTTGACATCATTCTCTACGACCACGGGCTGTATCGCGAGATCCCTCGTGACCTGCAGCGCTCCTATGCTAAGATGTGGCTGGCCGTCATCGATGGCGACATGGACCGCATGCGCCGTTACGCGAAAGAGGTAGCCCACATCACTGACGAGCAGTTCCCGATCTTCGCGTCCGCAATCACGGGCCGCGACTTCGGCATTCTCTCCGGAAAGAACGCCAGCGATCAGGACGGCAAGGATGCGGGCGCCTCCATCTTGCAGACGCGCACCGCCGATGAGAAGAAGGAGATGGGGGATGCTCTTTCCGAGGGTCTGCTGGCCGACCTTGTCCAGCTCCTGGGTCAGGTTCCGCGCATCATCCTCCTCATCCTCAAGACAAACGATCTCACACGTGCCCTTGATGAGAACCTTCACACCCGCCAGGGTCCGATCCGCACATTCATGATCCTAGCACGCTACTGTACGCGCACCGTCTTCGAGGAGCAGGTCGAGGAGCTGAAGAAGCAGGGCTCTTTATTTTGGCCGCCAAACACCATTCGACTTGCTGCCGCCTGGGTCGGCTTTTTGCGCGTCGAGATCAAGCTGGAAGCGTTTGAGCTCTGGCTGAGTGTCAAGAGGGCCCTGGGGTGGAAGAATGCTGAATTTGCCGGCCCTGGTCTTTGACCAGTGTTGTAGCATGGTGCAGTATTTAGACATGTACATTCCCACATAGAAGCTAGAACACATTGTAATTACAGATACTACATGACTTTTTTTTTTAGAAGACGCCATACTCATGTGTACTGAGGTGGAGCAGGAAAGTAAAGAGTAGAAAAAGAATTACGATCATTCCATGGGATATACGAATCGAACAGGACCAAACTAGGAATGTATTCATCATCAAATGCCCCTTGTATGGCATGACCTCATAAGCCCATCCGAGCAGTCGGGTGACCGCCATAACTCCATACAACCAAGCACCAATATCAGCCGAACCTCATGATTTCTCCCGCAAGTTACAGACTCAGAATAAGCTCGACTTTGGGCTAAGATGTTCTCTGCCGCTTAGCAGCATCGACTGCAGCCATTTCACTACCACTGTTCACTGTAGGCCCGGTCTTGTTCACTACCTCAGCTAGCGGTGGCCTACCTGTCGCCCCTTCCTGGGGTACTGGTCTCTTGATCATAGTAGGGGCGCGATACGAGTTGCGATTGGCGAGGGGGCTAGCCGGGCCAGCGGGTGCTCCGATGCGTCTTGTTTGGCTGAGTTGCGGGTTTCCCATGCCACCTTGAGGTCCCGAGGTCGGTCTTTGTGGGGTGAAACCCGAAGCGTTCGAGATCCCACCACCCCCTGCAGCTCCCGACTGACTGGCTGCCGGAGGAACATGCTGCCCGTTCCGAGAAACAGGTTTGGAAGAGCTGTGGTCAATCCCAGGGGTCTTTCGGATCGAAGGGCTTTCGGCCTTTGGGTTGAATGCGTGTTGTCCTGGTGCAAGGGAAAGAGCGGCGTTTGGGTTGTTGCTGCTCAACTTGCTCTCAGGGATATCTTTGACGGCGCGAGCAGAGAAGAAGCCCACAGACTCGGGCGTCCCAGCCGCAGCGGCACTACCAGCGTTCGGTGGGGGCGTACCGTTATTAGCCCGTTGAATGTTCTGGGGAGCCGCAGGTGCTACTATGTTCGCAGGCGCTCGTGGTTGATTAGGGGGTACTGGTCTGTTTTGGTATGCTCCTTGAGGAGCCTGCCTCATATTTGACCCCTGAGTAGGGGTTTGCGGACCTCGCATGTTGCCCACATTGCCAGCTGAGACACTCCTGCCCATGGGCCTGGAAGGAGGTTGCATATTCTGGGCTGACTTGATGGCCTGGTTCGGCACGGTTGTCGATGGATTGTTTGCAGGTGGCAGCACAATTTCGTCAGGGTGACCCTCCTCATTAATAGCGAAGTCCATTTCGTCAAAGTCGGCATCCAAAAGGTCGTCGAGCGAGTCAGCCATCTCCTTCTTGATCAGGGACTCTTCCTTCTCCTTCTCCTCCTTCTTTGCAAAATCAGAATGCCGATGCAATTTGTTTTCATCGAACTTGGTGGGACCAGGCTTCAGCTTGGTGACCTTGGCCAGATAGTCCTTGTCGTAGATGCAATTGCCGAGGACGTTGCCAAAGTTTCTCAACGCCCTCTTCAACGCATCTGTAGTTCCCTCCTTCTTTGCTTTTTCGAAAGCGGCTGCCTTTCCTTTGCAGTTCTCAATATGCCCATACCCTATATCCTCATGGAAAGTACCATCCCTGAGCGTCACACGTACAATGACCGATAGACCCAGGCTGATCTTCAAAGTCTGTGGATGCTCGTCGACGAAATCAACCTGTATGTTCTGAATCCCCGAGGACCAGCCATTGAAGCCGAAAACCTCGTTTGCAAGGGCGATGCACTTTTCGGCGGCAATGTAGTGGACCTTTTGACCGGATGGACCAGCTCGCGCGGATATATACTCAGGCCCCAGCTGCTTCTCCAGTCGACTCTGCAATGTGGCAATTTGTTGAGCAGTATATTCGGTCATTCGTTTCTGCGGCTCCTCGAACGGGTTGGCGAGGTTGCCGCTGTGTTGATCGCCTGGACTGTGAAGAGGTCAGTGGTGCATTATAAACGCGTTTGGGTGGAATAACGCACGCAGGCATCTTCACTCTGTCGCGGATATGAAGCCTCTCATAAACAAAATAATAATAATGAGACTGGCAGACAACGCGTGAGTATCGATGAAGGAGATGAAGAAGCTCGAGGTCAGTTCGCTACCTAGCCGTGCTTTGGCTTTGTGGAGTGTGGGCTTCTGGGTGTTGTGGCACGCGTCTGGTTCCCGAGGCGAGTCACCACACGCGTCGAGTCCCCAGTGCCGAACGGGTGATCACGTGATATGATGATGGTTCTCCACCGACAGATCGGAACCCCACCTCATACTCAACGCTGGCTTACGAGTCATGACAGTGCATGAGTGCTGTACATGTGGCCGCCATCCTTTATTTTAGGTAGCATCCGCTGAGCCGAACTTGATGTTCAGAGTCAGTTTGCCAGATGTCTGCTCTTCAGGCGCAGGCAATCCGAGGAACTTATACCACAGTCTCGTTCAAAACTGGCTTCATACCTCGACCTCGGAGCGACTTCCTAATTTTCGAACAGGTCCGGCTTATGAGCCTTATCGTTTCACACCGCATTTCATGGAGAGTTGCTTTGTGGAGTCAAGCACATGTGTGCTGTTGTACGAGGACTTCATTTCCGAAGACAAGCCCTCACACTTTCGTCTGGTAAGGTCAAATCCTTCCCAGTTTCACTTGCGACTGCACGGTCGTATAGAAAATCTCTACAATTCGAGATCTTCTCAAGGCGGAGGCATATGGCGACCGACTTGTTATTACATACATAGAAAAAGGAATGTTGATATGCCTGATCCTAGCTGCGACTGGGGCCCAGGCCCGTGCTTGCCAACTCGTGAGTAATTGAGATGGATATCATCCGTGCAAAAACAATTGAACGCCGTCCCGTTAACCGACTGTGAATGCCCCTGAAAACAGAGTGTCTATGCCCTTGCCGATGCCTTGTGCGAAGAAGGAAAAACTAAAAAAGCCAAGGCGAAACATAAAAAAACCAATTCATCAATAGTCGTGAGCTGTCAGAATGTGCTGTAGTTGGTCATGCCGCATTGTCGGCCGGCTTTACCATGGTCCTACACGGACGGGCGCCCCGTACGTGCCAGACATCAGTTGGTTCAGGATCGAGTTTGGGTTCGAAGGAGCGCCGCTGGAGTTGCCGTTGCCCATCCACCCTACGCCGGTAGCCATAGCATTCATGGCAGTGCCCATCCGCCCTTGAGAGATCTCATTGTGCTTAGCCAACTTCTGGTCCCAACCGCCAGAGTGCAGGTTGAGGCCTCCTCCGCGCTTGGCGGCCTCGTTGATTACCAACGCCCAGGCCTTGGAGATCTCATCGTAGGCAGCGTCCTTGTGGTGTCGGTATTGCTGAAGTTCCCAGTCGGGCAGGCCGTGGATGATGTCGGTGGCGAGGTCGAGGTATTCCAGAGACACGGTGGTTTGCGTCTCGATGGGGGGGAGGTATTGGGGCGTGAAGTCGAGAAGAGCCTCGATGAGGGCCGTCAAGGGAGCCTTGACTCGATAGTATGTGTATTCGGCGCTGGACTCTCCGTAGGGCATGGCTTCCTTCATCTTGGCCACATACTCTTGCAGCACGCCCTGCGCGGCAGCAACCGTAGGTCGAGGGGCGCCGGCAACAACCTCCTGGCCGATATCCGGGTGTCGCTCGCAGATGCGCTCAAGGACGGTTCGTAGTTGAGTGGGATCCAGAGTCTCAAGCAGTCTGGGTAGGCTGAGCTGGCGACCAACAAGTTCGTTCGAGCGGACCTTCTTCGAAGGGCGAGAGAGTTGTCGGGCGGAGAATGCAGGTGAGCTGCGAGGGGACATGGACATCTCATCGCCATCCTCGTCGGCCTTCCTCTTGCGGGTGCTGGTCATGTTGTGAAAGGGGCTGCCTGTCAACGAGTTAGTCGAAATAACCACAGGACGACGCTATTTGGTGTTTTTTTATTTGTCATTCGTAAATGAGAAGCGTCTGTAGATGTTTTGACAGCTTACCGGAGCGAGAAGGGGAGCGGCGGGCGGAGTCGTGCTGATGAGGGAGGAGGTGAGGTTGTGGCGACAGCAAGACATTCATCATGCAAAAGCCTGATACGAAATCCCTTTTGTCACCACTCGATGCACACCAGGGAAAGCGTCCAAATCGAGTTGTGGTGCCAGAAGCAGCGATTGAAGTCGATCGGTCGGCGTAGGTGCTTTGTGCCGGATAGGCTATTAATCGCTCGGTCGTTCGGTCGGTGACTGGCGTTCGTGAGGAGAATCAAGAGAAAGACGGGTGTAGGTCAGAGGGAAGAGGTCGGTGAGGGGAATGGATGGATGGGTCGGGTGTTTTGAAAGTCGGATGGTTGGACGGTACAGGCCTGGAAGTGCAGTACAAGGCCTTCAGTTGCCCGCCCACTTAAGCCGCCCGGGCCCGTGAGGAGTTAGCGCCGGTGTGTTGGCGGGGCCAGCGCCTGAGTCGGGGTGGAGGCCTGCATGCAAACCACCTGTAATTTTGCTGGATTGTCCTTGGGGTCCGCTGTTGCCACAGCATGGTTTGTGGGTTCGGACGGAGATCGAGCCTTCACGAGAACCTGTCGGCATCCCTGCATTTCACAACATGCATCTTTTTGTTTTTCTTTCTATGTGTTTCTCTCGTTTCTTGCTTTCTTTTCGATTGCCGACGACTTGTTGTGAGACTGTTCGCGGAGGCATGTATCTATCCTTATGTGAGGACACCAGGTGGTAGTTGCTGGCTCTTGCGCTTGTACCCAACGACTCAGGCGCCCAACCCAAGCCTAGCTCCAGGCTTAAAAGCCACCACGTGAGGTGAGCTGAGCAACCATTAAATGAGTTGCCAACCAAGTTGTTCGCCAGGGATTTTGGTCACCAGGTCTACCAGTGAGCTAAAGTGCCATGCACGAAAGGTGGCGCCTTCCTTTACACAACCTCTCCGGCCAATTCAGGCACGCTTGATCTGTCAATATGCCCCTTTCCCTGACTCTCGTCTATTCCCGGCTCTTGTCTTTAGTGTAAATGAATCATGCAAGGACGAACGGCAGAAGAAGTATCAGATAGATTCTGAGTCGATGTGTGAAGCTAGTGACGCCTCCATGACCCCAGGATGTGCCCGTGTGCTTACCCCGGTCAGCCGCTTATCACTATCGGTCCCTTGGCTCCACAAAAAAAACCAGACCGCAAAAGAAGATCCCCTCGACTTTGCAACAACTCGATTGCCAGCCGAGCCGCCTTGATCAACCAAGCCCCCAACTGCGACTGCAACGATGACTACCGAAAAGACGAACAAGACGCCAATGTCGGAGGACGCTTCCTCCCCTAAGAAGCGCAAGGCCGAACTCGAAGAGCTCGAGGTCGACCTTGAAGCTCCCGAGCCCCCCTCCAAGCGTGCGAAACGTGCTCAGAAGAAGGGCAAGACGCTGCCACCCAAGCAAGACAGCGACGATGAGAAGGAGGCCAAGAAAGAGGAGAAGGAGAAGCTCAAGTCCAACCGCTCTGAACATGGCGTCTGGGTTGGCAATATGCCCTTCGCCGTCACTCCGGATATGCTGCGCAAGTGGCTCATCGAGAACTCGGGCGAGGTCATCACCAACGAGTCCATCACCAGGATAAATATGCCCATGACCAAGGACAGCGGCAACAAGGTCAAGAAGAACAAAGGTTTTGCCTACGTCGACTTTGCCGATATTGGCGCCAAGGTGGCCGCCATCGCCCTGACCGAAAACGAGTTGCTCTACCGCAAGCTCCTCATCAAGGACTCGACGTCATACGACGGCAGACCGAAGAAGGACGAAGCTGAAATCGCTGCCGCCGCCAAGAAGAAGGCTGAGGATGAGATTCCCACCAGTCGCAAAATCTTCGTCGGCAACCTGAGCTTCCAGACGACCGAGGAGGACGTACGCGCCAACTTTGAGAAGTGCGGCGAAATTGACTGGGTCAAGGTCGCTACTTTCGAGGACTCGGGCAAGTGCAAGGGCTACGGCTGGGTTAAGTTCCGCGAGGCTGAGTCTGCGGGCTGGGCGGTCAAGGGCTTTTGCAGGATCAAAGAGGAGCTGGAGACGGAAGATGACTTCGTCAAGGGCAAGAAGGATAAGGACGCTGATGCGGAGGACAACTCAGACGAGGAAGAAGACACGGATGCGCAGTCGGAGAAGAAATTCAAGATGAGGAAATGGTGGGTCAACAGGATTGCCGGCCGAAACCTCAAAATTGAACTTGCCGAGGACGACCAGGTCCGGTACAAGAAGCGATTCGGCAAGGACGCACCAAGACGGCAGGTACAAGCCGATGGTACCACGGCGGAGGGCGGAGAGGCTCCTAAGAGGGAGAAGAAGCCGGTGCCGCCAAGGGAACTCAAGGCGCAGGACGATCTCATGGTTGCGAGGTTGACGGGCACGGCGGCGAAGCACACGGGTACCAAGATTACGTTCGATTAGATCCATGATGAAGCGTTTTGATTCTTGTTCAACAATGACAACCCATGTCGTCGCTTGGTTCCCAACACTGATGGTGACTGCAACTCCTTGCGAATAGGGTTCAATGGCGGGCCATAAGCCACTGCCGGCGAGTTTCCACATTCATCTCTTCAAGGAATTTCGCCTCGGCTTCTTTCACGTTGGCATATCGCTCCACGAGCTCCTCTCCAATAAGCAAGACCATGTCATCATCTTTCTGCAGCGCTTCCAGAGCTTCATTGATGGACAGCGGCAGCATCTCCTCCACATGAAGCTCCCGTTTGTCATTGTCCGTAAGTGTGGCAGGATCAACCCCACAGTCACCCCAGATCAGTGCTTCATTATTCTTGACACCCAGGAGCCCACCAGCTAGAATGGCTGAAGTGGCGAGGTAAGGGTTCGCAAGGCCGTCGATGCATTTGATCTCCCAGTGGCTCTCGCTGATCTTGCGAAGCGGAACCTCGCGGTTCTGCGTGCCCCAGGCCACCCATCTGCCGCCAGCCCATGCGCCATCAACTAGACGGTTGTAACTGGCAGGATTACTGTAAGTAAACGCACAAATGGCTCTAAGGTGTCTCAATATTCCGGCGTAAAAAGGCTGGTAAACCTCTGGCTTGTCGCCATTAGCCGATGATATGGACAAGTGTGTGTGGGCAGCGTTGCCACAGGCCATGGCGAAGGGTTTGGGATGCAACGTCATTCTGTAGCCTGCCTTCGTGGCTGCATTCGAGATAACGTTGCGCACGTGAATCAGAGTATCGACGGCTGCAAGTGGTGCCGCCCTTGGTAGCACAACCTCGAACTGCCCCGGTGCACTCTCAGGGTGTACTTGCTCGATGAAGATGCCTTGCTCTGCAAGAGTGGCTATAGCCGGCTCGATGACCTCAGCGACAACAGGGCTGTCCATGGCGCGGCCAACGCTCCAGGCGTGGCCGTCCGTTTCCAGCGTGGAGTAGTAGGGCTGGCCGTCGAATGAGCCACGCTGAAGCAACACAAGCTCTACCTCGAAGCCGAGCTGAAAAGATAAGCCACGTCTCGACGCCAGGTCAGTAAGCCGCTGCAACAGCGTCCGCGGACAAAGAGTGACTGCTGAACTGTCCGATTCCCGAAAGTCACCGAAAGTGCTGGCATGACCTGTACCGGGACCGCCCACGAGTGAGCTGAAGTCTGGGTAAAGTCTGTATTCTCCGACTGGCGAAATACCTGGGGCGCTCATGTCATTCTGGAGCAACCCCAATGACGCCTTGGTTACCCCGACACTGAAAACACCCTCTTCACGAAGTTGTCGCAAGACGTTGGGTAGAGGAATGGCACGCATTCTGGGTGTGGCTGTGAAGTCGTTCCAATACACCCGGATAAACGTTGGTGTCGGGTTGGCAGCAAGGTACTCCTCGAGCAGGTCTAGGTCACTAGACACGGTCTGTTGGGACTGTCCGGGGGCCTCATCCTCGTCTCGTAGTGTCAGCCCAAGGCGGTACAGCTTATTCGAGTTGTTGAAGAAGACATCGCGAACGAGCTGGCAGCCTTCCTGCCAGGTGATGTGTCTTTTGCGGACGAAGTCTCCGAGTACCTGAACCTCTTAGTCTCTTCGCCAGTGGTGTGGAGATAAACGGATACTCACCTTCCCAAAGACCTCTCGCACCTGCAACACGGCTAGCAAGTATGTCTCGGGAAACCAGTGTCCGTCGGTGCTCCACAAGATCTTGGACCACGGGCAAAGCTCGAGAATCTGATGAACAGCCGTCTCCTGGCCATCTTGGCTGAGGAAGGGAAATATTTCCCCAATATCGGCATACACGTTTGCGTAGACAGTGGCGAGGTACCCAGCCTCTCGGGTGTACGGGTAACTGGCATGGAGGAGGACTATGGGCACGGTGGGGTATTCTCGTATGAACTCTTGAAGGTGAGACGGCGATGCGCTGGTGAGGGTGATGTCGTTGTCACCCAGACCCGTGTGGAATTGAATTGGCTTCTTCACGGGGGCCTCGCCATCCCGGATAACGGAGGCCAATCTGTGAACGAAGAACTCATTGAGACCTGGGTGGTCAACTCTTGTGAAAGCCTTGCCAGTTCCTTGGGTATGCGTCTTGAAAATCCCTTCGAAGGCTTGCCTCGCGGCGGCGATGTCAGGCTTGCGGGGGATGGCGAGACCGGTTCGATAGCATATGACAGACTTGAAGCCCACGACCTCAGTGTCGAACGTGGCCCTCAGAATGGCGAGGTCAAAATCCTCTACGACCTGGTCAAAAGCGAAAGCGATGTCCTCCGAGGTCTTGCGCCCAGAGACCTGCTCAGGACAGTGGGCGTTGATGATGGAGGCTGCGATTTGCTCTATGCGCACGATACGCTTGGCCGAGCTCGGCGTGTGTTCGTCAAAGTAGGTGTAGGGGTAGACGTTGTCTTCTCCATCAAGCCCATCATCGACCAGGACGGACTCGATGCCAGTAAGACATTCCGCCACCCAAGCGTCATAATCTCCGACGCGTTTCTGCTCGACTGCGTTGACAACGGCCTCCCATGTGGGCTCGCACTTGAGAATACCCGACAGTTGCTTGACAGCTCGCAGATGGGCAAGGCTGGTCAGTGAGGCGTGAATGGCATCGCCGTGGGCCTCGGTGACGATGGAAAGGAGCGGGTAGCGGTCAATTGCATCAAGATTGAGGAGAGGATGCGCGTGGTTGTCGACAATGGGCGTGTTCTGGATCGCACGAGCCAGGAGCGCTTGGCCTGTGAGCTGGGCTGGAGCCATGTCAAATGCTCCCCGAGGCACAGAATTTCGGGAATCAACGATGGGTTGAAGCGCCGATGGGGTCGGTTGGCATGTGTGCAGCCAGCAGACAAGGTGAATGAATTGTTGATTGTGAGCCGTTGGTGGTTGAATTGCGTGATGGACCCTCCTCACCATCGCAGTGCCAACGCTGGTGCTTGGTCACACCGCAGCGGCATGGCTGTTCTGCCTCTTCATTCGGTAGAATTTCTTTTTATGCCGTCCACGACCAGGACAGCTGTGTCATACCTCTGAGAGAAGTGAGCTCTGTCCAATACGGGTCATTCATTTCGCAGCACACACAACGGACGCGAAGGAGAGGGTCAGATTGGAAGAATAGTGGTGGGGCCGATGACCACCACTGGCATAATTACCTGCGTCCTTCAGAATTTGACATCGCGAGCCTCCCAAGCCGCCCGATACCCAAGTTCCCCAAGGGTTGGCTTGCTTTCCGTAATCGTATGGTCATCCCGTTTGGGTCGCCAGTCGCCACGGCCATGTCGAGCAAGTAGCACTGCTAGCAACATTGCTGACAACTGGGCTTCCGGACATGTAGCGACTGCTTCGGTAATTTGACTGCGTTAGCAGGTTTTGTTGCTAACAAATACCAGCACATCCTCTGGCTCGAACGAGCTTTGACTTTCCTCCGTTGATTTTCAATATGTCTTGGTCGTCATGCAGACGTCTTCGAGTACCTCTGACCGACAACGCCGCAACCAGCGAAGCCGCCATCGGAAGTATTTGGCAGCATCGACCAACGCCTGCGACGGCCGATGTCTTCGTGGGTTCACCTATCAGGAGTCTTTGGACCGGCCGTTAGTATCAAACTGAATATCTCACTACAACACTAGCCGACAAATGACGAGCTTTTGTTCTTCAGCCGCACACGTCTCCGAAAGCTCAGCCCTACCAGCTCACAATCTGACTGCCGGTTTTTTTCACCCCGCCACAGCCCGAGGAGATGGAACCGACTCCATAGACCTGACGAGCCGGTTCTATTCGCTCGGCCTGAACCTTCTTGGACATCAGTGCGACTGCTAGCGAGCTCTTGAAATGTTGCACAACGCTGACTGCTTCCTGCACAGCTGAACAGGCGGCCGTCATGTGGCTTGCTGAACAAGGGATTCCGCGCCGCCTCGCCAATGCAACGCATCACTACGAGGCACTAGCAGAAAGCACTGGACGGTACGGCAGGTTGGCTCCCCTCTATCAAGTACATCGAGTCGAATCAGAGTAACCGTGGCGTCCTATGGGGTTGAGAGGAAATCGATAAGCCTCGTCGGCTGGGCGCAGTCATCATGAAGCCTGGCTGGCAGTGCACCGACCGCTTCAACAGACATCTCGTCGGCCACATGCTATTTGCAGCACGACAGCTTTGGGAGTACTGGGCACGCGCTCGTAGCAGTTCGTAGACGATGTAAACTCTGTCGATGTCTGTAGCCTACCTAGGCTGTACAAGTCCCCCATCTGGTGTTGTTCAGCTCTCTGGCTGGCTCTATAAAGACCGCACCATTTCGTCACATTCATGAATACATTTTCTTCTCCGACCATACCATCTCATATAACCACAGCATCATATTTCCTTTCCTATTTTCCTTATTTCCTATATCCGTCATACAATTTCCTTAACACAATCTTTCAAAAAGATATATCATATTCTTCTCACAAAGCACTCTTCTTAATCAAGCCCGAAAACAGTAAATGAAAATGCTCTCCTACGCCATTGTCGCTCTCACTCTCGCCGCCGGCTCCGTCCTGGGCGCTCCCCTCCAGGCCCGGTACTCCAACTCCACCAGCCCCGGCCACTCCACCCCGACTCCGGACCCCACTCCCAGCGGTTACTTCCAGCCCTCGTCCGTCTCCACGTACGATGTGAGCAACGGCGCCATCCAGTGCGAGGTTTCCTACGGCCTCGTCGACAAGGCCACCGACAACAAGGGCCGCGACTTCACCACCCTCATGACCTTTACCTATCCCGAGGGTGTCACCGGCAAGCAGTGCCTCTTTGAGTTCTTCCTCGACGAGGGCGCCTCTCTCTACGGCAGCAAGAAGGTCGACCTCTACACCAGCCTGGCCCCCGCCCCCGGCTGCACGTCTGGCTGGGCTCCCGGCAACCAACGCAATGTCAACCTCGGCCGCATGTCGGTGCAGCGCGGCGGCCTCGCTACCTGGGATGCCACGTACAGCTCCTACCTGACCAAGCGCACGCCCTGCA